TGGCTGACTGGCAGGGCCCTTGAGAGGGCAGAAACAACCTAAAGAGCCAGCTTGAAAGGCTTGTGCTGCCAGGGTGGAAGGTGCAGGCGAGGAGAGGGGCTTTCGCTGCTGGGCGTGTGTCACAGGGCTGCTCCTGTCTGTTCTCCCATGGCCGCAGCCCATCACGGTATCCTCTGGACTGCAGGACCAGCACTGACTCTCCATTCTCTCTCCACCTCAGGTTCCTACAACCCCATGACGCTGGGCATGTTCACACTGATGTATTTCTTCCTGGCCTGCTGGACTTACGGCCTCACAGTGTCCGCCGGGGTCTTCATCCCCTCCCTGCTGATTGGCGCTGCCTGGGGGAGGCTCTTTGGCATCTCCCTGTCCTACCTGACCAAAGGCTCGGTGAGTCCTTGGCAGAAAGGGGTGGTGGGTGGTGGGAGCCATGGCACCCAGCCCTCCTCCCTCGCCGTTGGGCAGGCAGCATGTGCAGGCGGTGTGCCTGGAGCTGGCTAAGAGCTTGGCACAGCAGCCTGGAGTGGGTTGGCTCCTCGCTTGCTGTCTTCCTTGAGCTGGATCTAGGCTTTCCCACGTCCTGACAGAGCCCTGCCAGCAGCTGGGCTGTGCAGGCAGCCTCAGGCACTCCTCCCCACTTTGGAGGGAGGTTTGGGGGCCAGGGCACTGCTCACCGTCTCTGGGTGCCGTGGAGCCAGCAACTGATTTGACTGCTTCTCTCTCCTGTGCTCAGATCTGGGCTGACCCCGGGAAGTATGCCCTGATGGGAGCTGCCGCACAGCTGGGTGAGTTCCCCAGGGCACAGTCTTGGCTACCTCCTGCTGATGTCGGGGTGAAAGTGGCATGAGAAAAAGTGATCCCTGCTCCTCTGGCACAGCTTCTTCCCCAGCTGAAGCCCAGTCTGGCTGTCATCTTCCTAACAGCCCTGCCAAGTGCAGGCAGCACTGGGGCACTAGTGAGGGCTGGGCTTGTCCAGGGCACCCCTGCCTGTGCGGGTAGTCCTGGATTGCTGTGCGGAGACTCAGAGGCCTCAGGGGTCCTGCTATCTCCTCACCCTGTGTTTCCCTGCCTTCCTAAACTCCCAAACCCTTTGGGTGTCTCTCACAGGTGGGATAGTGCGGATGACCCTGAGTCTCACAGTCATCATGATGGAGGCAACTGGCAATGTCACCTATGGCTTCCCCATCATGCTGGTGCTGATGACAGCAAAGATTGTGGGAGACTACTTTGTGGAGGTGAGGGCTGGTGTGCTCACCAGGCCGTAGTGAGAGGCTGTGGGTCAGGGTTGATGGTGCTGGGGAGCAGTGGGAGGGCCAGGACAAGCGTGTGCTCCCTCAGAGGTGAGCTGCTGCCTGGTTCTACCCCTCGGCACCTCACCAGGCTTCTCCTGACGGCTTGGCTCTTGTTGCAGGGGCTCTATGACATGCACATCCAGCTGCAGAGCGTGCCCTTCCTGCACTGGGAGGCTCCGGTGACATCCCACTCCCTCACAGCCAGGTAGGTGGGCTGGGGGATGCTCATCACTCCCAGGGTGGCAGCTTTTTGGACCACATTGCTGGCCTGAACTGGAAATGGAGGTGGTGACACACTTTGGCCTCAGGAGCTTGTTGTCCCTTAGTGCCACTTGCCTAGCTGCTCCTCCAGCAGGGCATGTGGCCTGCAGTGCGTTCCCTCCCCATGTCCCTGGCATGTTCTGGGGACAGAGGGGACCTCAGAGCTGCGAAGGCCTGTGTATTGGGGGGTGGAAATTTGGGGTGTGCTGCCCCGGTGGGGCTGTGTTTCCCACTGAGCCTTCCCCTGCAGGGAGGTCATGAGCACTCCGGTCACCTGCCTGCGGAGGATCGAGCGAGTGGGAACGGTTGTGGACATCCTCAGCGACACCTCCTCCAACCACAATGGCTTCCCGGTGGTGGAGAGCAACCCCGACGCCACGCAGGTGGGCTGGCTGCTGCTGGCGAGGGGTTGCAGCCGGGGGTCAGCGGTGCAAGGGCTGGCCGTGCTGTGGGACCCTTGCCCTTGCCCCCCACCCCGTTCCTAGCCCCGCCTCATGCACGGTGCTGTGTTGCAGGTGGCAGGACTGCGGGGTTTGATCCTGCGTTCCCAGCTCATCGTCCTGCTGAAGCACAAGGTGGGTGTTGCTGCGTGGAGGCTGTTGGGGCTGTGTCTGAGCCCCGCTGCCCTTGTCCCACTGCTGCCTTAAGCTCCTTGCTGCCTGCCCAAACAAGGAGGAACTGGTGGAGGGTCCCTGTCATCTCAGGAGACAGCTCAGCTGAGGAGACAGTGAGGGCTGTTGTGCCGTGCTGGGGTAATTCCAGCATCATCCTGCACCCCACTGGGCTCGCAAACCCCGAGTGAATGAGAAACAGGCTGTTCTTCTCCGGGATGGCCCATCTTCTCATGTTCCTGCCCTCTTCTCTCCCTGCCCCTCGCCCCAGTGCCAGGTGGTGCTGCAGGATGGTCCCTAATGGTCCCTTTCCTCACAAGGTTTTTGTGGAAAGGGCCAACCTGACCCTGGTGCAGCGGCGGCTGAAGCTGAAGGATTTTCGGGACGCCTACCCCCGCTTCCCCCCCATCCAGTCCATCCACGTCTCCCAGGACGAGCGCGAGTGCATGATCGACCTCAGCGAGTTCATGAACCCCTCGCCCTACACTGTGCCCCAGGTAATGGCCAGGGACCCCTCCGCGCCCCAGCACCCCAGGGGTCATGAGTGGATGATGGGTGCCTGTTGGGGATGCCGCAGCCTCACGCAGCCCTGCTCTGCCTTGCAGGAGGCATCTCTGCCACGGGTGTTCAAGCTCTTCCGAGCCCTGGGACTGCGGCACTTGGTGGTTGTGGACAATCGCAACGAGGTGAGTCCCTGCTTGTTGTGTGTGGTCAACCTGGGCTCCTTGGGGTAGGAAACAACACCCTGCCCTCGTCCTCAGGCCCCGCATGCTGGCGTGGGGCTGTACCCTGTCCTTTTCCCGGCAGGTGGTGGGCATGGTCACCCGCAAGGACCTCGCCAGGTACCGGCTGGGGAAGGAAGGCCTGGAGGAGCTTTCGCTAGCACAGACGTGATGCTGAGCAGCGCTGCCCAGCAGAGACACACCCTGGCCCCTCAGAACCAGGGACCCCCTTTTCCGGGAGGTGGGGAGAGGACTGGGCTAGCCTGTGCAGGCATCACGGTGCCCGGAGCACCGGCACGGCTGTGCTGCCCTGGCTCTCCTGCCCATCACTGCCTTCCCATGTCTACTGCCTCCTCTTACTCCTTCCTCTGCTTCACCGAGGGATCAAAACACCCCCTTGGCTCTATTAGCTCCTAGCATAGGCTCTCCCTGAGGGTTGGGTGAAGGCTGGAGCGTGCCAGAGGGAGCAGAAGTGCCCTGCTGCGCTGGGCACAGTCCTCTGCCACGGCACGTGGCCTCCATCACCTCATCCACCCAGCCTGGGCTGTCTGGGACCTAGCCCTGCCCTGGACCCTGCTGCAGGGCCTGGGGGGGGGCGGGAGCAGAGGGGACATGGTGGTGGGGTTCCCCCCTGTTCCCAGGGCCCCGTCCCCCCTGCCCCAGGGCTCCTGCTGTTTGGGTCAGGCTGAGCCCTGGGACAGGCACTTGCATTTCTGCCCCTCTGGCTGGAGTAGGGGGCTGTGCCCTGCTCAGCTGTGCAATAAAAGGGCTCCCACGGTTCAGCAGCTGCTGCCTCTTGCTCTTTCTTGCCTCCCTTGGCCACTCTGCCCCCGACCTGCGTGTGGAGAGACGCTCCTGGGGTTCAGGGCAGGGATGGGGAGGGGAGAGCTACCTGCTCTGGAGCAGCGTTGGTCCTGTAGCCTGTGTCCCTCGTCTGTGCCCCTCTGCCACTCCTGCCCTCCTCCCCCTCTTGCTGGGATCCAGAGTCGCCCCGGGTGTGTTTCTGCACTTGCTGCAGCTTGTTCTGGCCCTTTGCAGCAGCCTGGACCTTGCCAGGCACCCCAAAACCCACCACCAGCCCTGGATCTGGGTGACCTCTGGGTGCTGAGGAAGGCTCCAGCCCTGGCCCCTCAAGTCTCCCATCTTCCACCCTCCCTGTTCCTCACCTTGGCATTGCCCCCTGCCCTGGCTTGGGGCTGCCCCCTCCTCACTCAGGCAGGGGCAACCTGGTGTCTGGAGGGGCTTGTGACTGCGGGATCCTGTGCTGGAATAAAGCCTGTTTGTACTTTTATTGTCATGCTGCTTGTTTCTTGCTTCCCTTCTTCCCCTGGTGCCCGTGCCCAGGCTCAGGGCTCTGTCTGTCAGTGTCCCCCCCCTCCCCGGGCTGAGCTGAGCCCCATCCCCACTGCTGGTGCTGGGAGGGGACAAGCCCTGGGGCTACATGCTGGGGGGGCCGCACGGGGCAGGGGGGAAGGCGAGGACCTCCCCCCACCTTCCTTAGCCCCCAGGAAGGGTTGGAGTGCTCAAGGTAGGGAGCAGCTGCCCCTTCCTGGGTGCTTTTCCCTTTCAAGGCCAACAAAGAGCCGCCACAGAGCCGAGAACGCGGCGGCTGGGCCCTGGTAACAGCCCGAGGCAGGGGGGCTGTGGGGAAGGGCCGGGTGCCCGCCCAGCGCCGCAGGATGATCCTGGGCTCCCCTGTGGGTCCGGTCCCTCAGCGCTGCCGGGGTGCAGCAGGTTCCCCAGGACCGTGACTGGTCCCTGCTGGGTGATGGCAGTCGGGTGCTTTATGAGGCCCCACGTCGCCCTTTGCCCTGGCGCGGCCGAGATAAGGGGATGGGATCCACCAAGTTGGGCCGCAGAGTAAACACGGGCTGCTGGCTCCTGCCGGCACCGCGTTTCCCTCCTCTTCCTGCTGCCGGGGCAGCCGACAGCCCCCCAAAGCAGCAGCCCTTTGTCAGCAGGGACATGGTGGTGGCGGGTGGCAAAGGACACCACACGTGCTGGTGCCTGGCAGGAGTCATTTATTCACTCGTCCCGTCGCCGGCTCTGACCCGGTGCCCCGGCGCTGGGGCTGCCGGGTTTATCTTTAACCGGGTGGCACGTGGTGGGGCCAGGGGCCTCCGGGGCCATGGTGGGGTCACAGCCCAGCGAAGGGCTCAGCCTCCAGCCCCGGGTGGCCCGGCTCAGGCGGCAGCTCCTGCCCGGTGCCCGGCAGCTCCGGCCCCGGCTCCACCGTCCAGTTGGCCAGGAGGTCGCTGAAGTCGGGAGTGCCGGCGTGGAGGAGGCCGGCGGGGCCGGGACCTGGCTCCTTCCAGAAGGAGGGCGGCAGCTTCCTCCGGTGCATGGGGGTGATGTGGCCGTATTTCTTCTCCAGCCGCTGTGTCTTGCCGCCGGCCGCCCGGGGTGGCAGGCACCGGTGCACGCCGTACTCGAAGAGCTCAGCCAGCGGCCCCAGCCTGTGCACGGCCCCGGGGCTGCCCCGCGGTGCTGTGGCTTCGGGCTGGGTCTCGGTGCGCCGGGGTGAGCTGCAGTCCTCAGGCACGCCAGCAGCCTCCTCCCGGCCCCGGCGCCCGAAGTAGCGCTGGATGTCGTAGCTGATAAACTCCGAAAACTTGAGGAGCCGCAGGGTGGTCTCGGCAGTGCTGGGGACAGCCAGTTCTGGCCTCACGCTCTCCTCTGCTGCCTCCTCTTCATCTTCCTCCTCCTCCTCCTCTTCCTCCTCCTCCTCCTCGGAGAGGTCGGGGAAGTTGGGCTCAGGGTGTATGGGCAGCAGCAGGCCATGTGGGAAGGGAGAGGGCAGCCGCAGCTCGGCCAGGGGCCGGATGACACCTGCAGCCATGTCAGCGGGGCCCGGACTCACCCTGCGGGCAGGGACAGCGGGGTGAGGGTGGCACGCACCCCAGCACCCTCCCCAACCTGCCGCCCTGCAGTGGCACTTGGCGCTGAGGTGGCAGGGGGACCGTGGCCAGGGTGGGGCTGCAGGGCAGCGGGGACGTCCCCCATGAGCCATGGGATGTGAGGCAGTGGGGATGTCCCCACCAAGCCATGGGATACAGAGCAGTGGAGATGTTCCCCCTTCGTTATGGGACACGGGGCCTCAGGGACAACCCCACTGAGCCCTGGGACATCAAACAGCAGGGATGTCCCCACCAAGACATGGAATATGGGGCAGTGGGGACATACCCCCCGAGTCATGGGACATGGGGCAGTGGGGATGTCCTAACTGAACCCTGGGACAACATGCAACAGGGACATCCCCATCAAGCCATGGCACATGGGACAGCAGGGATGTCCCCACCGAGCTATGGGATGCGGGACATCGAGGGTGTCCACCTGAATCCATGGGATGTGAGACAATGGAAACATCCCCCAGTCATGGCATGTTGGGGCAGCAGGGATGTCCTCACTGATCCATGAGATGTGGGGCAGCAGGGATGTCCCCATTGATCCATGGGACGTGGGGCAGCAGGGATGTCCCCAGCAAGTCATGGGATGTAGGGCAGTGGGGACCTACCCCTGAGCCATGAATCACGGGGCAGCAGGGACATCCCCCAGAGCTGTGGGGCAGCGGGATGTTCCCCTTCACCCCGGGGCTGCTCATGGAGGTGAATGGGGCTCAGCACCCACCCTGTCACCCTGGACTGAGCGCCCTGCCCTGAGCTGAACACCCTGCCACCCTGGGCTGAGCCACCCCTGCCACCCTGGGCTGAGCCCCATCCCCTGCCCACACAATGGCCCCGTGGGTGGTGGGATGAAGCTGGCCACCTCCCTGCACTGCCACAGCTGGGTCTCGCTGGGCTGGATGAGGTCCCTCTGTAGTCAGTGCTACCTGTGCCCCAGGGTCCCCAGCCTTGCCTCGTTGCAGGGCATCCCTGGCCACGTGCCTGGGACTGCCATCGCCCCGGCCCCGAGAGGCTCTTGGGGCAGGGGACAAATCCTGAGGGACAAGGCCAGCTCCTGCCACGCCAAGCGCAGCGCTGGGCCCCGTGCTCAGTCTGAGGCAGCACCGTTGCCATCTCTGGGGTCACCATACGTCCCTCTTTGTGCCGTCCCCACCGCAGGACACCCTGGCCCTGCCTCCGCGCTGCCCTGGGGCGGGCGGTGGGGGGCTCAGCCTCCCGAGGCTCCGTGCACCTCCGGGCTGCGGGGAGAGGGGAGCGGGGCCACCCCGGCGAGCAAGCCCCGCTGTCACCCTCAGCCAGATGAACACCCGGGTGCAGGAGGGCATCGCCCGGGGCCGCGGCTCGGCACTCACCTTGGTGCTGCCGCCCGGCCATGCATAGGCTCCCGCGCCGCTCCCCCTTCCCGTCCCTCCACCTGGGCCTGAAGTATTTATAGCGGAGCAGCGAGCTGACGGCTGGCAAATATTTGGTAGCTGTATTGTAATAGTAGACTCGGTAAACAGAGCTGGGGTTTGCTTTAGCACCCAGCAACGGGAGAGCGCTGCGGGGAGGGACGCGAGGACGGAAGGTAGGGCTCACCTTAATGGTTCACTAGCCAGGGGATTTTCAAGTGTTGTTCCTGTAAATTCACCTATTAAATCGGCAGCCCCAGCTGCCAAACTGCCCGCACACTTGTGCCAAGGGCTCTTATCTCCCCGCTGATTGGAGGCGAAATCAAGCTTTGTCAAATAGGCGTAAAATTAAATTTCATGCTATTTTGACTCCTGGAGTAGGGATCTTCTGAAGAACATTCTGCGTATCGAGCGATGCCTCTGCAAACAGGCGCTGACACTGCGGCTGCAGCAGGCAAAGCCTCTCTGTGGGGTCCCCCAGGTGCTGTGCAGCCCCCATGCAGGTCCAGACCCCCCATCTCCAGTCTCGTCCCACCCTGAGGCGGGTGCGGGGCTCCCTGACCAGCCCCAGGATGGGGTTTGGAACATTTTGAGGTGACAGGACACGGGTTCTGACGGCACAGCTGGTGGGAGAGGCACTTCAGGGTGCTGTGCTCCCTGGGGAGCGGTGGGGCTGTGTGCCCGGAGCCTGTGGCTCGGGCCAGGCAGTGCCTGTGGGTGCAGAGATGGGGACATGCTGTGTGGAGAGCAGCTTGGCCAGCCCCACGGCGGGGACAGCACCTGGGATGGCCGCCTTGTCACCGTGGGTGGGGTGCTGGGGTGCCCCGCGACTCCGCTATGGCCTGTGGCTGTGCTGGCCCACGTGGCGCGTGAGGGACTGAGAACCGTGGTGACAGCGAGCAGCTCGGGTCCCAAGGTGCCACTTTGGCAGTGGGACGTGCCTGTGGGGCCATCCGGGATGGCACAGAGCACAGCCAGGGGACACAGATGGCTGGGGCTGACAGCACCCGGGACCCCGTCACCACCCGTGCTGGGGACATCCAGGGGGTGGGACTCTGGTCGTTGGGGTCCCTCGGAGCCCTCCAAGCCACCCTGCCCTGAGCACCCTACGCCAGGCTGTCCCCCCGGCGCTGAGGTGGGGTCCCCAGCCCCTGGCACGGTGCAGCCCCGGTGAGGAGAGTGCCAGCCTGGGCACGGCTGTCACCCACCCCCCTCCCCGGGCTGGCAGAGCTGGGCACCAGCCCCACATTCCCTTCCCCTTCCCCAAAACACTGGCAACGCCGGGGTGGGAGCAGCAGCCACCCTTGGGCAAACATGGCGGGGGGGGAGCTCGATAAACCACAGTCTGCTTGATCCCTGATGTCGCTCGCCGTCACCCACCCGGCACCGCTCGGCACGGCACAGCCTGGCATGGCCCGGCGTGGCCCGGCGTCGCTTAGTATGGGTCAGCATGGCTCGGCACAGCTCAGCAGCCGCTGCAGCCCGGTTACTGGTCCCATCCCCGGTCAGCCCCGGGGCTGGGTGGCGGGGGCAGCACGGGCTGGTGGGGCCCGTGCCCGCGGCAGCGGGCCCAGCCAGGAGCCGGCCTGCGGGCGCCCGCAGCCCGTCCCCCCGCCGCCGCCGCTAACGGGCCGTCCCGCCGAGGCACACACGGCGCACACCGGCGGGCGGGGGGGCGGAGCGGCACCCGGTCCCGGTCCCGGCCCCCCCGCTCCCCCGTCCCCGCCCCCGCCAGCCCCGCCCCGCCGGCGGACTACCCGTCCCGGCATGCCGCGCGGCGGCAGGAGGGGCCGCTTCCGCCCAGCCCCCGCCGCGCGCTGCCGCCGCCGCCGCCGCTGAGGCCGCCGTTGCCGTTGTCGCCGCCGCCGCCCAGGCCCAGGCCGTAGCCGCCTGCCCGCCGCGCCCCGCGGCTCGGCCCCGCGCTCGCCATGTCGGCCCAGGCCCAGATGCGGGCCCTGCTGGATCAGCTCATGGGCACGGCCCGGGACGGTGAGTAGGGGCGGGCGGGGCCTGCAGGAAACGCCGCGGCCTGGCGGCCGCCTCAGCCGCGCGGGGCCCGGCCGCCGCCGCCGCTCCGGACCTGCGGCGCGATCGGCCTCCGCCCGCGCCAGGGGACGCGGCGGGCCAAGAGCCGGAGCCCTGGCGCGCCCCGCCGCGGCCTGGCCCGCGCCTCGGGGCGGCCTGGCGAGCCCGGCCCGGGCAGCCCGGTAGCGATAGGCCCGCCCGGCGGAGGGGCCCGCCGCCGCCCCGGCCCTAGAAAGCGCCCGGCGCGGCCCGGCCCCGGGGAGAGCCCGCCGCTCCGGGCCCCGGCTGCCGCGGAGGTTTTAGGGAACGCTCCGTGCCCAGGCCACGCCGTGCGTCCAGAGGCATGTAGGTAGGTGTGCCCGCAGCCGCCGGCCGCTGTAGTTGTTGTCCAAGAAAAGAAGCGGGACAGCCTGTGCAAAATATGTTCCCGCTGTGGTTTGTATCTCCCTCCTGCGACTTGCCGAGTACTTAAATTCCCTTTGGCACGTTAGTAGGGCTGTTCAGGTACTTTGCACTTTGTTTCGTAAGTGAATAAGTGCTTTTCTTTCTTTGTGTATTGAGTTGCTGTTGAATTGCTTCCCATATTTTTATTTCATACAAACTGAACAATTGTGGCCCCTCTATTTTATTTATAAAGGTTCAGTGTATCTTTGCCTGCCTACATCAATCTGCAAGGGAGTTGCAGAAAAGCCTCATGTTCATCGAGCCGTGAGTCACAACCAATTTTTAAAGCTGTTATAACAAAAAAAAAAAGTGTTTGCTTTTTTTTCACAAGTAATTTTAAAAGTGTAGCTTAGAAAGAAAAAAAAAATTAAAATAAAAAACAAAACAACAATTTTCAGTAGACACAACATTATTCCTGGATGCTTGCGAATCCTAAACTATATTCATACTTTAGTATTACACATACCTGTGTCATATACACAGATGAGCTTTAAAATTGTCACATACCATTACCACTTTGCCTTTACTTTTATGTATCATTCCCCTGACTTCCTTACTGCAGGTGTGGGCAAGAAAACTTTTCCTTTAAAACTTTTCAACAGTGGGCATAAAATTCTGCAGCTGAGGTCTTGAAGAATGCAGATGGGTATAGTATATGTTGGAGCTCGCAGTGTGTATTGACTAACTTTGTTTCTTTTTTTATTTTTTATTTTTTTGCTTTTCTGATATTGTCTTGTTTAAGTGGCTCCTGAGTGTAAAATGTCTTCTGAGGGTGGGAAGTGGGTGGGAACCACGCTTCGTGTTCCAGGCCAAGACCAACAAGATTCGTCTTTGCACGGCCTTGGAAAGCACACTGCATATTTGATTTTCAAACCAAATGGACCGATATCTTAATTATCAGATGAGCAAATAGCAATCGCCTATAAAAACTGTCCAGCACAGCCCTGTTTTGTGATTCATGGCCCTCTGATAGCGTGGGTTTTGGTGCCTCCTGCCCCTTCCTCAGTAAAAAAGAGGGGGGGGGGCGTTGAAGAATAAAAGGTTTTGGCTGCGAGCCAGGCTGTCTGTCTCCTTTTTTCTCTTCTGGCTGTGCTGTCTCTTTATATGGATGACAGGCCTTGGACGTTACTTGGCTCGCCAACACTGTGTTTAACATGGTGTACTGGATGAGTAAATGCTAAAATATTGTTCGTTGCCAATTATAAGTGTTCCAGAATATCCTGTTACGCTCTAAGCTGTTTTCACGTAATTTTGGGGATCAGGAACACCAAGTATTTTAATCTGCATATTGAGACGAAATGATCATACCGACATCTTTGTTCTCTTATCGGTATTCTAATGTCTCCTTATTTAAAACCACAAATGAATTTCAGGAGATGAAACCAGACAAAGGGTGAAGTTTACAGACGATCGTGTGTGCAAGAGCCACCTTCTGGATTGCTGTCCTCATGATATCCTGGCCGGAACAGTAAGTATATCCTCTGTATTCAGGAATTCTGGTGAGGCAGACGTTGATACAGCTCTTCAGGGCTCATCTGTGCACCGTAGGTAACTTCTAGGAGAGATCAGCCTTGCTGTGCCCAGGGAGCAGTCACACTTTAAATTTTGGTTTCTGTGACTCGTGTATGGAACCTTTGAAGTCAGGAGCCCTCAGGATTCGCTTGAAATGTGTATTTTTTTCCTCTCACAATCCCGCCTGAAGTTGCAGGATTATTTATCTTTTGTCTGTTTGAGATGGTTAGGGCCCAAAATTTGGCCTGTGGAGATCGCAAGATCGTAATTAGCCTGCTGTCCTGGGTGCAACAGTTCACTGTTGCATCTTCAGGTTAGCGAGTTTTTTCTTATCAGCTTTGATAATCTTTACTCCTCAGAGTTTTTTAGTCTCTTCTCTGAACCTGTGTGACATTCTCCTGATGGAATGGCAGCTTTTTCATCGTTACTGGTTGGCATGCTAATGGCAGGTTACAGCTCAGGCCGACTTTGTCTTTAGAGTTGGTTGGTGTGAGCGGTGTGTCACTCTGCCTGACTGGTTTCAGACAGTTGGGTCGGCTCCTTCACTGCTGCCCTCTGGGGACAGAGCTGGCCAATTTTCAAAGGTTTGGCTCAGATGCTCTTTCTGAGAGTGAAAGGTGACATAAGCTTTTAACAGTGAGATCTAGCAAAGTAAGTATTTAATGTAGATGCCCAGGTAAAAGATGCAGTCTGACCTTCAAAAAAAAAAAAAAAACAACAGTGCATGTCTTTTGTAATTGTTGCTGTATTACTGAATTGCAACATGGAGATGAATAGGGAAGTTTGAAATCAATTTCTACCCTTGCTGTTTGATGCTAAATACTGTGGCGATTCATGTTGTCCATCCACTTAACCAGATTATTTAAAGATATTGTCGTTATTTATAGCCCTTCCTGCTGTCATTTCAGGAGCTGGGTTTGACACCAGCGAAGGGGAGGGTGGGCACTCCGCCCTCTGTTCGTGACACTGCGGTAGCAAGACTCTGACAGCACTAGTAGAAAGAGCTTTAGCAGAAGCTGCCTTGGCTCTGAGCGTTCAAACTTTAGCTTCTCAATGGCTGCTGTTGCAGAATAAGGTTGGAAGAGTTGAATACCACCCTCTCTGTATCTTTGTATTTGTTTTTTTGAATTTGAAGCTCAGATGGATTTTCTGGCGATTGCTCCATCAGCTTCCGTATCACCTCACTTCCGTTTCAGAATTTTAAAGCTGCTTAAATCACCTTCTGCCTACCTCCAACCTTCATGCAGGTCATTGTGGTTAGGGTATATTTTTTGACATGAGATTCTACAACAGTTTTTTGGGGCCCAAATGGTGTTTTGAAGATGCGGTCTGCCTTCTGCCTCTTCTGGCATGTTTCCAGGGAGAAGGTAACCGGTGAGTTGAAGAGGTTGAATTAAGTGCTGTGTGTGACTGTTGGAGCTAGTGCCAAAGCACAGAGAAGGTTTAAGGTGTTCAGGTGTGCTGGGCATCTCCTGGGGCAGAGAAACATGTTGAGAAATCTCTTTCTCTTGCTTCTGATGCTACTTGTCTGCAGTGAGTTGTCTCATCCCTCTTGCTGTGAAACTTATGCTCAGAAGTCTAGCATGTGAGCAGGAGGGAAGACTGTTTCTGTGAAGGGGACCTTATGGATCACTCGGATGATCTTGTGGTGGCCTTTAAGTGGCTGTGAAGCTCTCTAGACTACTGTCAGCAGCTTCTTGGTGGCAAGAAACAGTATTGGTGCCACAGATCTGTGGTGAAAGCACATGTGATGTCTGGAATGGGAACAACATTTCAGCTGTCAGCACTACCAGCAGAGACTGAAACTTAACTGGAATGTGCAGGCTTTCCTCATGATCTCAGTCAGGTTTACTGGCACCTTACAGTGCTCTGTTAAGGGTAGAGTTGTGTGGGTGAATCAGCTGCAGCTGGATGGGGTAGCATCCATCTCTAGATGTGTATTACTGCAGAAATCAGGACCTTGGATCTTTTTGGAAACTTCCAACGGATGCACCAAGCCTTCTGGTGCTGGTTATGTTGCATCCTCCCCCTGAAGGCATTGTTATTGCTGCATCCTTCATGTGTGCAGATATTCCTTAGTGGGAGGCTGATTGGAGACAAGCAGGAAGCCACATGCTTTGGGTAGCTGTGCTCGGTGAAACGTGATGGAGTCCCATTCACTGACCTTCAGGTTCACAGTAAAAGGAGGAGTCTAGACTGTATGTAAATCTCTGGAATAGTACTGAAAAGTTGCAGAAGACATGTTGATGTTTGCTTTGTTTATGTGTGCCAGTGTTCCTGGTCATAAGAGTCTTTGGCTCCATAAACTTGTCACTAAATAAGCTACAATGGTTCTATTTTTCCTCTCCATGGGAAAGAAGAAAATTCTGGGAGAACACAAGTTAGTTTAGTGTGCTCATGTGCTGTTGTCAGGGGTCTTGTCATCTAGATTGTTAGTGGCCTGCACAGAGTTAGCTCTGCAGCTAATGGTGAGCATATTTCTGTCAGTGGAAGTACTGCAGCACATTCAGAGATGGCATCAGCTGGTAATCCTCCTGAATTTTAGCTCCACTAATAAGTGGACAGATGAGTCTGAAAGCTGCACAGGTGGAACATAGCTTGGAAATTACATTCAGGGAATTTATTGTGTCCCCCACTGGGAGGTAGGAGTTGAGCTGAAATATGTAGGTTGCAGAATTGTTTTGTGGGGGTCTGTGCTTTCTTTTTTCACTTGGGCAAAACTCTGCAGCTCTGACTACTATTAAAGAGCCTTCCTCGTGGAAATAGACTTTCTAGTGAGGTAGCAGTTTAGTGGGGATCATAAGAGGTACCTCAAAATGTGGATTGTTCAGCAAATGTGACCAGGAGTAATTCAGTAGCATCTAAACATACTGAGTCTTTGTGTATATAGGGGTTTAAATCTTCCCTCGGGCTCTGCTGGTTACCTGTCTCAAATACCTGTATTATAAACTAGCCAGGGGTATTGACTGGAGCAAGTCATGACACTGCTGGAAAAGGTGAGTATTTGATGACAGGCCTCCCTGGGACAAGAGGTTTCTTTGAGATAGAAGGGCTAGTGATCTTACCTGAAGTGAGCAATGCCTGTGAAAATCTCCATGCACCTAGATGGTCTCCAAGGACATGGAGGAAGACTTGAGGTTTGTATGCTGGTGAGACCTGAATGTTGATTCCCCCAGAGGAAGACGTTGAGGGATTTTGTTGCCTTTTAACAAACAGGGAGAGGAATATGGAGCACACTGTTGGCTCTTCTGAAGTGTTGTGGGTTGGAGCCCCTTCTCTGAAGTTGAGCTAATGGCACAGCTTGCAAGAACAGTTCAGATAAGAATACTTACGATCTGTGACAATCACTTACAATATTGCTATTTTCTCCCCATACTGGAAAGGGATCGCAGCAGAATAACCATAAGAATAAAAGATTTAAGTCACATCATGGAAAGTTATTTTTCTGGTAAACTAACAGTAGCTCACTAGCATTCTTTGAAAAGGCTTGCCTGAAGATGAACATGATTAAGCTCTGAAAGTACTGAACGCTTTTTTTTGTAGGCATTAGATTTCTACCATTAAGAGAGCTCAGCAGGACTGTTCCTGGACACAGTGTCTGTTTCTGTAGCCTGCTGCCTGTGGCCTCCTGTTTCTGGTAAATCTGAGCAAAATGAGAAAGACTAAATAGTGGCAAATCATCTGGAATTGTTTTCTTTGTTCAAAAAAGAAAAGCTAGTAACACAGGTAACTGCTGAAACCCAGAGCATTACCTGGTGGAGCTTGTTTTAGTTGCTTTGGTTCATTCTAAACATTTCCATTGCTGCTGTCCAAGTGCAGTGTTTCACATAGGTGTCCCTGGCACCCCCAGTTTGGGATGTTCCACAATGTTTCTGTCTTGATCCAGATTTCGCTGTATTTAGATTTTTCTGCAGGTCAGTGAGTTGACATCTATTGTGCTGTGTTCAGGTTTGGGCTCCTTGGGACTGGTGGTGACGGGAGAGAAGAGGATGGCTGATGATGACATATGCCCCTCCATTTGTAATGAGGCTCACATTTAGGCTTTTTATTAGCTTGGTTTTCAAAATGTCAAAGCCTTTTTCTGTTTTAAGAATAAGAGGAATATTCTCTGTTACATATTAATAAAGTTGAAATGCTGTTTCTGTGTTTTGAGAGCATAATTGACTTTGGTTCATGTGGCGGTTAACTACTAGATTGGGGAAAAAAAAATAAAAAAATTAAATTGCATCGACTGCAATGGGAGTGAAGGGCAGCTTGCACGTCAGAGCTTTCTGGGAAGGGAGGTGCTCTCAAGAAGTCTCTCATTAGATGGGCTTATATGTAGGAATTAGCTTGGCTAGGCAGGTTTTTAAAATTCCAGGCTGCAGCTGAATGTGAGAAGGGACCGGCTGTAGAATTAGGAGTCTGTTGTTGTTGAGCGTGGGTTTGTGCTTTTCTACTGGCCATAGCCCTTATTCCCTGAAGCCCACTTGTTCTTGATAGGAAGCGTTCTGCCTGGGTTCTATGATTTGGTATCTTTCACTGTGTTACTAGGGCTCATTGTGACACAGATACGCTTTTCCAGATAGCTTTAAATGGTGTACAAAGCTGTGTGTTTTGCTGTGCTTTATCTCTACAGTAGGAGGCATTTGGAGTTAGTGCCCGTTAAAGGAGTTGCTGCTGCAGTGTGCTGTGCCTTCCCAGCTCCCTCCCAGCAGTTTCTAAGTCTGTGCTGTGACCTAGAGCAGGAGTAGGACTGGACTTAAACCATTTGGGGTGTTTTAATGTTGTTTCAGGAAGATCTAAAAGATGGTTTCTAGCAAGCATGTTGTCCTTCTGGCTAGTTCTGTTACTGACAGGTTAAGAGGAAGCTCTTCTTCCTAAAGAGGCTGTATTTTGATATGATAGAGTTAGCAAGAGTTAAGTATCTGCTGCTTGTTGACATAATGGAGGATTCTTATATTGATTTTCCTTTTTCTTTTCAACAGCGAATGGACCTGGGAGAATGTACAAAGATCCATGACTTGGCACTGCGAGCAGACTATGAGATTGCAAGTAAAGAGAGAGATCTGTTTTTTGAGCTGGATGTGAGTATGGAGAAATTCTAGTTACTTTTGTGGAAACTGCCTCAAAGTTACTTGGCTGAACAATAGAACTCAGTGGGCATTTCAGCTAGCCCTGTTACTTGATGTGTTATCTGACAAGAATGTGCAGCCCCTTCCCGAATGCCAGCTTGATTGCTGACTTCAAATTGTAAAAGTAATTATGGCCCTTGCAATCCCATTAGTCTGGCTAGCTGGGAGGCTCCTCTGGCATTCTCTGCATCCCACATCTGCTGCTCTGTACCAGGGCATTGTAACCTGGTGGCCTGTCCCAGAAGGAGATATGACATTAAAAGCCACCTGCTCTGTGGTTTCACTTTTGCCAAATTTATCTTTCTATAATGGATCAAATAAACTGAAAGAATGACTCTGTCTTCCCTTTTCATGCAATTCCAGTGCTTTTGTCTTTGCATCTGTTGCTTATGTGTTGAAAGTTCCAGTGCAAAGCAGTCTTCATGTCAGCATCCTGTTACATGTCAGAGTAAAGGAACTGTGTCAGGGTCCAGGTGGATGACAGACTTAAGGGCAGGGATCTAATTTTACGTTTTCTGAAGTGTCATGTTTTTTCCTCAAGGCATCTGTTCTTGATGTTGGTTGTGCATTATACAGGCATTGCACCGTCTAGCTGTTGGCTGTCAACGCTAGATCTGGCACGGAAAGCACCTTTATTCACAATTCTTTGTCTGAACGTGCAGGCAATGGATCACCTGGAATCCTTCATCGCAGAGTGTGATAGGAGAACAGAACTGGCCAAGAAACGCCTGGCTGAGACACAGGAAGAGATCAGTGCTGAAGTGTCTGCAAAGGTATTGTCCTCTCATTAAATGTTTGTTTCGCGAGTCTGTGTGAGAGCACTGGTGCTCTGTTGCCTCTGACACCATTGATACTGGGAAATTAAGCTCCACAAAGGCTTTGTGGATTCCAGCTATCCTCATCAAATGCTGCGCTGGCTGTTCTTGTGACAAACTTAACAATTCAGAGAGCCACGGTACCATAACACATGAACTCTAAAATAGGTTGCTTTAGCTTGGCAATAAAGTATATTGGATCCTCCACACACTATTCAGTGTTAATGTAATGGCTTAGAATAGTAAATCCATCTCATGATTGTTGTCTTTTCACTTAGTTAAATGCTCATAGAGTTTCCTCTTTGGGAACTTGCTTTACTGGGACAATACAAAGCATTTCTGAAACTGGTTTTGCAGACTGTCCTGTCCCACAACCCAGAAATGTGCCACTGTTTGCAGCAAAAAACTGATGGTGTCCTCTCCATGTCCAGTTTCTCTCTTTGCTACGTGTCTGTGACTGCATTGCCTGTACTTGTACCACTAATCCCTTTTTTGATGGGGCTACTTTGACTTTTGGAGATTTATGGTCATCTTCCAACAACTGCATTTATTAAACAATATAGAGAAAAAGGAAAAGTCATCGTGCAAGCTCTAGCAAGTTTTTTGTCTTATTAAAAATACATTATTCTCTTTAGGCAGAGAAAGTACATGAGCTGAATGAAGACATTGGAAAACTCCTAGCTAAAGCTGAACAGCTGGGAGCTGAAGGAAATGTTGATGAGTCTCAAAAGATCCTGATGGAAGTGGAGAAAGTCCGGGCGAAAAAGAAAGAGGCAGAGGTATGGCATTGGTTCTCCTGGGAATTGTAATAGTGGCCTGGACTAGGCTGAGTACATGACAAATAGCTGGGTGGGTCCTACCTATTTTCTGATGTTGCCAGCACCTCCTTTTTCAGTTTCAGCCATGTGCCAGCAGGCAGTGTTGGCAGTGTAGTGGGGTAGATGAAGAAAAGCTTTTTCAAAACTTTTATCTAGTGAAGAGAGCTGACTGGGGCTGGGGTGGGGAGGGATTCATCCTCAAAAATATTTGATCACTAGTCACTTGCAGGGATAGCCTGTCATGTTAGCTGTACTCACAGAGTTTTGTATAGCACCTCCTTTATATTGAAGGTGGGGGTTTTGATTCTTGAAAGCAGCAGTGCAATTCTTTGCAGGGGTTTCCCTGGAGGGTTGTGACTGTATAATGGTTCCCTGACTTTTGCGTGGTTTTTTTTGCCTCCCTTTAGGAAGAATACCGAAATTCAATGCCTGCATCCAGTTTCCAGCAGCAGAAGCTGCGTGTGTGTGAAGTCTGTTCAGCATATCTGGGTCTCCATGACAACGACCGGCGTCTTGCTGACCACTTTGGAGGCAAATTACACTTGGGTTTCATTCAGATTCGTGAGAAACTGGATCAGCTGAGGGTAATCCTCTCTGCTTTAAACCTTCTTGTAGTTTTGAAGACGTGCAACACTTTTATGAAATTAGTACAGAATTTTTTGCAGAGTGCCTGTAAAAGTCCAGAAATTTCTGACTGTATAATCCCTGAAACTTCAAATGGAGGTCTGCTTAGCCTCATCTTGGGTTCTGTTCTGTAATTTCTGGGTAATCAAATATGTACCCTCAAAACGAGTCAAACCAGACCACTGCCATCATTTATTCCTTAGAGCACTGGTACAATTGCCTGTATTTTTCTCATTGATATGGCTGCAATTTGTGTCTCTGGGTTTTTTGACTTTGAGGCCTTCTAACAAAGTGTTTGAACTGAAGTTTCACATAGTGTTGTCAGTGAAAAAGGCCTTCAGTAGCTGAAGGGATTAGAAGTTTTCTGAAATGGTTTGTAGTGGAGTTGCAGTACTGGCCTTGCTTGCCAACAGAGACCTTTATCTTGCTCGAGTAAGAGTTGTGATTCCTGTGCCTTACTCCTCAGAGGCAGTGTGGTGAGGTCAGTGCCTCGACTGATCATTGGCACAAGGCCAGGGCACTGTTTCATTGTGTGTTGTGTACACTCACGGTGAGACGGTCCCTTGCCTCAAAGCTTAGGGGCTTGTCTCTTGGAGCACAGGCACTCAAAGCAGAGTAGGGAGCAGCATTTCTTGCACTGATGTATGTTAGTGAAGTTGTGAGGAAAATGAGAACCTTGATAGAGATCTCAACTAGCACATAAAATGCAGTGAAACAGTTCTTTGTCTCACTACCTTTGTCTTACTATCAGAATAGTCTCCCTGCAGATCTCTCTGACCTGTTACTGTATGGCTGAAATATGGTGTGGACTTTTTTCTAGAAAACAGTGGCAGAAAAGCAAGAGAAGAGAAACCAGGATCGTTTGAGGCGGAGAGAGGAGAGAGAACGAGAGGAGAGAATGGGCAGACGGTAAGTGGAAGCTGGTAACTGGTTTGTGCAGTTGATTTGGAAATAGTCTTGATTTCTTGTATCTGAGCATTGCAGAAAAAGCAGTGTCTGCTGCTTGAGCAGTTGTGGGACATGCTCCAGATGCTGTGTAAGCACCTTGGCATTCAGTTAAAGATGAAAACAAATGCACAGAACACCCACCTTAGAGTGATTGTACGTGTATTGTTTTAACCTCCATTGTGTATCTGAAAGATGTGAGCTCCCTGTAGTCTTCAGGCTTATACTGGTCTAGTTCCTGTCTCTGGGAATCTGAATCTGGATAAAATACCCTCATCCAGTGCATCTGAGTGCAAAGTTTAAGATGAGTGAGGGCTAGGTCTGCTCAAAAGGCTCTAGTCAGGCAAAAATTCCCTGGACAGCCCTCCACTTCTAGGCTAGGAAGTGACAACAGAATAGACCTGGTCTCCGTGAGCCAGATGCTGGGCTCTCTGTCTTGCCCAGAAACTTTCCTACAGTAACAGTGAAGTGCTTTTGTCACAGCTTTGGAAAACACTTCCTAGAGGATCTGAGGGATCCCAAGGAGTGGCTGCTTCTGGTGGCTGTGGCCATATGTGTCACCTTCTGCTCATATGTCTATAATCCTTGAGCAGTGGGAGTGGCTGCAACGCTGGTATTCTCAGGACAAGCTCTTCTGCATCTTGCCAGCTGAACTGGAAAAACTCTTTCTTCTGTGCTTGAACTGAACAGGCACCTTGTGTGTAAACAGCTCAGTTAAATAGCTTGGTGTGGAGAGAGTGGTTATTTGCAGTGGTTAGGCAGAGGAAGTGGCTGAGCAGGAATGCTGTTCTCATTGTCACAGCAGCTCCCCAGTTACCTCACGTGTTTCTCCTCTTCTTGCATCAAAAAAACCAACTTTGCTGCCTGTGGAGAGCTCTTTTTGACCCTCGGTGTTAGCTGAAGAGTGAGTTTCAGCCATCCATGTCTGAGGCATATGAGATACATAACTCCAGTATGCTCTAAGATGGTGCTGGCTTCTGGGTATATATTGCTGGAAATGCTAGCAAAGAGCTACCAGAATCAAAGCAGCTTGGTTTTCTGTGGTCTGTGGCTTTGTGATTTTGGTGTATTGTGAAGATGTAACCCCCAAATTGTTATGCATTCTCCAGTTAGGGTGTTTTATGTGGGTTCTCTCTCCTTGTGGATTGCCTGGTGTCATATGAAATACCAGTTCATGCTGCATCTTTCTCCTGAACTGCAGCACTTCATGTAGAGCCTCACAACTTTCTGGCGTCCATGTGAGATTGTCAATAATGCTGTTATATTTGGGAGCTGCAGAATCTAGAACTGGCTAATGAATACAGGAGTTAGTTGAAAGGGACTGATGTGTGTTGTTGCAATGGACAGAGAGATGGAAGTGAAACGGGAAGTGTCTTCCCTTGCAGCTGCTTCATGGCAGGTTCTTTCTGACCTGCAGTAGGACCATATCTAACCTAGAGTCAGTGTGTCTGTTTCCATGGTGCCTCTTTTTCCTGGAGGTCGTTTCTGTGTGAAAGTTGCTCAACAGAGTTGCCTTCAGGAAGAGTCCTCTGGATCTCTTAGTTGATCTGCATCTCCCCAGAACTCTGGCCTTCTTCCTTCTGTGGCGTATCTGGTTTTGTGTTTGTGTTTGTTTTTTTAAAAAACAACAAAACGAAAACCAAAACAAACCCTCAGTTTGTGAGAGTTAAGGAGCCTCTTGTGTTTGCAGGTAGCCCATCTATGGATGCATGTGATGAGGGGGTTTGAAGACCACTTTTGAATGTTTATTTAATGCCTTAAATATGAAGGATTTAAGAGCTGTGTTGAGTTGGCCTAAAGTCTGAGTTCTTGCTGTTTCCATATGTGGCACTACTTAGAGACTGTGGCTAGCCTTTGCTCTTGCTCTGTGTGGAGGCATCTGTATGCTCCTCTGTTCAGATACTGAAGGAAAACATGTAATGAAGGAACTAGGACTGCTGTACAGAGGAGGTCAAATTATTTGCCTCTCCAAAATGAGAACTTGACCCAAAGAAGGAAAATAGTTTTCCCAGTGGACACCCAGTGTCAGAACTGGGACTAGAGCCCAGATTTCTTGATTTCTCAGTACCTTTACCACTGGGAGCTGTGTAGCACCATGTTTACAGGGACATTTTTCCTTCAAAAACTAATCAGTGACTTCTGCTGCCTTTCAGACTGACTCTCCTAACCGGAGCTTGATACTTTAAGGAACCTCAGAAAACAGGTTTCTTTCATGACTCTTGTTATATCTTCATATGAAGCATCTTCACGGTGTTATTCAGTAAGAGAAAGAGTACCACTTCACTTTGAGAAGTCTCTTACAGGCACTGTGATGTACTATGAAAAGCCGTAGATTCACTTGTGAAACTCTAGCTCTCTCATATTTTATTAATTTCTCAACTAAACTGTGATTTCCACATAGGAATGAGTCATCTGAGTTGTCACCTCTAATGGTAAACACACACAAGTCCTGTATTTGGTGTAGTTGGTGACTGCTGGCTGCCCAGTGATCTCTTAAGATTGAAATTCTGTGGTGGTGTGCTTGGAAGTGCAGACCTCGGTACTTGCTTCTAGAGTACACCGACAAACAAGTCTAGGTGGAGTTGCCAAATGGATTTCCTTTGTAATAAGTTAGACAAAACACAGGTTATGAAACTTAGCACATAGCCTCTGTGATGCAGGGACAAAAAAGACGAGGGAAAAAATAATAAATATGCTCAGCCTCTCATTTCTCTGGACACCAGTCTTCTACTGTCTCCTGCTGTATAGGGGTTCAGGCTAGTAAGGAAAGTGCTGTTTTGTTTGATGCTTCCTGAATTCTGAAATTTAGCACTAGGGAGTGATAATTGGGAGTTTATTGTGTGAACTCCTGCTCAGATCATAGGCATGGAGGGGCAGCCAGGTTTTTTCAGGGGATGTGGAATGCCTTTGTGTGGATGTGTGCACTGGTGATTCAGAATAAAGTGGTCAAAAGGAAAAGAACATTAAGAACTTGGAGTAATTACAACCACCAAAAAAAATTCAGCTTCCTGCCAGGCATCCACAGGAGGTCCTGCTGCTCTGTCAGGTTCTGTTAAATGAAAAAGGAGGTGTGTGGTTATTGCCTTGCTCTCCTGGTTTATCAGCTTTTTCTTTATCTGGGTGTCTTGTGTGTTGCCTCAGCACATGGTTTATTTGCCTGACTCCCAAGTTTCAGCTTCACCTTGTTTACAGTCCTGCCTTAATTCTTTTCTAAATTTTGAGGGATTATTTTTTTCTTCCTATCGTGATTGAACAATCCCATTTCATTGTGAAGGAATGTCAGTGCAAATTGATTCTCTTAATCTTGTCTTATCCAGGTATGGTTTTAAATGATATTATTAAAATCGATGTTTATTGCTTTTTTTAAATTTTGTCTGTGTGTAACTTTCAGCTGCATGTCCTGTTACAGTGCCAAAACAGCTCTGTGGCTGTGTAACTGGAACATGCCCTCTGAGTCTTTATGCAGTGGGGAGATGGGAGCAGTTACAAGAGTGAGTCTCTAAGTCACTAAACAAGGAGACTTGACTGCTTCTCAGTTAAAGCAAAAAGAGACGGTTCAGACAGTGTGTGAAGTTTTGGTGTAGGCTGGCTCTGAAATGTGGCTGTAGAGAAAGAGGGAGGGCGTATCTTTCATGTGGAGTGGTATTTTAAGTGGTTCTGAGTAATGGCGCTTCAGAAGTTGAAAGAATAGTGACATTGTTATTTACAGACTGTCAAAAGCTAATGCTTACAGTGTTAAGGTTAGAGTGCCATACATGAGCTCTGAAGCCGTGGGAATCTGAGAATAGTGAGGCTTGGGTGATAGTTCTCAAGTTGCTTCCTAAGTCTGAGATGAAGGATTTTCTGTGTATCTCAGTTAGTTTTCAGTAATAGGTCTTCCCTTGTGTCTGTGTCCCCTCTTTTTCTAGCTCATCTTTCCCAAATAAATAAAACAAAAAAGATTCAGACAAACTTCTGTCTAATGTTTGTTAAATAAATATGAGTAAGAAAATCCTGCATTTTCTCTTTATTTAAACCTTTTTAATATGCAACTACCCCAAAGCAACTGAAATCAGAAAGCTGTCAGGTACCTTTCTGACTGGAGAGTGGTGCTTTTTCTTGAAAACGTTAGAGTTGATCTAGTTGATGTTAGACTGCAGAGGGTAAAGTGTATGCACAACAAACTCAGAGTTGGAAAGATTCGTTGTGGTGTTTTATTAACAGGATGAATTGGCTTGTAGACCTCTTTTGTTCTGACAAGAAGCTCTGCATGTAGAAACTAGTGTTTCTAGAAAGGTCTTCAGTTTTTGAGAAATTCTCATTCCCCCCACCCCCCAAATTGAAGATAATTAGATGGTTTAATGGTTTTATGGCAAGCTTTTTTTTAACTGACATGTTACTTGGGGTATTGTGTTCCTGAGAAGAGCTGCCAGGGTCAATACATTGTTCTATTGAAAACCCACTGACTGTGTCATAACTTCTCTTGCTTAACTCTCCTTTCTAGGTCTGGATCAAGAAATAGAGATCGTCGAAGGTGAGTGTGCAGTTTTCCTACAGTTCTCCTAAATGCGTATTTGTGTTTCTGTCTAGCTGCTGAGGTTTTTCCTGGGCTTCACAAATGGAGTTCACTCAGTGCCCCAGTCTCTGTTTTGCTCTCTGAAAGAAATGGGAACTACTGCTCGGGCACCTCAGTGGGCCTGTGCAACTTAATGTCACCCCTTGAGCTGTAAAGCAGATACTGGCTAGCCCAGTCAGGACAGAGGGGGCTGGGTGCTCCAGAATATGAGTCCAATAAGGTGTTTGATGCCTTTTTCAATAAATATTTAATATATTTCTGTAGTTTTAATGTCTGAAATATATTTGTTACGTATATAATACCTCAGATGTAAAAATACAAAGATTCAAGATTAAAGCTGCCACATCCCTATGAAGAAGCTTGCCTTTGTGGCATGACAGCCTTCTCTCAGTGGTCACATACCTGGATATCTTCCTCTCTACTGTTTTCCATAAACATTGACATCCTTTGTTTTATTTTTAGAGCAGATTGAAACAAATCTGCTTCTAAAGTACAGTACTTTCACAAGGGAGACTCTCTTTGGCAAACTGCCATACATTTATGGTAATTTCACATGCCACTTTGGCCTCTCTTCTACTTACACAGGCCTCACTTTGAGTGAGGCACAGTTGGTAAGCTCTGCTCTGGGCACTGGCACATGCTTATGTTAGTGGTGGGAGCTTTTTATATAAGCTTCCCAGCAACTCAGATTTACCCACTGGCGTTTTGTTGGTAGCATGAGGCTCAGGAGGGAGATGCCCACCCTGTGACCTTCTGTGTTGGCAGGGATGCGGCTGGCGGGGGGTGAGTGCTGATGCTCTGGGTATTTGTTACTTGGGAATGTCCGAGAGGTGGGCTCGGGTGTACAGATCCGATGTGCTGGACTGACTCCTCAGTCTGAGGCAATCTGTGTCCTCCTCAGATCACGGTCTCGGGATAGGAGGCGAAGACGCTCGAGATCGGCTTCCCGTGAACGGCGGAAGTCTCGCTCCCGGTCCCGAGACCGACACAGACGCCACCGGAGCCGTTCCCGCAGCCACAGCAGAGGTCACCGACGGGGGTCCAGAGACAGGAGTTCAAAACACAAGTATGTATTCCTGACATGAGTGCTTCTGGAAAGGGGAGTCCTTGGCGTCACAGTGAGCCTCCCCACTCGCTCAGAGCGAGCAGAAGTATGACCGGTTTCTCAAGTTAGCAGTTGCAGTGTCCTTTACCAGCTCCTGGGCCAAAGCAGGATTTCCCAGGGGCCATTCATAAATTGGCCTCATGTGAGAGCAATAAGGCAGTAACTGTACAATGAGATCCCAGCTTGAGAGGAGAGTCTAGGAGATAGAACTAGTTCCCTGATTTGCAGTACTGAGCCTTGAGAAATTGCTGGTTTTCTTGTATGAGAAGCAGCACAAGGCCTGCTTGGCTTTTACAGGCCTGTGGAGGCTCAGTTAGCTGAAGTAACTGAGAGGCAGTTTTTATGTTATATTTGTATGGTTACCCTCTGCTTCCCAGCTTCTTTCTCTCAGTGCTGGCATGGGGAAGGAAGTGTATGATTTGGGATCTGGGGGAGGTCTTCTATTTAGTGTAAAAAGGCTGGTCGAGAGAGACACATTTTTTTAGGAATCTGCACTGAGGGAGGGGAAAAGGCAGCCAGGAGGAGTATATCATTCTCCTGTTGCTGAGGAGAAGTGCTATAGTCTGAGGAAGGGCTTTAAGGCTCTTCTGAAACGCAGCAAAACACCCACTGCATTGGAGGAAGGATGAAGCCAGCATATGTAGGAGTATTAGGAAAAATGGAAAGGAATCATTGTGTTTCCTTATAGTGCTTCTAAGCCCAGGAATAAGTCTATCACTGGGTGCTTGCTGAAGATAGATCTGACTTTTTTTTAACGCTCCTCCTAGGAGAGTTCTTTAGCATTGCCTCACCTGATTGGGCACCAGCACTCGAGTACAATTCTAGAAACAAACCTAGTTATGTGTCTTGTGTCACTTTAGCTAAAGGGGTAAGAACAGGTTTTAAAGATTCCTGATAAAGGGGAGGGAAATAATGGTTTAAAGAAATAAGTCTGTTAATAATTGAGGGGGGATGTAAATACTGTTGATTCTCCAATGGCTGAGATACTAAAGTCCTTTTTTAAATCTGTCTTGAACATGAAAAATAAAGAAAAGAAGTTTGGACAATTAGGAAGTGAGGAAGACCCTGTAATAACTATTACTAAAGAGCAGGTAAGGGATTACTTCGAAAACCTTGAACACATTTAATTCAGCCCATCGAGATTGTAGGGGGATTGGCTGGCTGACATACTTTTACAAAATTACTGAGAACTGGGGAGAGACCAGGATCAGTTTAAGAAAGTAAATCAAAAAACAAGACAACAAACAGAAAAATGCTGTTTCCTGAAAGAGCGTAGCTTCTGTTTTCATCTTGAGAATTAATGAAACCTGCATTCAGGTTCTGCTGGTCTGAGGTCTCACTTGTAGAAGAAAATGGAGAGCCTGTTCCAGGATCTGGAGGTCTTGGGGTAGGAGGACTGCGGGCAGCAGGCATTATTTTGGGAACAGTAAAAGTTAATCTCATCAGACTCATGTTGCCTTCTGCTTAAATGACACAATTCAATTAAAACGAAATGGCCTATGTGATACAGAGGGGCTGTAAGGTTTTAATGTATCAATGGTGCGGTATTTCCAAACCTTACAATCAACATGAATGAAAGCTGGAAACTCTGAGGTACCTGCCAGGTCTTCCTCTTGCAGCTGTAAAGAAGAACCTGTGTACTGAGTCCTGGAGTAAAATGGCTGGCTCTGTGCGGTCTGTGAAAGCCTCTGCCTAGTTCTGAAGGGCTGCTGGAGCTCATTCAGGATCAGCACCTTTGGAAGGCTGCTAGTCGATAAGCTGGCATGAGTCATACAGGAGAACAGCCTTTTCAGATTGAACCCAAAGTGAAGCCTTCTGCTTAATTCTGTGTGGGCCGATAACAGTGAAGCACTGCTAAAAATCTCTAGCTGTCGTTTGGGCAGGCTGTGGAAAGATTTGCCTGTGTTGTGGGCTGTGAATATAAATCTGTATCATCCTGACTTTGAACCCAGGATGCTGCCAAGGACAACGCTTGTCAGGATGCAAAGTAAAAAGCCCAGGGCTGAGCAAGCGTTGGAGTCCAAAGAATACAGTTGGTATTTAAAGCAGTTGAGCAGAAAGCCACTAGCTTAGAGCATAGCGAAAAACCGTTCCAGAAGACACAAACAGCTGAGTGACAGGCGAGGAAGAAATTGCAGGCACTTTAGTATGGCCCAGTAAACTAATAAGGGGCCCAGGGGAGACCTCAGAGAGCCCCTGTGGCAAGAGTTTGAAAGAATCACTCTAAAGGAGAGAGTAACAAAGGCTGCGCCGTGCACTCAGCGCTGCATAACTGGTGTTCTCTTACATAAATCTCAGCGAGGGCCCAGATTTGCTCTCTTGGGGGGACACCACTCCCGACATCACAGTGCCTAGACACATTTCTGTAAGCAACTAGTGTTATTGTTATGCCACAGCCCTCTTAGGGAAAGATGATGTCATTTTGTGCATATTTGAACCTTTTTTTAGTTGTGAAGCTTATAGCGATGGTTTACTTTGTACTTCAGATCTTCTAGAGATCGATCTTCAAGAGAAAAGTCACGAGACAGAGAGAGAAAAGAGAAGAGCTCTTCTGAGAGGCGGCACGAGAGCACAAATGGCAAATCTCGTTCCAAGAGATCAGAAGAGAGAGAAGCTGGCGAGATCTGAACTCAAATGATCTGTGTTGCACTGTAAATAGTCTGATAAACATTCTACACAAAGCCTAAATTTCCCATTTATATTTACTGAATACAACTCATCTTTTGTAGTTTGGAATTTTTATTGTTTGGCAGATAGCTGTGAGTTTGTAGAGACACAGAGTTACGTACTGTTTAACAGGATTTTGTTTTAGTAGGAATAAATAAATCTGAATGGATCGTTCTCAATTCAGGCCAGTGGTTGACACACTGTGTTTGTCCTGACCCAGCGAACGCAGCAGTCTGGCAGGGCTGGGGTTGGAGACCTGAGCTGCCATGACGTTTGTAACGCTTCAGCCCTTTCCAGAAGATCTACCTGACCCTTTGTGAGCGCACCAGTAGCACTGGTTCTCACTTAATTACTTTTTCCTTCTGTTTATATATGTTAAAAAAAATTAAGAATTTTTTTTTTCCTTTTAGCGCTTAGCCACTTCATTTTTATGTCTCTGGCATTTGAGAGTTGCCTCATTATTCCAGCTAAGTCAAGACAGACAGAATTTGGCCCTGATCTGCCTATTTTGAAAGCTGTTCATCTTTGTGAGGATGACCAAATTGGCTGGAGCACATTCCTAAGATGGACTCGAGCCTGGGTTTAGTACCTTTACAGATCAGATACCGGCTGTAAACAAAATAGTGGAAAATCTGGCTGATTTCTTCTATAGCGGAGTACAGCCACAGCTAGCCTGCCCATTTACTGTGGGCTCCAGAGTCAGAGCTTCCTCCGTGGAGTTTTTCCTGACTCGCACAAAAAGCGTTGGTGTACGTTTCTCAAGGCCAGTCAGGCAGAACGTGGCCGAGGGGCAGAGGTGACTCGGGATGGAGCGAAATCCAGGGGCAGGGCAAGGAGAGGAGTCCCCCCCGTGTCGACGTGTACCGCTTCTCCTGGGAGCAGGACACCGGCGGTGTCCTAACACGTGTGGGAGGAATTTGCATATTGTAACTAGCTTATTTGTAACTAGGTTTATTTTACACTAGGGGAGGAAGGCCGCCTTGCTGTGCCAGCCGCAGGCGAGACCCTGAGGATTGGTATTTTGTGAGAGTTGTGTGAGTAAAGCACTTGCTGCCCGCCGAGCTGCGCGCTGGTGGGGCACGGGCCCGGGCCCGGCCGCTGCTCGTTAGCTCGGTGAGGCACGTATCTTTAATTAAAGACAGCTCACCCCTAATGTTTCCAGGCGGCGGGCGCAGGGAAGTGTCTGTAAATGCTGTTGAAGGCCGGGAGGGCCCGGCGGGTGTTTTACCCCTTCGAGGCTCCGATAAGCTGCTTAACGGTTTCAGTGTCCCGGCGGCCGCCCCGGCGCTCCCTCGGTGTTAGTCCTTAGTGCATGCGACCCCCCCACACCCCACCTTTCCCTGTCCGTTTTTACAACTAATTCCGCGGTTTCACGTATTGTTTTTGTAACCTCCGTGTCGGGTGAGGGGAGAGCGGGGGCGGCGGGCGCGCTCTCGGGATGCCTGTACGTGACTGTGCTGTTCTCTCGCGGTCTGATCGCATTAAAGATCTGTGTTTGTGGCTCCCCGTGCTGCCCGGACTGGTTCTTGCGGGTTTCGCCGCCCGCGCCGCCGCCATTCCCGGGAGAGGTGACGCACCGGGCGCCCCCCCCCGCGCCACACTGCGCAGGCGCGGCTCTGAGGGGAAGGGCGGAAGCGCTCGCCGGCGTCTCGACGTCATTTCCGCCAGGGGGCGGTGGCGGAAGGAGGCGGAAGTGGTGGCGGCGCGCGCGGGGTGAGTGGGGAGCCGGGCGGGGGTCGGTGCCGCCGCGGCGGGGGGAGCCTGGGACGGGCTGCGCGGCGCTGGGCGAGCTTCTGGCCGCCTCCCGGTGCGCACCGGGAAGCCGGGCTTGTCTCCGGGCCGCTCCTCCGGCGGGCTCCGGCCCTGCCTCTCCGGAGGAAGCAGCCGGTTCCCGGAGCGTCCCCCCTGCCCGGGCGCCAGTCGCTCCGCCGGCGGGGCCGGGGCGGGAGAAAGCAGCGAGAAGGGTTCCGTGAAGGCGGGGGCTCCTCGCCGGGCCGGGGAGCAGCGCTGCTCGGGCGTGAAACACCTCAGCGCTTCACCCGGTACCGGACCCCGGGAGCGGAGGGCCCCGGAGATTGCCCAAAACCGTATCGAGAAGCCTGGGAAGGAATTTGATCTCTTCCTCAGAAGCCTGGGACGCTGCCGGGGTAGCTTGTTGCTCTAATCCGCCGTTTGATCTGAGCTTGTTTATCCCGTGGGGTTGGCAGGCTGCGTAGGAGCCCTGGGGAGACGCTTGCGCAGCGCTTGCGAGCGCGGGTCTGTATTCCAACCAAACAGAGATTCAAGAAGCGCCTCACCTCTGCAGAGCCTGTCACACAGCCTTCAACGCTCTTCCTGGAGAGGGTTCAAATTCATGTTTCTCTTTTCCTCAGCAGGCCACGCGCCCAGTCCGTAGGCATGAATTAGAGCGTTTCTTGCAGAAAGAAAAATCCTTCAACATGTTCAATTGTGATCCCGTTTCCACCCTTTTTTCCTTATTTTGGAAAGCATCAAACCTCTTACCTAACTGCTGCGAGTCAGAGGGGCAGCCTGCCCTGGCAGGGAGGGATGGCTCAGCGTGACTGGAGCCGGCCCTCCCCAGTGCTGCAGCAGAACTGGGCCCTGTTCGAGGGGCTGTCTGGGGAGGCTGGAAGCCGTGAGGCTCCGCAAGGCTGGGTGGGTGGAATGGCCTCTGAATGAGCTTTCCTCTGTGTGTAGGTGTGCGAGGAAAATAAAAGTTCCATTTCTGGGGGGAGAAGAGAGGTTTATCTTGGAGATAGCTGACAAGGACAACGGCGGCTGGAGGGAGGCTGTTGTTTTGTGCTGCCGTAAACCGCGCTGGGCTGTGCAGGAAGGACCCAGCGGGCGGCACGGAGTTTGTGGCCTGAGCGGTAAATGGAGATCTGCGGAACAAGGGCCAAGGGCTTGGCTTAAAAAAGAGGTACTTTCTTGTCATTTTAATAAACCTACATGTAAACGACCGCAGCCTCTTGGAAAGGATTTTCATGCACCAAGATCTCCCCAAAGTCCCTATTGTGTTAAATGTCTGGTGGGGAGATGTCGCCGTGCTTCTGATGCAAGCAGGGGAGCCCTGTGGGTGAGGTGGGGGTTCTCTGATATGAGAGCTTCAAACAACTTGCTAACTACCACTCGTGGGGTTGATTCAAGGGATCTTCAACAGTCAGTGAGGGCGAGTGGCTTGGATCCAGCGAAGCTTGTAAGTTCTGGGATGGTAAATGGCACGTGTTTCTGCTGCTCGATAGTTATTACTGGCGTAACCTATAATCAGTTCCACACAGCTTTGCAGCTTTAAAGCTGTTCTTCCTAGAGTTTTGCTCTTCCCATTGCTCTCTTGGAAGAAGTACTGGATCGTGTTTTGCTCTTCGCTAAACAGATCGAGTTTCTCTACTTGAACCCCTGACTGTAGTGAAAACTGCCCTGGAAAAGAGGACTTCTCTCCTGCGAATGCCACACGTATCACGTTCTAAGGTGGCGTGTGGTTGTGCTCTGGAGGAGCTTGCTGTGAACTCTGTGGCAAGTGCTGTGTCTGCACCAGAGGGTTAAGTGTCCTTTAAGAAGAACCTGATGTTTTGAAGAGACCTGTGTTGACAGAGGCAAAACAACAAGCGTGAGGGGAGGGGAAAGGGCAGCTGTAGCAGCAAAATGCATGTGTTTCTCCGAGCTGGGTGTCTGCATTGTCCTTGGTGTGGTCTGGGTTACAAATCGTGTCCTTACAAAGGCTGCAGGGACATAAGCAGGAGCAGAGGTACCCTGGCATCAGAAGGGGATCGTCTTGAGTCAGTTCTCTCCGCCAGCCTGTGGCTGCGACTTTATATTGAGAAAGAGTTATGAGCTGCAGATGACCCAGCAAAATTAAAAGCTTGTGTACAGTGTACAGTCTGAGTGTATTTGGAAAGGAAAATCTTGTTTGGGGGAAATCTTGAATGTTATTTCCTCTTGGCTGGACCCTGATATAAGTGGGACTGCAGAAAAGGGAAAAAGTGACCCAATAATGTCAACGTTGCAGCAGGTGACTGCCCGGTGAGTTTGCTGCAGTGCTGGGCTGTACATGGGATCAAAACTGAAGAGTCTGCTTGTGGAAGGCAGCCATGAAGGGAACACTACATCTTATCCAGAGCAAAACTTAGAAGCTGTTTTGTCATTATTAATTGCAGCTTGGGGCTTCAACAATTGAAGGAAACCTGTAAGGTGTTTAAAACAAACAGAAAAAGAATGAAACCAGCCAAATGCTCTGTTTGGGTTCCTAAAATGGCCAGTCGGAATCGGATTTCCTCATTCTGTGAAAGATACAAATGTGTTGAACATCAAATCTAAGTAACACTATATGGCTAGCAATTTTCCAGGAAGAGCTGATGTCTGGTGAGATTACAAATGCTGTGGTTTGGTATTTTATGGGTGGAAAATGAGTTAAACCTTCCATCGCACTGGTACTTAGATGGATTTTGTGACCGGTTTTCATACATCTGACTGTATGCAGTTCTCTGTGCTTGTCAGGCAGCTCTAGCTGACTGGTAGTGATAGTTTGTCTCTTGGATTTAGCTGTGGCTTGGTGCTAACCGCTTGCTGCAACAGGTTTCACTGGTTTGATTCAGATCAGATCTGTAAATCTGTGCTGTAGCTTCAGGAGAAGAGGAAAGTCAGTCCCCCCCGAAGGTGAGTAAAGCTGTGTTTGTCCCGAGCGCAGCGTTGTTACTGTGGGACTGGAAAGGGTATTCATTCCTCCTTGGCTTTGACTGGGGACTGCTCCTAGCTCGTCCCGTTGCTGGGGGTAAGTAGCCTTTGAAGCTCGGGGAGCGATGGAAGTGTGCACACCAGCAGGTGAAGTCAGTCGAGATGCAGATCCTCAAGCAGCGCTTCTTGGGCCGAGTCCAGTTCGGGTCTGTCGCATGCGATTTCTAATTCTTTCCTTTTCTGTGAAGTCTTTGTCCCATGTGCTCTCACGGTGAGGCCTCCTGTCCCCAGGCAGAGAGCCAGTGCTAGCCATGAGATCTAGTGCATGCAACGTGTGTAAATAATGCAGCAGCATGGGATCCTGTAGCTGTGTATTTCCTTGCAAGGTGCCTGGATGCATTAAACTTTCTGGTGAATTATTTTGTGTCCTCTACCAGCAGGAGACAAAATGCCGGCTGCTAGAGGACAGTAATAAAGTCATCTGAAATGCACACTATCATTTTCTGCTTGTCTTCAATTAAACTGATTACCAGACTTCTGTGTTGTTCAGAGGTCAGACCGTTTCACATGCTGCCAGCATGTACTTTGGCAACTGTGGGCAATGGGATTTCCTGCATTGTTTGAGCCTTTGCCATTGACCTTTGTGGCCGTTGTTCTGGCACTGCCTCTGCTCTGGCAGGGGTGCAAAGGGCATTATTCAAACCCTTTAAAAAAAAGGGAAAGAATTGCTTTAAAGGCATTGAGGGCTCTTTGTAATCAGTGGCTCGTAGGGTCATTGCTGCAAAAGAAGGGGAATTGCTGGGGCTGTCAGGATAATTACCACTTTTTTTATTGTTCTTATCCCAGTCTAGATGACAGTGGTGTGATTTAAAGTGAGTCATAAAAATATGCCTTCCATACAGCGTTAAGATGGTGCCCCTTTCAGACTAAGTGGAGAGAAGCCTGGTTTGGATTCTTCTTGGGAAGTCTCATAGGTGCTGGAAGCGCTCAGCTGTGCCCTGCAGGTTTCCTGGCCCCGTACTGGGGGGCTGCGGAGGGCTCCAGTGGGGTTGTGCTGGAGCCCTGTCGCAGCCTGTGCCGTGGGCCCTGGTTACCGCAGCGTTTGCGAAGATCCACCTCTCCCTGCTGCTGGAGGCCGGCACGCCAGCGGTACACGAGCCATCTGCCACATCGCGAGGGAGGTCGCGCAACCCGTTCCTGCCGCCGTCCCCCATCGCTGCGGCAGAGGTTGCTCCGCTCCGGTAAATCATTTGCTCAGCCTGTGCCTGGAGCCTTGTACCTTGAACCTGCTGAAGGTCTGGTGCTCAGCTGGCTCCAAGAACAGAGCAGTGCTCGGCTCGCCAGCGTGGAGGCCAGATCGAGGGGAAGGCTGAATGCATGACTCTTTCTTTTCTTCCCCTTTCCATCTGAGCCTTCCTAGCCGTGTCAGGCGCCTGCGGCTAGACTGGAAACATCCAGCCTCGTGAAGGTGTCTCTGCTGGTGTTGTCAGACTGATGTGAAGGGCAGATGAGGTCTTTGGAGTAAGATCTTTGGAATAAGATACAACTTCTACATTATTGATTTAATTGCATTTGCATGGCATTGTGCAGCTTGAATTAAATTGTCTGGAGCGAGGTCTTGTACTCGATGTGCTGTTGTAGAATAAATGCCAGAGTGCTTGGGTTGGAGTAAGTGCTTTGTAACTCCAGCCTTTTAAGTCCAGGAGGCACCGAGGTTAGCTCGGACTGACAGCAGCGTGCCAGGCTGTCCCGCTCAGCCCCTGCCTTGCCATAGGTCTGTCCCCACTGTGATTTGTACCCAGAAGAGAAGAGGCCTCTGCAGCTCTTCCCCGCGACGGGACAGGGACAACCCAGGGAGGTGAGACCCCCCGTCGAGCCGCAGCTGCCTGAAGAAGCCTGGCCTCCCAACGGTGACTCGCATCTTGTGTTTCTTTGAACCTGTAAATGAACTTGGGCATGGAACGTGAGATGTAACGAGCCCCGTTGTTGGAGTTGAAAGCCCAAGCTCTCTGCATTGTGTGCTGGTGCTGAGTTTAAGCTATTTTCTGCTGGGGAAGTAAAATGCTCCAGCAGACAACCTAGGCACATGACTGCTGGGGCACGGTCATGGAAAATTGGCTCAGTTGTCATGTTTATTTGCGCTGATATAACTCTTTATGACATTGTCATGCAGCTTTTTCCAAGACTGCTGGAATGTGTTATTCCTCATTTCTTCCCTTCCACTATTTTTTTAAAGAAGCACTATCAGAGAAACTGTATATAACATTGATTTTTATTGTTTTAGGTAATGAGTTATAGGCTTCTGTAACCAACTAGGGCCTTTTTTCCTCCCTTTTTATAACAAATTAGCATAGAACCTCTCTGTTATTGTAACTGTAGTTCAAAGTTATGATTTGTAGCTAGAGAAGCTAAAATAGCAGTTGGCTCTTCTTCCGTTCTGATGAAATCAAATTTGCCTGATTTTAGTCTCCACAAGTGCCTTCTTTTTCCTCCAAGGAGCTTTGGTTTGTTCCTATACAGAATATGCTGGTGTTTGTTTCTCTCTCTCCCTCCGGGGGAAGCTCAAGTGCTCATTACAGTAGGGAACATCCTTCTGTTGGGATATAAAGGTCACAAGTGTTTCCTTTCACCTCTCCGGCCAGGAGTCAGACTGGCATACGTGGGAGGCGGCAAGAAGCCTCTTAAGCTAAAGGAGCTTTTGTCGTGTTTTTTGTGAGTGAGACCTACAGACCAGTCAGTCCATTCTGTATAGGAGCTGTAGCTTTCTTTGTCTGGGTCTAGCAGAGTTGATTTGCTCCTCTGAAGAAACCGTGTTGTTCCTGCATCCTGTGGTCTCTCCCTGTTGCTCCATGCGGGAGACCTCCGGTACCAACGGCGCTTTGTATCCGGCTCTGTGACAATACACTGGTTTGCTCACCTCCCGTTAAATGTTTTCAGCTTGAATATCAGTAACAGAATATTTTTATGTTTTTTTTTGGAGATATTCCAAAATCTGTTTTAACTGCTCTTTCTGTTGTTGCAGGTGAAGGGGGAGAAGGGTGTGTGAATACCGATGAATGAGCTGCGATGGATAACAAAGACTCAGAAGCTGAGATCCACCCTCTGAAGACTGAGGACGTGAAAGCTCAAGAGAATCATGAAAACTCTGTGGAGAGAAGAATTGTCAGCAAGCAGTCATCGCGACTGTCTCGGCTGTCCCGGTGGCGCACTGCCGCCTTCTTCATCTCATTATTTCTGTGTTTGATAATTGTATTTGCTTTCTCGTTTATCATTCCTTGCCCAGAGAGGCCAGTTTCAGAAAGAACATGGTTCCGAAACTACGACAATGCAGGTGAGCTTGCTGTAACAGAGTAAATATTTACCAACGGTCATTTTCCTTTATGTGCCACGAATTTGAATTGTGGACCTCTACCTAAGCACAATCCGGAGCCGGGCCTGCAGGGAGGCTGCGCTTGGGAGCGAGAGCTGTGAATACCTGACCTGGATATGCAGTGGCCCATCATAATTGGAGTGGCCTTCCAGGAGGTGTTTACAGGATCTAATGGAGAAATTAGATGCTGCTCTGAAGCTCTAACAAGGTAGCAGGCTCTAACAAGGTAGCATTTCCTCATTTGGAAAAAAAAATAAATGGGGAAGGGTTTCTGGGACTAAATCTTTGCTAAGGTTTAGTCTGTAAAGTGTTCCCCTGAAGTTTGAGCTGAAGTTTGGGGACAATTAGGCGTTCTCTCTCTCTGTCAGTATGACTTTCTAACTTTTCCACGGCTAACAGGAAGGGGAGAGGAGGAATTGCATCTTGTTTCTTTTTATAAATTGCACAAATTTATAGTTGCTTTAGTTGGCTCTTTAGCCTGGGTACTGCTCCCTGGTGGCTCAGTATTCACTTCTGTGAAAGCTTTTCTTTAATCTTCTGTGCAGCGGGTGTGTGCTGGTTGTGCTATAAGCACAGAGACAGTGCTCACCAACGGGGACGGAGCTTTGTGTGTTAATGCAGAAATCCCAAGTTCTGCTATTCTGAGCTGAATAAGGCTGCTTTTAGCTGAGAGTGAGAAAGGTGGAATATCTGGGGCTGTGTTTCATGGGTTTGTTTGGGATTTTTTAATATATTTTGGGAATAGCAATCCCACACCAAGACCTGTGTTGTTCTTTGTTCAACGTAGTTCAAATTCTGGCTGCTTGGCTTTAAAAAAAGACAAATCCTCTGGGGGATAGCAAATTTTAAAAATCCTTTGGCACTAACTTCCAGTCCTTGGTACTCATGTAGATGTCTTTTTTTAATACAAAAGCCAATTTGTCCTGATGTTACGCTGTCGGAGATGGAGGCAGTGAGTAGGTCTCTAGGAATTTGTGTTTTGCTCCAGCTAACTCTGCTGTTGATTGCAGCGGTTCTCACCAGTGCCTGGCTTGTGATCTCTTTTACAGTGGCCTACCAGTTTCTCGCTATAGAAGATGTGAACGAAGACAAGGTGCAAGATGTCATGTTTGCTTTCAAAGCTAGCAATGGCAGCAGCAGCTTCAACAGATCCTGTCTGGATGAAGGTAGCTGAATCAGAAACAGAAAGCCTTGTAGTAAGGGCTGTCCTTTCTCTTTTAGTTCTAATTAGTGAGGCTGCTGTGGGTCTGGGAGAGAAAACCAGATTAGCTGGGTGGGGAGAGGAACTGGGCGAGTCCCAGCTCTCGGGTGGTGCGGAGCAGCAGAGGTAGGTGTGTAGGCAGCGCTCCCTCTGACATCTCTTCTCTTCAGGTCTGCCTTCTCCGTGTGCCTTCATTGCTGCTGTGTCTGGCACGAACGGCAGAGTGCTCTGGGAGAGGCCTGCTGCCGAGGAGATCGGGTGGATGGAGTGTGGCATCACGCAGCTGGGGGGGGCGGAGGCCCCGGGCTGCCTGGTCGTGGGGAAGCCGGTGTCTCTTACGGCAGTTGACCTGCGGACAGGTGAGTGGGGAGCAGAGTACTGCGGCCGTACAGCGGACGGGGCTACTCATTTTCCTCACACGGTGACCCTGAGACCTTGGAGGCTGGGGACATCAGCGTGACATGACTTGCTGGTACATGAACAATGGGTGCAGGGTATTCATTATCTTGAAAACCTTGCCAGAGCCATTCGCTGGGCCGTTGAGAAGCGCCTGTTCTCTCAGCCTCTCTGTTCCAAAAGCTGGACTCTGTTGTGGTGGCTTGTGCCAGCCACTGTGTTATAAGACCAATGTTTCGACAGCTTTTGAAATGGGAGAAGCTGTCTCTCGCTGTGAATGTTACTTTATAGTCTCAGGGGTTGGACACAAACCTGCACCTGCAATGTTTCCCAGTCATTTGTGTGTGAGTGCTAGGAGTGCCTGCAGTGGCAAGAAGAGTGGGAGTTTTAGGGATTTATGATTTTAAAGTCGTCAAGGAGAGCATTTAGGATAAGTACTCATCAGTCTGTTTCAGTAGTCCAGGATTTTGCCTGGTTCTTCTGGAAAGCCTTCTTAATTTCTGAACCTATAGATGGAGAAATTCATCATCATCTTGCCTAAATGCAGGGTGAGGTTAAAGAGTGCCTGTACTTTTCTAGGAACAGGGCAGTGATGATCTGTTCCACCTTGAACCTTTCTTGCTGATGAAGCCTGAAATACATCTCCATTTTGGGGGTCACTATATCAGAAGTTCTAAACAATGCACGTTTAGAAACATGCCTAGGGTCCTATCCTCTGTAGCTGATACTGAGCCCCTCACACCCTATCTTCCGAAAAATGGGATAGAGAAATAGCAAGAGGTATAGCTCTAAGGAATCTGAGGAAAATCTAGTGTAGCTTTTATTTTCCAGTGTAGATGGAAGTGTAGACACACATGGAGCTGGAAAGCTTCTGTACTAGTTGAGGTATCTTAACACCATTTCCTTCATCAGGTAGGCTTTAGCACAGGTTATTTATAAACTATTAACGAAGTAGTTGCTTTCAGGTCAAAGTGTGAAAAGGTGGCTGCTGAGCCAAAGGCAGGTAACTAAAGACAGTCGTAAAGAAATAGCACAAGCAAGGCACCAGGCTAAGCCACAGGACACAGCAACAATACAGTGAAAAAAACATTCCATAGATAAATGAAAAGCAAGAGATGAAAAATTACTTCAGCTTGAAAAGTGAATAGCCCAGAATTTGACAAATTTGATACCTTTTTGCTATTAAGTAGGTTAAAAGGAGTTTCTTGGCATAGCTGACTTTTACTGGGGGTTAGGAGGGCAGATCAGAATAAAATGTATTCAAATAGGCTAAATGTATTTAAAGTGGCAAAGTCTGACTTACATCACATTGTGCTAAAAACAGTAGCCAGAACAATCTTTAGCTGTTAATGATTCATTGTCACGGAGGACTGGTGAGATTCCAGGGCTCTCAGGCTGTCTAGCCTCTGCCTGTAGGACGACTGAAGGAGAGGTAGGCAGATTATCGTCTGAAAGTGTCTGATGTGGTTTTGATCTTTAAATGCTGATAAAGTTAGTGCTCTGAGTTAAGTCTTGCTTTCTTCATTGCCAGAAGTGACCTGAGCAAACAAGAAGGAAAGTGTGGGATTGCATGCTTCTGTTTGTGTGGGATAGCTAACATTCCTGCATGTTTATTTTACAAGCAAACTGGGACACAGGAGTTTGAGATTAGCTGTTCCAGGGCAAAGCAAAAGGCTGTGTAGCTGCATATTCCATCTCTGCCAGGGCCAGAGGCAGAGTCTTGAGGAGGAGGACAGTAGTGTTCTGTTACATCTTCTCTTCTTCACCTTATCTTCCAACAGCCTGCATTGTAAACCCTGTGTGTACTTCTGGTCACTTAAGGGATATGACAGGAAGGGGACCACAATGATCAGATGTATGAAATTGCTTCTGTGTGAGAAACCAGTAAATAAACCAGAACTCCAACCTGGAGAATGTCTGAGAGGGAGAAAAGTTTCTGTGTCCTCTGCAGCTGCTTGAAGTGAGAGCTGAACTCAGTCATCCAAGTCCCAATTTTATTATTCCTTCCAGACCAAGAAAAAAAAAAAAAAAAACAAAACCAAACCACCACCCTTTCACCCTGGTTAGATTTGCTGTCTAAGCACTTGTCTAATTTCCATCTTGACTTCTGTGGTCATGCTTCTGCTGTGACCTCGGGCTCTGAGGAGGTGCTCCAAATGTCAGGCAGGATAGTCCCATCTCCGGTTGATGGGGCAGGATGGGACTGGTTTCACAGTTGTGCTCTTTAGGGGTTGTGCTAGAGCATTAAAGCTTCTCAAGTCTTTTATGTTGAATCCATCTCACTGTTACTTGTTTCTGTTAAGTCAGACTGCTCTTTTAAGAGAGTAAGATGCTTTTTCCAAAACTATATCCACTGTCTGACCATCAAAGAATAGACCCTTACGCCTTGAAATGTGAATTTCATCAGCCTGATCTTACTGTTGTAGCTTTGGACTGTGCTGAAGCCAGGATACAGTTATTTAAAACTTAAGTTCTCTCCTTCCTTTGCCTGCTTGTTTTCTTCCGGGGGTAAAATTCCTTGCCTTCCCATGATTTCCTAGGGCCATTCCTCTGCTTCGCATCTGTTGTCATAGTAACAAATCCAAGTATTTTTTTCAGTGTTTCAGTAAAAACTTTGGAGGAATACTACTGGAAATACAGCCTGCCTTAAATTATTGCAGGCAGCATCAGGCAGTAATTCCTTGGCCTTTACTACAACTGCCTTCCTGACAAAGAACAGATGATTACTTTGCATTCCTGAAATTATAATTGCGCTGTGTGATACTGTTTAAAGGGGAGGGTAGGCATTTCCCCTCTGAGCACCTAGTTAGTCACTTAAGTCTTCCTTAAAAAGGAAAATCCCCACAGGTTTCCCCACCTCACCAAATTTCACTGCAAATTCCATCGGGCAGTGACTGGAAAGTAGCAGGCAGCCCTGGGCTGAGTCTCTGGAGTAAAGTCACACAACTGGCCTGGAGCTGTTGAAAAGAAACTCCCCACATACACAAACACCTTTTTTAAAAAAAAAAAACCAAAGCTCTGCTGCCTCTGTTTACAAACAAGTTTGAACGTGCTGTGCATGTTCTTTGAACAAGGGAAAGGTGGGATGCGAACTGAGTTGTGGCTGGTCGCATCAGTGTGGAACATTTGCAGGAGGCAAGTTGCAGCAGATGTTTTGTCGAGAGTAGCTGCAAGGCTGTGATCAGAATTTAGCTGCTTTATGGTCTTAAAATGTCTCTGCAGATTTCAGTACACAGCGGCAAGATTTTAGATCACAAAAAAAGGATTCTCCATGCCATGAAGATGCTGGGAAGCTTGTTAACCTACAAGACATGTGAAAAGCACGCTGTCCTTTGTGTCCTGCAGATTGATTTTCACCTAGGATGTGTGGGTGCATTTGTGCAGGAATCTAGAGTTACTTTCCAATATAAGATGAAATTGTGGATACTGGGAGTGATGAGCGTAAATGCTGTGGTGCTGATGGGCTGTAAATGGCTGGCTGCTGCAGAGTACTTGGAGGACCAGCAGGGTTAAAAGCCTTTCAGCCTAAAGTGCCGTTTAGTGAATATTTCCCAATAACCCTGTCTTCTAGGGGAGGTTCGGTGGAGAGAGTCCAGTGACTTTGGAGCGAATTATACTGTGCTGACTCCGGTGTCAGTGATTCCAGATGTGGATAGTGATGGAGTTCAGGACCTGATAATCTTTATTGCTACAGGAGATAAGGTATGTCACTCTGAAGCTGTGATAAACCCAGTGGCCAGACCACAGGGAATGGCAGGAATGCTATTTATTTCTATCTTGTAGTCTAAGAGGAAGTGTCCAGAGGCCTCTGATACCTGTGGGTTTGGGGTAGGTTCTTTCCCACCTGGCAGAGGTGTACTCCCAAATCAGTGCAAGTGTTTGACGGTCTAAAAAACAATAGAAAGAAGCTGCCCAGGAATCCCTCCCCCTTTTCAGTCTGCACTCCTCACTGCCTGTTCCTGGGCTCTGTGTGTGGAGTGAGCTTAGGTGAGATGAGCTTGCAGTTTCCCGGGACTCTACTCAGAGAAGTGGAAGTGAACAAACCCTGACAGGTTTGGCTCTTAGATCAAAGCACAGCTGACAGCCAGCACTTTTGTACCACCACTGCCCTTTTCTGAGCTTTCCTGTGGCTGCTTGTGGTCTGCTTAGCACGGCTCTCTTCCTAGTGTCACTGCGCTGGTTAATCCTGACGTGGGTTCATTTACTGAAATAGCTGCTAGTTGTGTTTTCTCTGTTCCAATATTGCCTTTCTCATTTCTTAGAGGGAGAAAGTCATGTAGCTAAAATTGTTCTTATACTAAAACATCTGCATCCACGATTGAGTGGTACAGCAGCATCTGCATGCGCAATCTGTCCTGCTTAAAGCATACAAAAGTTACTGTTCCCTGCAAATCTGATGGGAGGAGAGGAAGCCCCGTGTTCTCATACCAGAGCACTCCATAAGCAAATAGGGTTTTGCTGTCCGAGGCATTGTTGTTGCCAGAGTCATCAGCAATTCCATCCTCTCAGACTCCTACGTTTCTCTTCTGTTTTCTTTCGTCCCTGCTTTTGTTATCCCAGATATCTCAGGACTTTTTTTTTTTTTTTTTTCTTAAGTCTTATGCAGCCAGGGAATTTGAATGTAGTCTCTGTTCTGCAAGACTGCCTTTTGATTTGTTTTCCATTTAACCTCTCTAGCTATATTGGTATGAAATCCCTCCCTCCCTCCGGATTTGGCAAGCACTCTGTCAACTTAAGTAAAAGTATGTTCTTTTTTGAGAAGTCATGCAAAATGTAGGGAGCTTGAGTGGAGCTCTGCAGCTTGGAAAAAGGCGGTCTTGTTGGAAGGGAGATTCAGAACTTTAGCAAATTAGCTTTGTTGCTAACAAGGGCTGAAGTTGAATGTTACATTATACTGCTGTTTTCTGAAATGGCAGAGCTTTGAGCAGTCTGTGGGGAAGGGTCTGTGTGCAGGGGGTTTAGATGACAGCTTTTTCTGAGAGTCTTATTGACCCCTACCTGCTGCAATCTTTAGCACAAGTACACCTGTGAAAATAAGGTGTTTTTAGGGATACATCGCCTGTAGCAGCACACAGGGGGTATTAAGCAGTGTGGTGAGTAAGGTGGTGTGTATTCTCAGTCGCTGTATAAATACCTTTGGCTGTTGCTGTCCCAAGGCAGCTGCTGAACCAGCGCTTGCGAGTAAAGGTGAAGCTGATCTGCAAGAGCTGGTATGTGTCTCCTCCCAGTGCGGGAGGCTGGGAACAGCTGGTGGATATGTTGCTCTCCCTCTCCAGCTGTGTTCTCCATTCCCCCTGGCAAACTTTATCCCTTGTTCACCTGCCAGACTCCAGTTTCAATTCAAGAGCAGCAGATTTCCTTCTCTTTCCCAGTCCCTCCCTCTTAAAGAAGAGGGAAGTGTTCCTGCCTGACTCAGCATCTCTGATGGATGCTGTTTCTCTGGGTCTGATGTTCCTCTTTTCCCTAGTGTGCATTGCTCTCCCCAGACCATGACTGTTGCCCAGACGTTTGAACCTGATCCTCATTTTAGCCTTTATTCTCCTGGGTGAGACGTTTTCAGTGGATTCTGTTACACTGCACAAAGAATATAAAGAAACCTGTCAGCTTTTTTATCTGCTTGGACTCATGTCAGCCTTAGGAGGAGTAGATTAGGGCACTTAAAATATTTAGCAGAGCTACTGTGTGAAGCCAAGCTTTTCTGGTGTCCATATGCTGCTTTGTTTCTGCCTTTGGGTCCTCTCCATCATTTTCACTGCTCAGTAGGCTTAAATAGATCTTCGCTGTCCTTAGCAGAGCTGGGGCATGCTGTTCAGCAGTCCCAGCCTGCAGGGGAGGTGGTTGGCAGAGGTAGGAAAATCTTGGGGCGAGTGGCTGTGCTGGAAGTGGTTTTCAAACTTGCAAAAAAGTATTTACAACAGAGGGATCATCTAACTTGTGCCCACACCTCCAAAACCAGGGAGAGACTTTTCATCCAAGCTTATGCTGTTCCCAATCAGCTGCTGTTCAGTATCAGCTGCTCAGAAGCTTTGGAAAACACTTCAGTCAGAGCAGTAACAGTGCAATGCAGCTTTAACCTTTTTGGTTGGTTTGGTTTTTTTTTTTTAAATTTCTTCCTTGCGTAGATTAAGACCTTCATCCACTCAGGAAAAAATGGTGAACAGATTGGCTCTGCTGGAAGCTTGAACGTGGATGGGAAAGCTCGCTACATCAGGCTGAACCTGGACTCCTCCTCCTACTTCCTTTTTTATACAGGTAGAGCTCTGTTTGTGAATTCAGTCTGAAAGAGTGATTATAACTGTGAAATCAGGGTTACTAAACAGTTGTCTGGAAGACCACTTTGCATACTTAAAAGCTGTGTGGTGCTTTCACCTAGTGAAAGAACTATTCAAGGCCAAGAGAAAGGGGGAAGCTTCTGTTTAAACTAAGGTTTGTTACGTACTGTAGTAATTTTATTTGAAAAATGTTGAGAATGTAAGGTTTAAGCAGTCATTTATAGCAAATGATTGGTGTCAAACACTTAGATTACGAACAGATAAGATGTTAAAAGCATTCAAAAGAAGGCTTGAGTCTCAAAATACCACTACCACTCTATGATGCAAGCCCTAAAAGTATAGTTGATCTGCCAGATCTGGAAAATTGTAGAGTTCAGAGCAAGGGCAGGGTAACTTATCTCCCTCGTTATTGCTTTTTTTTTTTTTTGCACAGAAAACTCTCTCTATGCATATTCCCTGAAAGATCTCTACAGCGCAGCCACTGGGATGGAAATTAAGCTTCCCAGCCTTGAGCAAGATCCTCAGTGGGAGAAGAACATTGACCCCACCACACACCGCTTATCCCTTCTCAGGTGTGAGATTGTCTTGGTTGCTGGTGGAGTGGAGGGTACCGGCGTTCCTGACAGGATGGCCTGTTGTGGCTTTGTTCTTTCCTGGCTATGTGGCTTTTGGGCTAGGAGCACATCCAAAGCTCGGGGAGAGGGCTGGTGTTGACGGAGCCTGGTCAGGGCTTCACAGGAAAGGAGGGAAAGCAGACTGGGGTTTCCTATTTGCATTTACCCTGCAGGAAAAGAACCAAACCCCCATAATAAAACCATCCACAGTCTAGAAAGCATAATCATTTCTCTGTCTTTGTTCAGCTCCGGAGACATTCGTTACCTGGCAAAAATTCCTGGGCGATCACGGGAGAACATCTTAGTTGTAAACTCGGAGATGGCTACGCTGATCAATGTGCAAAATCTTCAGACTTTGTGGACCCTCAACGTGTCCCGTGTTGTGAGGTAGTGTTATCGATATGGCTTGGGTGTGGCATTTCCAGGATCCCAGCAACAGCAGTGTCCTGGCAGGTGCCTTTTTCTTTTTTTTTTTTTTTTTTAATTTGAAACACAAGAGCCTGCTCTGTGGTCGTACCTGGATCATGCTGCTTGTGTCACGTGTCCTCTGCTAGCAAACGTCAGGTGCTGCTTCAGAATAAAGGAGCCCAAAGCTTTGTTTCTTCATTCCGTGCCTGCTGTGATATGGCTGTCTTAGGACTGGGCTCAGAGGTGGGAGGGATACCAGGCTAACCTAACGTGGTAGCAGTTGAGTCTCTTACCAGGGGAGTTGTGGGAGGATAGAGGCTGCTCTGAAAGAACAAGGTGTGCCCGGGCCATCAGGATGTGTTATGATCTGTCCCTTCTCTTTCTCTCCCTTAGGGAACCGCTGCTTGGTTACTACAAACCCGATGTTCTTGGTATTGTCCTTGAGAGTGAAATTGGACCCAACATGAAGAAGGTTTGAAATCTCTTCCTTTTAACTTCCCTTTTCTCTGCATGTCACAGCTCAGGCAGGCATTGAGTCGAGGACAGCTGGTGGGATGTGTTCCCTCTGGCTGATTTTAGGAAGCTTTAGGCTGGGAAAGGATCTCTTTCAACAGGTTATTGAAGCCAGCTCAGGCACTTTAATTCTCTTCTCAGCAAGAGACTTCAGTGACGGAGCTTTGAACCCCCATGAAGTAGCTGCAAAACTTGTGACTTTATTCTAACGTGGCCCACCCCAGGTCTCACAACTCTGTGATGCTCAGTTTCAAGTATTTCCTCATCTTCCCATGTGTCAGATACTTGTTCCCGTAGACAGTGGGGTAGAGACAGGTGACTTGACTTCTCTCTGATGGCTTGCTAGAGCTCTTTGGTATGAGTTCTTTTTCTTTCTTCCCTGCTAGGTTATGATTGTTGAGAGTGGATCTGGAGCAGTCCAGTGGGACCTGAAGCTGAACTCGAGAGCAGAGAGCCCTGGGCCAGCCATACTTTCTACTGCTGATCACCGGTCCGCCTTCCTCATCTGGGGAGAATACCAGGTGCCAGGAAATGAAACGGTGAGTAGTGTTGCTGTGAATGGTTAGTGTTCTCCAGACTTTGGGCCGGAATTGGGTGGAGCTACCCCCTTTTCCCAGTGTTCACCTTCCCATCTGTCTGTGCCACTGACACTGCAGCCTCCTGCACTGGGCGTGGGGTCTCTGGCCAGTCTGGTCTTCTAGAAACAAGCAGACCTCTGCGTCTGGTCTGGTCTCTACTGGGTCCTCACAGTGTCCCTAGCAGCGTCCCTGCTAGCAGCTCCTGGTGGCATCAGCGGCTTTTGTCATCCTCATCCTGGCTGCATAGGGAAAAAGGACTTAGTGGTTCTGTGAGCAAAGTCACCCTGCCTAGGTGAGGTGAGAGGCTGCTGGCTTGGTACCTCTGAAGTTGCTGCTGTTTGGCCAGGTGCCTCTCAGGGCAGTGCTGCACACAGCAGTCTCCCATGGCCGTGTGAGTATCCTCTCTCTGCGCCAAGGCTGTCTCTGGCAGCCTCGGTGCACAGCTCAGCTGCCTAACAGAGCCCTCTGGGGCAGTGGCTGGCAGCGTTAGTGACAGGTTGTGTCTTGGAGGATGCCCGAGCACCAGCTGAGCTTCCTGTGCTTTCCTCGCTAACTCTACCAGCCCTAAAGCAAAAATCTGTCTCCTGCCTGCAGCAGGCAGGCCTGCCATTTGCAGGAAGCTTGGGGTGGGGAGGAGAGCACCGAGCAGTAAGCAAAATCCCAGCACTAGTACTAGTGGCATCAGACATAGGCAGACATGGACAAGTATCTGACTGGATGTATTCTATCAGGCATGAGTAATAGCTGAGCCTGGTGCTGGCATTGTCTCTGGGATAACGTGTGGGTCCACGTCCTGATAGTGTCCTGTTGGTTGCAGAGATCCAGAGCTCCTCTCCAGAAGCTGTATCTTTTCCATCCTTCTTACACTAATGTCCTGTTGGAGCTCCGCAATAACACAGACCAAATAATTGCATTCAATGGTAAGTCCTCTCCTTCCAGGCCTCCAGCGAGGAGGGGCAGGAGGGCACTGGCCTTCTGGTACCTCCCGCACTCCGTGGGCGCGTGGTGTTGGGTCTGGTGGCCCGTTCGAACGCGGAGACCTTAGGCTGGGCTTTTCCCCCTGCTCTGCGTTCCAGCCACGCTGTTTGAGCGGAGCCGCCACGCCTGCTACCTGCTGCTGAGGGGCCCTCAGCCCAGCGAGGAGCCAGGGCCGGTGTCTCTGATGAAGCGCAAGCTGAAGGAGGACGTCTCCGAGAGCAGGGTGATCTGGCTGAGCCAGGTGGCTGTGGACAGCGAGCAGTACGTCCGGGATCGCCTCTACAGGATGCGATTCCACAGCCGAGTGTGAGTTTGCTGAGGGAGGGGGAGAGGCTGCCCCGGGCCAGGCGTCTCCGAGCTGCCTCTCCTCTGCCGCCGTGCTCTTAGCAAACCCAGCTCACGGCTTCAAATGGGAAGCTGCCTTTCTCGATCTGCAAACCAAAGCGTGGCTGGCGGGGAAGCACCCCCAGTGCCCGGGGACGCCCCGGCCGTGGGGGCAGCTGCCAGTGCATCTGCCCTCAGAGCTGATGGGACTTCAGTGCTTGGCCACCGCTGAAGTGTCGTCAACTCGGGGGGGGAAAGGGCTTTCCCCTTGATCCTTCTGTGTCCTCGGCACTGTGCTGACTCAGCCTGTGTCTGGAGGAAAACACACGCTTGCTGGGGATGCTGGAGCTGATTATTTCTTGGGTGCTTGCGTGAGAAGTGGAGCTTCCATGTGTGGTGTTAGATTTCCTTTCTGAGTCAGCTCTCCTGGTGGTGGGAGAGTTGCTTGGCTCCCGGTTAATTTGCAATCGCCCTCTCCTGGATTCAGGCCCCTGCTTCAGTAGTTGTGGGGTGTGTGTAGTGGTAGACCCCGGCCGTGGCTGGTGATGTGGCTGGGTGTCACCCGGGCCAGCAAAACGCGGGTTAAACTGTCGTTCTACTTAGAAAATAGCCTTTTCTCTTAAGAACAGCCCCATGTGCCCCACGCTGCGGTCACAAGCCTCCCTGTGTCTGTCTCTGCTGCTTCTTTTCCAGCCAGGCTGTGCGGCGTTGGTGACATCGAAAGGGAGCTGGTCTCCCACATGATTTATGCATCAATGTTCCTCCCTGTCCCCAATCTGATTACAGGTGATACGGAAGCCACCCTGAGCCCAGGCCAACTGGTCCCTGCTGGTACAGACACCACCTCTCCTGCTGGTTTGGAGGTACCAGAGGATCTAGGACATCTTTTCAGAGTAGAATTGCACTTTAACCTTTCCTGGGAGCTGGGCTTGCTGCTCCGGGGAGCCCTGTACCCGAGTGGCAATGCCAGCTGCCCTGCAAATACTCCTCATTCAGCCTTGCAGCTGCTGAGGAGCCTTCTCCAAGCACTGTCCCCTCTGCCAGGAGGTGGGCAGGCTGTAAGACAGGCATGAGCTGCGCGGGGAAACAACGCGAGCTCTCTTTGCAGCACGGCTCCAGAGAGCTGTGTGCTGCCTCCCTGCCCTTGGAATTGAAGTGATGCTGGGTGAGGATCTTCGGGTGCTGCCCTCTCTGCCCAGCCTGGTAGCCCGAGGGAATGGGAGAGGTTCTTGTGTGAAGATGTCTCCCCTGGAGACTTCTGTAGCGTGGTGTGCTTGCTGTGTGCCCCGTTCCCTGCTGGTCACTGCTGCGGACTGTAGAAATTAGGTGCAAAGCCTGGAAAATGGTTTGAATCAGCTGCTTAGTCCTGAAAGTTGCAGTCCCCACGCCAGCCGCACCGAGACACCAGCCCTGTCCGTACGCTGCTAGGCATCCACCTGACTGGTGAGAGGAAGGTGGACAGAAAACACACACCCTAAAAATAACCTCTCTCAAGTTTTGCAGTGCTGGAGGGGGTTTGACCAGTGCCTCCCTCCCTTGCCTAGTCTCAGATCAGGGGCTGTGTAAAAATAGGGTGGGATGAGAGACTTATGCTGAGCTGTGCAGGGTTGGGCTTTGGTTATTCTCTTGTGGCAACTGTTGAGCTTTAACCTGCTTCAGGGCAGCTGCTGGCTCGGGCAGCTGGTGTCACCCAGGCTCGTGCCCACAGCTTCAGCTCTCCTGGTCTTGCAGCAAAATGAGCTGCAGCATCAGCGGCCTGCCTGGATGCTTACCTCCTGCTGGCCCAGTAGCTGCCTAAAGGGTGCCCTGGCACCCTCTGCCCCGTGACCTGTAGCTCGGGCGGTCAAGGGAGCGGTGTAGGATGAGTGCTGCTGGCAGAGCCCAGCCCTGGGGCATCCGGGCTGCGCAAGAAGCTGGGGCTGCTCCTGGGAGAGCACGCCACAACCCCCCCCAAAACACCCTGGACTCAAAATGGTGGGGTTCCCTCTCTGTTCCTCTCTTTCCAAGCAGTTTTCTGAGGGAATCTGGCGGTGCAGGGAGGCTCCCCTGCTGTATCCCCTAGCTTAAGTCACCTCTTTGCTCAGTGAGATAAAAGACCCGAAGGCTAGCAGCTCCCCCCCAGCCCCCGTGCCAGCGTTGCGGCGTCGCAGGGATCGCGGGTTGCGAGGGCTGGGCTCAGCCTGTCCCTCCTCCGGCTGGGGCAGAGCCGGCAGCGTGGCGGCAGGAGCCGGGCAGTGGGAGCCCCACTGACCCGGGCGTTGGGTGCAGATTGTATCCCACTGAAATCCCCCTGGCAGGGAGCAAGGTGCCCGGGCTGTATTCTCACCGCAGTCCCACCGTCTCGGAGCTCTCCCTCCTCCGATCCCTACCCAGACCTGACCTTTCCCATAGGCGCAGTGAATGTTCCTTCAGGAGAGCTGGATTTTTGGCTTTAGGGGGCTTTTCGGGCTTTAAGTTGTCCATTAATGTTTCCAGATACTTTGGAAATGCAGGTTTCCCTGTGGCAGCTCAATTAAATGCATCAGTGCCAAACCAGCACCTTCTTAACAAAACAAGTCCTTTTTCCAGCTTATTTTCCTGTGTAGCTGTTTTTTGTCTTGGTTTGTTGTTTTTTTTTTTTTTTTTTCCAGTATTTAATGAATGACTTTGTGCCTTGATTCAATAACTCAGATGGGTGATGATGGCATATATCACTGTGTTATGTATTAGTGTGTTTTTTAACACTAAGACTGTTTGGTTTGGTTCTTTAACTTATTGCAAATTGTGCCCTACAGGACTTGGTCTAACCGAAATGGTTTCAATAAATCCTCTTTTGCATTGTTTGTAAATGGTGCCCTGCTTTTGTTGCCGCAGCTGAGGTTACGCAAGACTTCTTTGGCAGCCTTTTGTGTGACTTCCCAAAGGCAGAAACCCCCCTTTTTGGGAGGGATCCGGGTGTCCTAGCGATGCTTTGACGTGGCTCTGCCTGCTGCCCTGCCCCGGCAGGTGCTGGACCGGGCGGAGGGAGCGGCGTGGGGAGGGGGGGGAGCCTGAGTTAGATAACCAAGCTGGGCCAGCCCATCCCTGCCCCCGGCCTGGGGCTCCATGACCTGGTTTTACACCCCAGATTCCTGCTGCAGTCCATCAGCACGAAAATCCCACGCCGGCGCTTGGATTTGGATCAAGCCGGAGGGAGCTGCGTGGCAGGCGCTGTCTCCTGGAGCGTGGAACCATCTGTCACTGCCCGGTGACTGCCAGCACCGAGGTCCTGAGCTCCGTCCTGTGACTGAGGGTCCTGCAGCTTCCCCTGCCCCCAGGCCTGAGCCCGGTGCTGGGGGGGCCCGAGCTCTGCGGCGGGGAAGGATGCCGCGGTCCCGAGTGTCCCAAACCTCTGCGCCGTTCGGGGTGCGGGGCTGGGGACGTCCCCACCCTGCTCCGCTCTGCGGGGTGGGCTGGGGTCAGAGGTGAGCGCTGGCAGGCACTCAGCCCCCCTCTCCTTTATGTAACCACCAGCGTTAATCCCCCGCAGCTGGGGTTTGGCTCCCGGGAAGAGAATAATCCTGCTGTGAGATCCTCGGCTCAGATTAACGGGCTGTGGGCACGGAGAGTGGCTCAGCTGCCAGCCCCGCTCCCTGCGTGCCGCTGCCAGCCCGCCGGGCCCTTGCAGCCAGGGTTTGCTGACCTGTGGCACCTCTGGCCCCGCTCAAAAGGCCTTTTTGTCCTCCCTGGGAGCTGTTCACGGGTGCACTGGTGACAGCAGGGTGGCCGAGTGCCCTTGGTGCCAGCTCAGCCGTGCCAGGCGGGCAGCTGGGGCTGCCAGTGGGGTCTGGTTTGGCCCCTTGGAGCACGCAGAGCCATGGGCACACGTGCTGGGGGGGGGGGGGGGCTGGTCCCCCCCCTGCCTGGGGTGTGCATCCTTGCTGGGTGCTGCAGGCAGGGGAGGGGGTTGCTGCCAGCCCAGGGATGGGGGACAGGACACAGTCCAGCTCAGAGGAGTGACCCCCCCCACCATGTGCACTCCGCCACTGTCCAGCCACCTCCCTGGTCACCCTTCCCCAAAATCCATGGGAGCCGCAGCGTTTCCCCGTGGGGGCTTTATTGTCTTGTGCCCGGGGGGGGGGGGGGTGGGGAGCAGGAGGAGGGGGTGACCCTGCACCAGGCCGGCTGGGTGCGGGCCCCCCCAGGGAGAGTGTGGGGGGGTGAGCAGGGTCTGCAGCGGGGCCGGCCGGGCCCCGGGGGGAGTTGCTTGGGAGGGTTTGTGGGGGCGGGGGGGCATATGGCTTCTGTCCTTCAGTGCTACTGCCAGCATCGTCCTGCCGGGGCGTGCTGGGCGGGGGGCACCGGGGCCAGGGGGTCCCACGTCGGTGGGAGACCGAGGCACTCAGCTCTCCTCCTTGGGGACGGGGTCGGCAGCGGGGCCCCTGCTCCTCTCCTCGGCGTCACCCCCGGGCAGGAACAGGGCCGGGCTGGGGCTGGAGTGCCGCTGCTTGCGCATGAAGGGGAAGACGCTGCGGGCAGAGCGGGGTCAGCGCCGGCGAGGACCACCCCAGCACCCCGGGGGGGCGGCTCCTGCCCTCACCTCTTCTTGGTCTCCGGCGGGATGACGGCTTCGGCCAGGAGGTTCCTGTAGAGCTCCGACTTGAGGAACCGCGGGTAGGAGTCCTGGGAGAGCAGAGGCGTCAGGCTCCTGCCCAACCCTGCCTGGTCCTGCCCTGCCCTCACCCACCTTCTTCATCAGCATGTAGATGTGCATCTGGGCATCGTCCATCATGTAGCGGTGGGGCGTCTCGATGACCTCCAGCGTCCGCTCCATGGTCTTGCTGTCGATGTTCACCCAGCACATGGCCCCGGGTGCCAGGAACTGCCTGGGGAGCCGCAGCTGGCGGTGAGCGCCCGGCCCCGCAGCGGGATGTAGCACCCTGAAGGCTTGGGTCGTCCCCCACCCCAACCCCGCAGACCCTCGTCCCCGCTGGCACTCACTGGTAGATGGAGTCCACGATCTCGGGGACGCGGGACTGCTCCCCGTAGCGCAGCTCCTCACACGCCTCCCAGAAGCTCAGGTTCTCGGCTGGAGAGGGGGACGCGGTGTTGGGGATGGGGATGTGCCCCCCTTCCCCCCCCCAGCCATCACTGCTGGGCTCACAGCCCACTCAGCTGTGGGGCCAAACCCCCTGGGATGGGGCCAAACCCCCTGGGATGGAGCGAGCTGGTGTGATGTGGGGTGGTGGGTCCAGGGATGCTGGGGCACGGCAGTGGGTCAGGAGGTGCGAGGATGCGGGGGGGGGGCAGGGATGCCAGGATAAGTTGGCCAAAGGGTGCTGGGATGTGGTGGTGGGTTTGGGGGTGCTGGGATGTGGTGGTGGGTTTGGGGGTGCCAGGATGGGGCAGTGGGTTCAGTGTTGCCAGGATGGGGTAGTGGATTTAGGTGGTACTGGGACGTGGTGGTGGGTTTGGGGGTGCCAGGGTGGGACGGTGGGTTTGGGGGTGCTGAATTCTCTCACCGCTGAATTCCTTATTGAGGAAGTCGAGGAACTGAGCCCGGCCCAGGGGGTCGGTGAGGAGCTCTCTGAAGTTGAAGCCCCAGCGCTCCACGCGCAGCTTCGTGGGGGTCGGCACCCTGCGGGCGAGACCACCGTCGGGGCAGGCAGCCCGGGGCTGCCCGCCTGCCTGCGCACCCCCATCCCCCCCTTTGCACCCCCTGTATTGGGGTGGGGGGGCCGGGGGCTGGCAGCCCCCCATGCAGGCCCTTACGTGGGGGCATTCATGGCCCAGTACGTGGTGTCATCTGTGATCCAGGGGTTGCTGGGCAGGCAGCCGGACATGATGGGGTCGTGGGGCATGTACTGCTCATTGAACTTGATGTACCTGCCAGGGACGGTGGCTGGAGGTGGCCAGGGCCACCGTCCCACTGCTGCCACCATCCCCAGCCATCGTGGGGACACGGCAGGGACGTGCTCAGGCTCTGCGATGACCACGGAGCCTCAGCTCCGCTCCCCACCGAGGGTGCCGGCAGCGCGGGTGCTCGGGGTGCCGGCAGCCGGCCGCAGGGGTGTGGGTGCCCCCGTCACCCCAACGGGGACCCTGCCCGCGGCCAAGGCAGCTGCCGGCCACTCACCCCTCGAGGCAGATGGAGGACTTCACCCTGGTCCTGGACATGGCCTTCCTGCAGTACTCGATCTGGGGCCGGGCGCAGGGGGGTGTCAGGGGTGCCCGGCAGCCCGTGTCCCCGGGAGCCACCCCCCGCCCCGCTCACCTCCCGCTTGTAGTAATCCATGTTCTTGGCCTGCAAGAGACACACGGGGCCGGGTGAGGGCATGGTGGGGTTGGGCCATCGTGCCTACCGGCCCTGCCGTCACCACCCTGGGCAAGGATGCAGGCAGCCAGCCCCCCTCCTCGCCCCAGCACCCTGTGGCCATCCCCATGGCCTCCAGCCTCATCCCCCCACCCCTCCCAGCTCAGCCTGCACAGCGCGTGGGGCAAACCCCCGTGTTCAGTCCCCAGCCCAGCGTGGCACTGGCCCTGGGTTAGTGACACTTACGTGGGCAGAGGACACAGCACACAGTGCAAAGAGAAAGCGGGTGGTTGGTGAGGACAGGCCAGGGATGAGGGGGGGCTGGGGCAGCGTCAGTGGGGCCACAACACGGGGAAGGACCCAACAGCAGCTGTGGGCACCCCAGGGTGCCAGGACTCCCAGCCCTGCGGGGATTGGGGTGCTGGCATGGAGGGGTGGTGGGTGCACGGGCAAACACACAGACCTCCTGGCTCAGCCAGAGACAGGGGACAGGCTGGACACACAGATGTTAGCAGAGCTGGGTTCCTCACCCACCCCCAAAATACGGGCGCAGCCCCGGGGGGATCAGCCAGGCCCTGATGCATGCGGGTGGCTGCACCCTGTGCCCACCAGCAGCCCCGGGGGTGCCCGGCCCCCCCACTCACCAGCTGGACGCCGGTGGCATAGCAGCTCCTGCGCTCGGGGCCCTGCTCCAGCACGTTGGGGGCTCCCGGCTGCAACGAGAGCATCGTGCTGGGGGCTGGTGGGACCCCCCCCCCCATGCCCCGGGCCGGGGCTGTGCCTGGTGCCGAGGTGCCGCCCAGGGCTGCACCCGTCAGCCCGGCACCCCTCGCCCCCCCAGCCCGTCCTCACCGGGGGCCGGTTGACGAGCCAGTACGCCTGCTCCTGGCAGTCGATGACAATGCGGTCGCCCTTCCGCCGCTGCTTGGCCGCCCTGCCCGTGCGAAGGCAGCGGGGAGGCGCTGGCACCCGGCCTGCCCCGGCACCCAGGGGTGCTCCATCCCCGGCGGCTTCCCGGGGTGCAGCGGTGCCGGGCCGTGCCCGCACTCACCGGAGCTGCTCCCGCGCCTGCATCACCACAAAGTCCCACGTGTGGTTGATCCGCTTGTGCAGGAGGTTGTAGTTGTCCTGGGGAGCGGCAGTGGCGGTGTCACCCGGGTAGGCACGGCGTGGCACCCGTCCCCTCGCCTGCCTCTGGGCCCCGTTGCTGCTCCAGCACAGGGAGAACTGGTGCTGCCCCGCGGGTGAGTGAGCCCCTGCTCCTGGGTGAGCTGAGACCCGCTCCCCCAGCTCATCACAGGTGTGAGGAGGGCACAGCTCACCTTCTCGTGCTCGATCAGGTCACCCTGCTTGCGGATGTTCTTCTTGGCCAGGTAAATGGCTGCAACGAGGAGCGGCAGCACCTCAGCGGCGCCAGGAAGGGGCTGCAGCCGGTGCCAGCGGCACGGTGGCACCTACCATAGTCCAGCTCCGTGGCCGGCCATTTGGTGCTGGTCCAGAAATAAGGGGTCTGGAGGGGAAGGGGAGGAAGAGGCTGAGGTGTGTGCCGTGGGGGTGCCGCGGTGCCAAGTCGGGGGAGCCCCGAGGCTGCGGCAGCGCCCGTGCCGCCGGCGGGGCCGCACCTGGAAGCGGTAGGGCGACTCGTCCGCCCGCAGCACCAGGCTGCGGGGGTCTTTGAGGGGGTAGATGTAGCCGTGCTTCACGATGAGGTTGCCGAGGTGCAGCGACTCTGGGGGAGTGGGAAGGAGCAGGGGGGCTGCACGGCGGCTCGGCAGCCCCGCTCGCCCCCCGTAGTGCCAGCCGCCTGTGCTGGGGCACTCACCCTCCTCGGTGATGCCGTACTTCTGGATGAGCCACTCCACAATGTCATTCCCTGGGGACCAAGGCAATGTTAGCAGGGTGCGATGGGGGTCCCCCGGACTGAGCACAGACAGGTTCCCAGGCTGAGGCACCCTGGCACGGCCCGGTGGGTGCCGAGGGGTCACGCAGGGTGACGGGGGCCCTGCCAAGGACGTGCTGGGCCTCCCGCCCCCGGCGAGCACCCGCCCTGCTCGATGCATAATTGATCCCAGCTGCAGCGCTGAGCACCCGTGGGTGCAGGGAGGCGAGTGGCACGGGGCACCGGGGGGCTGGGTGCAGCGCCGGGGCCACTCGGGGAGCACTCGCACGTCTCCCCCCCACCCCGTGCACCTCGCGGGGTGCTCTGCCACGGGGACCCACCTGTCATGGCATGGGGGATGACGGTGATGAGCAAGCGCTGGTTCCTCATCTTGATGCCCATGTCGGGGTCCTGCATGCTGACGATCATCCGCTCCATCTGCCGGGGCAAGCGCCCGCCACGCTCAGCCCCCCCCCCCCCCCCCCCCACGGCTGGGGGCACCGGGCCTGGGCCCCCCCACCCCGACCCAGGGCACCCTGTGCCCGTTCCGGGGACAGCCTGGCACCCCCCGGCCAGACCTGGGCACCCAGCAGCGGGGTGAGGGTGCGATGCTGGAGGTGCGGGCACTCAGCCTCTGGTTTTGGGGAGCGAGCTCTGCCAGGGCTGTGACAGCACCCCGGGCCGGTGAGCAGGGGTTCAGCACGCTGCTCCGGGGCGCTGCCCCGTGGGTGTCCCCGCGTGGGGCGGTGCCCGCGGCCGGGGTGATGCCCGCTGTCCCGCGGTGCACTGGGTGGTGCTGGTCCGCGGTGGCCCCGACGCCGGGCGGTGCCCGGTCCCCGATACTCGCGTTGTCCGGTGCCCGGTCCCCACGGTCCCTGCGCCCGATCCCCGCGGTGCCCACGGCCCGTGCCGCCGGCGGTGCCCGCTCCCCGCGGGGCCGGGGCCGGGGCCGGGGCCGGTGGCTGCTCACCTTGCGCAGACAGGGCATCTGGAGGGGGGGTGCCGGCCGCGGGGGCCGCCGATGGTCATCGCGGGTGCGCGCCCCGCGCTGCTCCGCCGGGCCACGCCCCGGACACGCCCCCCGAGCTCACCACGCCCCTCCCGGACCAGCCCCACGCTCCCCGCTCCCCCCCCCCAACCCCCGCCCCGTCCGAGCCGGGCGCCCCGGCGGGCACCCCCGAATCCCGGCCCCCCCCCCCCCACTACCAGCCCTCACCCCCCCACGGACCAACCCCACCCCACCACCCCGCTCCCCGCGCTGCCCGGCGGCGTGGCTCCGGGTTCCCCCCGGGGTGAGGGGGGGGTGTGGGGGTGCGTGCCCCGGTGCGCGGCCGGAGAGTGAACGGGCGCGTCTTTTGGGGTGCGGGCAGCGCGTGGCGGATGCTTGCGGGGTGCGGGCAGGGCGCGGGGGCTGCGGGGAGGGCGCGGGCGGGCGCTGCGCGGGCGCGCACGGCGGATGAGCTCACTGCAGTCTCGCCGCCCACGAGCGGGGCTGGAGCCGCCCGGCGCCGAGGGGCGGGGGCGGGCGGGGGCGGGCAGCGAGCGGAGCCGCCGCGTCTGCGGGAGCCGCCGCCGCCGCCCCGCCGGGCCGCGCAGCGGGGAGCGCCGGGGGAGCAGCCGGGGGAGCAGCCGGGGGAGCAGCCGGGGGAGCGCCGCGGAGCAGCCGCGGAGCAGCCGGGGGAGCAGCCGGGGGAGCAGCCGCGGAGCAGCCGGGGGAGCGCCGAGCGCGGCGGGAGGAGCCGCCGATCACCGGCAGAACCGGGGCCCCCGGCAGCGGCCGCCCCGCCCCGGCCCCGGGGGTGCGCCGGGCCCGGCCCGGCCCGGCCCGGCCATGCTCGGCCTGGATGTGTGCGAGGCCGGCGGGCAGCTGCTGGAGCTGCTCTGGCTGGCGCTGTGCTACCGAGGTGAGCGGCGGCAGGCCGGGGGCCCGGTGCCCCCCGGGGGAGAGCGGGGGTGGAGGGGACGCGGCGGGGGGGGCATCGCCCCGGATGGGGAGCATCACGCCGGGTCCCCAACAGGTGAGCGGCACCCCCGGGCACCCGCTGCGTTCGTGAGTGAGCATCACCCCAGGCCCTGGGGGACCCCAGCATCCCGCAGGGCTGGGGGGAGCCCCCCCCCCCCAGCGCCCCCCGCCGCCACCCCGCAGCCCGGCCGGTGGCACCCAGCGCACACCCTGCCACCCGTGCGGGGCTGAGCGAGCCCCTGGGTGGGTGCAGCCCTGGGCTGGGAGCCAGCGTGGCCGGGTGCTGCACGCCGCCGTGACGGCCGAGGTGCAGGGGCCTTTGCCGGGGGGCCCAGAGGGGCAGCAGGGTCCCCGCTGGGTACCCCGGCCACCGCTGCTGCCCCGGGGACCCGCACGGCTGGCTCTGTGGCCCCGGGGGTTGAGCACAGGAGCCACTGCCCCAGGCTGTGCCTCCAGCGTGTCCCCAGGGATGGGGTTTCTGGGGGCTTGGGTTGCTCAGGGCTCGCACTCAGGAGGGTGGGGTGGGGGGAGTGGCGATGCAGCCGGCAGGGCAGAGGCAGGGGCTGTGGGGACATTGCCTGTCCTTGTGTCCCCCGCCGGCCTGGCACCCACCAGAGCCACCATTTACCCCAAAGCTGGCTTTTTTTTTTCCCTGCAGCTGCTGGCCGTTTGGGTTTGGGGTGAGAGGTGGGGCTGGAGGCTGCCCAGCGGGGTTGGAGGGGGCCGTGGGGCGGTGACAAGGACCCCTCTGGGTGACGAGGCGCGAAGGGTGCCTGTGGGCCCTGGTGGGCTGCAAGCACCCCCCAGACTGTGCGCACCCCGTAGGCACCAGCTTGTCTTGCTCCATGACGGTGTGGAAATGCAGCCGGCAGCAGCGCCTCGGGTCTCAGCGGTGCCAGTGGGCCCCGGGGACACGGAGCCTGGGGGCATCCCTGTGGCCTCGAGCAGGGGGACAACTCGGCTGCCCCACGGGGGATTGCCCACATCCGTCCGTGGCGTGTCCCAGCTCAGCCACCCCCTGCCCACCAGTGCCTGCGTGTCAGGGGCCGGGGGGTGTCCCCGGGGTGTCCCCAGGGCGGCAGGACTGCCACTGCCTGTCCCCCGCAGACATCATGGCTGACAAGGAGGGGGTGACGCTGTCGCTGGAGGAGGAGGAGGAGGATGCCGACGTGGCCCTGGCGTACAAGACGCCGGAGAAGAAGAGCCTGCAGGAGATCCAGGAGCTGGACCCGGGGGACGAGAGCCTGCGAAAGTACAAGCAGGCGCTGCTGGGTGCCATCCCCGCCGCCGTGGGTAAGGCCGGGGGCTGCCCGCCGGGGCTGGGCACCCCGACACCCCGGCTGGGTGATGCAGCCTCAGCGGGTGCAGGGAGCTGAGGCGTCCCCGGCACCCGCGGGGCATCCCCAGCAAGGACGGTGCGTCCCGGCTGACAGCGCCCGTGGGTGCTGCCTGTGCCCCCCCCACCTGCACGGGGACCCCGGCATCCCTCCGCCGACAGGGTAACGGCTGCCGGGGGACCCCGGTTGTCTTGGTTACGGGATCACCGCGCAGTTTCCATAGGAACGGTTACAAGGGACTGGGAAATTCATTGGGATGACAGAGACGGAGCGAGCAGCCGTGGGGGCCGGGGGTGGCACGGCTGCTAGTGCCCAGGCGGTGCCCCCCCTGCTCCCCATGGCACCCACAGCAGCCGCTCGTGCTCGCAGCCCGGGGCTGCCCTCGGTGTCTGCAGGGCCTGGGCCAGGCTGGGGTGCTCCGGGGGCCCAGCAAAACCAGTGGGGTGCATGAGGTGTGCACGGTGGTGTGTGTGTGCAAACTGGGGAGCTGGGGTGGTGTGTGTGCAAGCTGCTGATGGGGTGCAGGTTGGGCTGGTGGGGGTGAATTAGACCAGTGCCCGCCTCGGGGGGTGCCTTTACCTGCACATGCTGCCTCCTCCCCACCCCCTCGGCCTGTTCCTGCGCTGGGGAGCACTGCACCCCCAGAAATACCTGTGTCTGGGCCCTTTGAACGTGGCCTTACCCCAGAGGCATTGATGTAGGGGCTGGCCTGAGATGCCCCTGCTCTCCCGTGCCCTGCCTGGGCTGCCCAGTACTCACCAGCTCCTAACAACCCCACGGTGGACACCGTGGCCCTTCGTGCCATTACAGGGGGGCACCGGCTGTGCTGGGATGGAGGTGCCGGTGGGCTGGGCACGGGTGGGTAAGGTCTGCGCCCTGCTGCTTGTCCCTAGATGCCAGCGTGCCCAACGTGCAGGTGACGAAGCTCACCCTGATGTGCGAGCAGGCACCGGGGCCCATCACCATGGACCTGACAGGTGAGCAGCGGGGGCACCCATGGGAGGAGGAGGAGGAGGAGGAGGAGGAAGAGGAAGGGGTGCCAGGCTGATGGGCATCTCCCCGTGCAGGAGACCTGGAGGTGCTGCGGGGCCGGGCCTTCGTGCTGAAGGAGGGGGTGGACTACAGGGTGAAGGTGTCCTTCAAGGTGAGGCGGGTGAGAGGTGCCCTGTGCCCGCTGGCTGGGCGCAGCCCTGCTGCCCCCACACCCCGGGGTCCCTGCCCCAAGGGGTCTCTGCTGCCTTGGGTCCCTGCCCCCACACCCCGGGGTCCCTGCCCCACAGAGCCCTTCCTGCCACCCATGGGTCCCTACTGTCTTGGTGTGTCTGCCCCCCACTCCTCACCCCCAGGGTCTGTGCCCCTCTGGGGTCCCCTGCCCTCCTTGGGTCCCTGCCACCCCTGTGGGAATCTTTGCTGCCCCCAACATCACTGACGCTGCAGGGTTCCTGCCACCCCTGGGTCCCCCCTGCTTCCGCCAGAGGTCCCAGCCACGTTGGGTCCCTCCCAGGGGTCCCTGGAGGTCCCTGCCCCTCCTGGGTGGGGTCCCTGCCCCTCTTGGGGATCCCTGCCCCCCTTGGTGCTGCTCAGTGCCCAGTCGTGCCCAAAAGTCTGGCTCCCGGGAGGGGTTCAAGATGGGGCTTTACTGGTGGGTGTGTGTCCCCCCCCCCCTCTGCCTTGTCCCCAAGTCCAGGGGTCCCCAGGGCGGTGGTGGGGTCACCATGCGGTGGGGCAGCACCCATGGCACCCCTGCCCTCTGCCCGCAGGTGAACAGGGAGATCGTCTGCGGGCTGCGGTGCCTGCACCTCACCTACCGCCGGGGCCGGCCCGGTGAGTGGGGGCCGGGGGGGCTGCGAGGGGGTGTGGGGGGAGTTGGGGGGGGGGGGGGAGGGGGGTTTCCACCTTGGCCCCACTCACCCGCCCCTCTTCTCCCCTTCTCACCCAGTGGACCGTGACGTCTTCATGGTGGGCAGCTACGCGCCGCGGGCCGAGGAGTACGAGGTGGTGACGCCGGCGGAGGAGGCGCCGCGGGGCTGGCTGGCACGGGGCTCCTACCGCGTCCGCTCCCTCATCACCGACGATGACAAGATCGAGCATCTCTCCTGGGAGTGGGGCCTCTGCATAAAGAAGGCCTGGGAGGACTGACCCCCCCCATCCGCTCCCCGGTTTCCCCCCCTCCGCCAGCTCGGGGACGCGGTGCCCGCCATCCTGGGGGACCCCTCGCTGGCACCGCAGCACTTGCCCTGGTCGTGTGAAGAGTTGGAGGTGGGGGGTGGTGGGTGGTGGGGGGGTGTCCCTTAGTGAGTGGGCGCCCGCGGTCGTGGTCTTCGCAACCAAAGTTATTTTTAATTGCTGTTTTTTTTTAAAATACCGACGCCCGCCTGGTCCTCGCGGTGTCCCCATCCCTGGGGCCCAGGGTCACGACCCTGCCGTGGCAGGGCCGTGCCCGGCTACCCGCCCGGTCGCAGGCTGTGCTCTTCCATCACCATTAAACCCTACAGACTGGTCTCTTACTGGTGTGTCTGCGTCCCCGTCACCTCTGCCCGGCTCCTCTGTCCCCCGGTTCCTGTCCCGCTGGCAGGGCCAGGTCCCGCTGCGGGGATGGGCAGCTGGAAAGTGGCCACCTGGTCCCAGTGCCTTATCGGCGGTGCTGGGCAGCCAGTAGCGGAGGGCCACGAGCCCCAGGGGACTGGCACCACCCGCCCCGGGGCCCTTATCTGCGCTCCCCCCCGCCCCAGGCACCGGCTTTGGCGCTGGCACCATGCGGGGCTGCGGGGCCCGGCTGGTTTGGCTGCTGGTGCTGTCGCTGGCCTGGCTGGGCCCGGCACTGGGGGGCGAGGAGGAGGAGGATGGGGAGGTGGTGGCGGAGGAGGAAGAGGCTGACGTGCTCTCAGATGAGCTCGGGGAGGAGGATGGCGTCCTGGTGCTCCACGAGCACAACTTTGCCCGTGCCCTGAGTGAGCACCGGCTGCTGCTGGTGGAGTTCTGTAAGTGCCCCCACTGCGGGTACAGGCTGTGGGTGTGGGTGCAAACTGGGGCACAGGATGGGGTGGGGGGGTGGAGTGGGGCAGGGGCACAGGGCAGGGCGTGGGACAGGGCAGGGGTGTGGGGCATGGAACGGGGACAGGGACACGGGGCAGGGACGCAGGCAGAAGCACGGGGTGTGTGTGTGGGGGGGATGTGTGGGACACGTGGCGGGGTTGTGGGACATGGGCCTGGCCGCGGGGGACGCGAGCTGGAGCCCAACAGCCTCACGCAGCCGTTACAATGCCCCGGCCACCCACTGTGGGGGGCCGGGGACACCCCAAGGCTGCCCCGGGGCTGTCCCTCCCACCAGCGCTGTCCCCTGCCCGCAGACGCGCCGTGGTGCGGGCACTGCCAGCGGCTGGCCCCCGCCTTCGCCCGGGCGGCCGCCGCGCTGAGGAACGAGTCCAGCCCGGGGCGGCTGGGCAAGGTGGATGCCACGGCGCAGGCGGCCCTGGCCAACGAGTTTGGCATCACCTCCTACCCCACGCTCAAGCTCTTCCGCGATGGCAACCGCACCCACCCCCTCGCCTACACCGGTAGGGCTGCGGCACCGCGCGACGGCCACGGCACCCGGCGTGGGGAGGGGGGGGACACACACGCCACGATGGGTGCTGGGCAGGGTGGCAGGGGGTGATGGTGAGTGGGGTGGCGATGTCCTGACGGGGGGGGGGGGGGGGGAGGGGTGACGGGGTGGGGCAGGGTGGGGCGTGCAGCCTGGGGGGGCCCGGGGGGGGGCGCACAGGGTGACGGCGGGGACCGTGCTCCGCGTGGCAGGCCGCGTGGACGCCGAGGGCATCGTGCGCTGGATGCAGCGCCGGGCCAGCCCCAGCGCCACGCTGCTGCGGGACGCCGACACCGCCGCCGCCTTCGTCAGCTCCCAGGATTTGGTGGTCGTCGGCTTCTTCAAGGTGGGCTGAGGGGGGGTGGGGGGGGCGGGTGGACCGGGTGAGGGACGCGGCCGTGGCCGCTCACGGGGCAGCTGTGCAGGACCTGGGGGGCGAGGCGGCCCAGGCGTTTTACGAGGTGGCCAGCGAGGTGGTGGACGTGCCGTTTGGCGTGGCCGAGGCGGCTGAGCTCTTCCAGGCGTACGGGCTGTCGGCTGACACCGTCTGCCTCTTCAAGAAGGTGAGGGGGGATGAGGGGGGGGGTGGTGAGGCCATCCTGGCCCCCCCATCACAGCCCTCACCAGTCCCTGTCCCAGCAGTTCGATGAGGGACGGACAGACTTCCCGGTGGACCCAGCCCAGGGGTTGGATGCGGCCGAGCTCACCCGGCTGCTCCGTGTCCACAGCCTGGAGCTGGTGATGGAGTTCACCAACGAGGTACAGCCCATCCCTGTCCTCTTCCTGGTCCCTGCGAGGGCCACGGCCCCCCTGCCCTCACCCTCCTCCTCCTCCTCAGACCTCCGACCAGATCTTCAGTGCCAAAATCCCCCACCACATGCTGCTCTTCCTCAACAAGTCCTCGTCGGCGCAGCTGACGCTGCGGGATGGCTTCCGGGCGGCCGCCGGCGCCTTCCGGGGCGAGGTGAGGAGGTCCCACAGTGGGGACATGGAGCGGTGGCCGTGGGGGACCCCAACCTCCATGTTACCCGTCCCCTGCCCAGGTGCTCTTTGTGGTAGTGGATGTGACCGGGTACGGTGCCGACGTCCTGCCCTTCTTCGGCCTGACGCCTGCTGACGCTCCCACCCTGCGCTTGGTCAAGATGGAGAACAACCGCAAGTACCGGATGGACCAGGACACCTTCTCGGACCCAGCCATCCGCACGTTTGTCCGGGCGGTGCTGGACGGCAAAGTGAAGGTGGGGGGATGCAGCACTGTGCCAGCCAGCACCAAAGACGCTGCCCTGTGGTGAGCAGCGGGCTGTTAACTCTGAAGGCTAATGATGGCTGTTGTGCAGTGAACACCAGTCGCCTGCTTGCCGATGTTTGTGCTGACAGGTGTGAGGATTTGAGGGGGGGGTGTTATGGGAAAGGAGGCAGGAGACTGGCAATAGGGAGACACACGTTGCTGGGATGGCGGCAGAAGGGAAGAGGTGGTCCAAAAGGCAGCACAGGGGCACCCCTGGCTGCATGCTGGGTGCCCCCCGCCCTGGCCCATGCTGTGCCCCACGGGGCCCCAGCACTGCTCAGCCTGGGCTGTGGCCATCCCACCCCACAGCCCCACCTGATGAGTGCAGAGCCCCCTGAGGACTGGGACACGCGGCCCGTTAAAGTCCTGGTGGGGAAGACCTTCGAGCAGGTGGCGTTCGATGAGACCAAGAACGTCTTCGTCAAGTTCTGTAAGTGCCGGGGATGCCGACGGCTCTCCCCGAGCTCTGCCACGGGGCTCAGCCCCTCCCTGCCCTGTCACCAGCCCCTCGCCCGGGGGACGCCGCACCCGGACCCCGGCAGAGCCCCGGTCCCCGGCTCGTCCCCGGCACTGCGCCCGTCCCGCAGACGCGCCGTGGTGCTCCCACTGCCAGGCGATGGCGGCTGCCTGGGAAGAGCTGGGCGAGCGCTACAAGGACCACGAGGACATCGTCATCGCTGAGTTGGACTCCACGGCCAACGAGCTGGAGAACATCACCATCAACGGCTTCCCCACCCTGCACTACTTCCCCGCGGGGCCGGGCAGGAAGGTAGGTGGGGGCACTCGTGGGGCCACCCCGGCTCTGCCAGCGCCCGGGGGACAGGGTCACCCACCCCTCGGCTCCCGTCCGTCCCGTGGCTCCAGATGGTTGAGTACAAGAGCGCCCGAGATGTGGAGACCTTCTCCAAATTCCTGGAAAATGGGGGGACGCTGCCCGAGGAGCCGCCTGCGGTGAGTGAGCTCCCCCCCAAAACCAGAGGGCCAGGAACCATCACTCACTGGTGGGCAGGGGGACAGATCCTGTGGGACAGGGACAGGCAGGGGCTGTCCGTCTGTCCACACCTCACCACCGCCTTCTCCAGGTGCCCAAGACCCCCGAGAACAGCACAGGCAGGGAGGAGCCGGGTGTGCTGGGGACAGCCGAATCCCGGGAAGAGCTGTGAGCCCTGTCCCGCTCCGGTGCGTGCTATAAACAACCTGGAAACGATGGGGGCTCTGGTCTGTGTCTGTGACTCCACAGCACTGTGGGGTGCACGTTTCGGGGAGCACCCCCGTGTCTTGGGGACAGAGCAGAGCCCCTGCTACCACAGGGCAGCTTGGTGCACGTCCTGGCAGCCCTGCCGTGACACGGGGTGACCAAGGCTGCAGAGGACACGGCTCTGGGGGGAGCCCGATGCTGGCCCTCGCGCTGGGCTGCTGGGCTGCAGGTGATGGGGGGAATCAGCTGGGGTCTCTCCTCCATGGCTCACAGGCAGCGCCCTCACCCCACACCTGGGCTCCACAGTTACATCCCAACCCCAGGGGAGCCCCAGCAGCTGCTGTCACAGCCAGGGAAGGCAAGAACCCAACATGGGGCTCCACATGCTCCTCTTCAGCCTGGCTCACAGCATCCCCTCCCAAACCTGCCATCGTTCCCTTTCCCCTGGGCCGGCTGCTCCCAGACTCTGGGCGATTCCTCCAGGGGCAACGTGTTGGTTCCCTGGGGCCAGGACTTGCCCGGCCACCCCTCCAGGGAGCCCACAGCTGCCCCAGCCCCGCCGTGCGCCCAGGCCCTTCGCCTGACCTGCCCCATCCTCCGGCCACCCCACCTGGCTGCCGGGGGCCCGGGCGTCTGCTTCGCGGGGAAGGAAGAAAGCAGCAGGCAGTGGGACGTGGGGTTTTATTTCATTTTATCCAAGTACCTTTGAAAAGATCATTGTACAAGTCAGCACATGAGAATGCAGAGGAGACATCGCCGGGGCTGCGCGGCCACTGTACATATTTACAGGGGACCCCCTGAGAAAAAAAGGGGGAGACGGAAATCCCGGGCATGTTAACAAGCTCACCAGACACACCACCATTAGAACTTAAAAAAAACAGGGAGAAAAAACGCTCATGATGCTGCTCCCGGGCTGAAAATAATTGCAGATTTTGCTGGACTTCACGTAGTGTATAGGCAAGTCACAGAACCGTGTTTTAAAGGCACTCGGTGACATATACAACAGGCTGAGTCGCATCCCGGCGCGGTGCCACAGGGTCCCCGGCAGCTCCACCGCGGCTGAGAGCAGCGCCGGGCAGGGCGAGCGCCGACGTGGAAGCTCCCTGGCTTCGGGGACCACCCCGGGTTCTGCGTGCGGGCGAGGGCTGGTCTGCGAAGGAGCCGGCGCAGGGCCTGGGCTGGGGGACGGGCAGGGCCGAGGGCAGGGTGGTGGGAGCACCGGTGCAGCTCCCAGCTTTCTTGCGTCCGAGTAAGCCCAGGAGGCTTCCCAGGGTGCCGGCTGCCCTGCTGGGTGACCTGGCCCTACACCAGCCCCACAAACTGGCATCAAGAACCCCCCTTTGCTCTGAGGGGGGTGCTGCCTCCCTTGAGACAGAGAAGCTGACAAAAGACACAAGACTCATAAAAAGTCATTCTTTTCCCCTCAGCTTTAGTGTCTAATCAGTTCCCTCCCCTATTACGTTTCTCCTAAAGAGTCCTCTGACCAAAGCCAGAGCTCAGCACTGGGCACACCCTCCTGGGAAGGAAATCCTTCTCCAGGGGCACACGGGGGGACACGAGCGCACGGGCCATGGGATGCCAGCACCCAGCCTGCCACCCCGGCTCCGAGCCGGTCCTTGCACCGGCGCGAAGCCCCAAGAGCTGGCCCCGACCCTTCTATCCCTTGGGGATTTACTTGGTCGCAAGAAAGCTCGGGAGGGAAAAACAAACAACCGTCCTACCATGTCCAGCAGCTGAGACTGCCAGGGAGGTGAGAGACCGACTCGTTCCAAACGGCTCAATAATCCTCCGCGGTGAGCTGGGACCACAGCCCCTCCGGAGCGGGGGGAGCCCCGGCAGCGCTCCGAAGCCGTCCACGCCAGGGGGGGCCAGGGCAGGGCGCTGGGAAAGCGAGGAGCAGACGGATGGCTGTACACTTTGGGCGAGTTCTGCAGTACCTGTACGTTTTACATTTACATAAGAGCACTGTGACATTGGAAATAGTTTCCTTTTATTACAATATATCAAAAATATGCAGCTTTAGTAAACAAGGTCATATTACACTTTCTAATGCACTGTACAATGCTACATTACACTTATATTCGGTATGGAGAGGGAGCCCAGGCTCCCACTGGCAGGTCCGTGAGGTGAAACGACGTCCACCAGCAACCCGGAGCTTGCCCGGGTCCGTGCCGGAGCCGGCTGCCGCCCTCCGCCCTGGGCTCGCCCGGCGCCCGCGGCAGTGGCACCGCCGGCACCCGCCCCAGGCCCTGTCCTCCGGTCCCAGAGTCTTTCACAGTCCTGTCCTCACGCCTCGGCAGCCCTGGAGCTTAGTCGATCTTCTCCACCTTCCCGACAATCTTCTCTTCGAAAATGGGCAGGATGGTGTCATCCTCCCGCACCTCCTCGAAGACCACACCACAGTCGAACTCGTCACTCACTTTCTTAAAGTAATACCTGAAAAAAAACAAAAACATGGGGGCAGAGAGGAAAGAAAAGAGCAGGTGAATAGTCATGGGGGCACCACAGTCCCCAAACCCAGGTACAGCCCTTCCAAGCCCCTGAGCTCGTGGTGCGTGGGGAGCAGCTCCCCCAGGCATGGAAGCAACTGGGGCCACACGTTTTCCCTCTGCCCTCACCCAGCAAGCAAAAAAGAGTGGTCAGGATCCGTGCTGGCATGCTCAGGAGCTCCAGCCTTCAATCCAAGCCCATCCAGAGCTCTCCCAGAGGTAGTGGCTGGAGGCACCCATGGTGGTGGAGTGCTTCTCGGCCCACTTTCCCACGGCAGCTCCTACTTGGAAGGGGCAACTTGGAGAGCTACATGCCCCACGCCTGGCTACTTTGGGACTCTGTCAGGTCCCAACCTCCCTGTCCTCACTGGAGGAACGTTTGGGAGGAGCTGAAATGGCTCTTGAAATTGGAGGGCTGAGCACCAGCTCATGAGGCTCCTCACCAGCCCAGGACCTCGCAGGGCCCTGCAGGGTAGCTCAGCAGCTTCTGTTGAAAGTGCAAACCGCGATGCAGGGTATTTCTGGTACAAAACACAATCTGCGCCTGTCCCTGTAATCCCTGTAACCTGCCTCTTCAGCAGCCTTGGCTCTATGCTGCATCCCCACTGCAGCAGGCCCTCCTGGAAGGCTGTTGGGACCTCCAGGAGCCCCCAGCCTACCTCCACCACACTCCTTCGCCTTGGTGGGGGCAACACCGCTGTGTCCTGGCAGCGGCACCTGCCAGGGGTTGCTGACAGTCTGCTGGCGCCGTACCACATGCAGGGAGCAGCCCTTACCTGTAGTTCCCTTTCTTGGTCAGCAGCTCCTTGAACTGTCCCAGCGTTACCACGCGCCCTTTGACGAGGGTGCGGTAAGGGATCGGCTCTCCGCAGAAGTAGTAAGCGACCACGATGTTCTCACACAGCTGGGACGCGCCGCTGCCTGGTCTCTTCTGGGGCTTCAACCTGCTGTGCAAAAGTACAAGCGACCCGCTGAGTATCAGCCTACCTGCCAGCACGGGCGGGCCCGACAGCCCGTATCTGCAGAGCCTGGACGGAGAGGCCAAATTAACACCCCGGGCCCTCAGGAACACCCTTTGCTCTGCCCACCAGCTCTCTCGGCACGCAGCTGCACGGCGAGGCTGCCGAAGGAGCGAACGGCACTTGGGAAGGCTGGATGGGGCCAGACTGCTGCTACAAAACCCATCCCTGGGCTTTGGGAGGGGATGGCCCTTCCCACAGCTCCACCGGCGTGGGGAGTCAGCGGTAAGCTCCGGGCAGGGCAGAGCACCCCCGGCCCACGGCCCAGGTCACCTGGTGCGCACCGAGCACGCAGGGCTGGATGCACGTTCGGGGACGGTAACGCAAACAATGCTCAGAGTGCTCAGGATTATTGCTGCTGTGGCCAAAATAGCTCAGCAAGGTTTTCCGCTGACCTACATCTGCAGGGCTGTGCAGGCAGGACTGCTCCCGCGCCCCGCGGCTCCCCCGGGCGGGCGCCCCTCCCGGCGCAGATGGAGGTCGGAGGGGATGGAGGTCCCAGTGGGACCGTGCCCTGGAGGCTTTTGCTGCCCGTCCCGTCCACGCAGAGTGACAAGGCAGCCACCATCCCCAAAACCTCAGTGACTTCAAGTCTCCTGTGTTTTCCTGACACTCGGGATGTTGGTCTGGTCTCCGCTTCCAACCCACACACTGGGGTTCTGCTACGTGGTGACCGAAAGCGTCAGCCCAGTCCTAACTCCATTTTCAGAGGTAGACAAAAGTAGCAATAATAAAAATCAGGGTACTTTGCCCTTCTGTAGAGCCTTTCATCTGGGGTGCTGTAAATGCTGCACAAACATTGGAGCGGCCTACACAAATTGGTAACTTGGCATGTGTGGTCTAAGCCAGAGGCAGCCTTCTCTTTCAAAGTCACATAAAACAAATTTGGCAGCTTAAAAAAAATTATTTAAAAAGCATGCTGGATAAAAAAGATGATTTTGTATTTACATGACTGGAAAGTTGCTATAAAAAACAGAATTTGCCAAGCACATGAGGTAATCGCAGTTTTGGAAATGACTCTGACCCTAACCTTTAAACATTGGCTTGCGGGCAGAGCACCTTTTTAACAGCATGCCCACGTAAACATCTGCATTGCAAACCAAGACCAGACACAATCTTTTCAGTTCTTTCTAAAGGCACGAGAGGTCTAAAGTTCAACTGAACAACCTTCCTGGTGCCTGCTCTGCCTGGGAGACCTTTGGAAAAGATGCAGCATCCCGAGAGGCAAGGGTCTGCTCCTGGTGCCAGCAGAGCTCTCGGAGCCTCTCCCATCCCCATATCAAAGCACAGGATGCCCTTTAGCTAGAAAAACATTAAGGAATTGAGTCATCCCTGGAAAAAAAAAAAAAAAAAAAAAAAAAAAAGAGGCATTTAAAGGGAAAATAGGTCATAAATTCAGGCAAATTCTGTGAACCCTGCAAGCCAGAAGTTAATTGAAGGGGTTTGGAAAACCTCAAAGTCCCTAAGTTTCTCTTAATCCTGCTAGAAACAAGTCATGACTAAAGAGAGAGCTGCTGTGTGCCTGGGGACACAGCTACGCGCCCTGCGCAGGCAGCAGATCTGGTCCCCCTGGGCTGCCATTCTTCGCCACGGGGGATGGAGAGGACACCCCCGGGCTCTGCTGCGGTAGAAGCAAGAGGGGAACCGTGCTGGTGGCTGGGAGCCTCCCTCCTCCTCCTCCTGCCCAGCACGGAGCCTCCCTCCTCCTCCTCCTGCCGTGTAATTCATCCCTGAAAGGCCGTTTCTGAATGTGCTCAGCCTGGCTCCAGTGCTCACTTCTTCCCAGAGCAGAGATGTGCCTGAAAATGATGCCCAAAAGCGGAAACTCTGCAGTGCTTCACAGAGCTAGAGTGAAAAAAAAAATAAACAAAAAACAAACCCATGGCTTCGGATGCCCCTGCTTTTGCCATATATCAAAGCAAGGGCAGATGGCTGCAGAGCCTCTGAGCTCCTGGGGCTGAACAAGGCCGTGCAGCGGGACCGGCTATGGCCAGGAGCAGAATACACACACATCCCAAACTGCAGACACCCATCTCTAACAGGCTGAAGCAGAGCTGATGGAAAATTACATTTTTCAGTGATTCTGTATTCAAGAGCTCCTCTCAGGAGGATGAGACAACACAACTGGCTCCGCTTTCGTCGTTGCCAAGAGATCTCCTGAGACCACGGCTTACCCAAACAGGCCACCAGACCGTCTCTGAGCCCTGCTTCATTAAAGCTTCCACCTGCACCCATCTCCTGGGTGCCAGCGTGACCCAGAAACACAGCCAGGCAGGCACTACCACCCTGCCCCTTCTGGGATCACCTCCCTTTGCTGCATTTTTCACTAGCACAAAATGCTACTCAGTAAGGAAACAGCAGCACTCACCTGACTCATTGCATCTGCATTTTAGTCCCAATTTCTGAGCTGTATAACCCACTGGTGCTGTGACAGGGAAACTACAGCACCAACCCAACCTTGCTGTGACAGGGAAACTACAGCACCAACCCAACCTTGCTGTGACACAGAGGTGAGATGCCCAGCTTGCTCCAAACTCAGCCCTGGGGCTGGAGAGCTTTGGAAAGCCTGAAACACACTCAACAAACGCTACCTCAGGAGATGTCCCAACCACCAGCTCTTGCTCCTCTTCCAGGCTTGGCCCAACCCTATTAATTCCAAACTGAGATCATGCTAAACGTTCTCACTGCTTGCAAAAATCTTTTCTCTGCAGAGCCGGTACTAATTACTTCATCCAGCTGTGAATGTAAGTGAACTGTGACACCGAGCTACAGGAAACGGCTCAAAACGTGGCTGTACAGGGAAGAAACCTGGTGGCCACCGGGACACCAACGCTGGGCACGCTGGATGCGCAGGTCATTCAGTACCAGACACTTAATCCTGCACTGCTTGCTAGCAGCAGCCAGGTAGCTATCTCAGAGATCACTGCCCCTTCAGATGCTGCCAAATAGGGAGAGAAAGGCTTTTTCTGCAACAGAAGTGTGATTTCTGGAAGAATATTTATGATTCCCAGAAGAATATTTATGATTCCCAGTACAGGCTGTGTAGGAGCCTCCTGTATTTCTAGCAGGGCGGTGCTGGGGTGCGAGCGGGGGTGCTGGCCCCCCCGGCAGGGCTGCGGGCGGTCGGCTGGGGAAGGTCACTGCTGGCGAGGGCTGTGCCGGAGGAGAGCGGCTGGTGAGCCGGGTAACCGCGCCGGCAAGGTCAGCTTGGCTGCACAAAGCTGGCACAGCGCGCTCTTCCTCCCGCCGCCAGCTCGAGCCGGTGCCTCAAGGGCGCCTCTGGGCTCACCTCCACCTCTCCTGCCGCTGGTACCGTGCTTCCCCAAGGCTGCTGACAAACCTGGGGCACTGGCTCCAATTTCCCAGAGCTCTTCAAAGCTCCCGACTTGAAATTAATGATGTTTTCACATAAGCTCCCCTCTCTGTTTCTCTTTTGCTCTCAAAAGAGCCGTGGGCTCTATTTTTGGGCAGGCTCCTGTGCTAACCACAGCAGGAGCTCGCTAAAAAGCTGCTAGCTCAGGCGCGCTTCAGCTGGAGCACCCAATCCTGCCAAAATCCAGCAGAGAGATTTCAGCATCCAGAAGTCTCTGGTGCCCTGGGGACCACTGCATCCCTTCCTGCTTGCTGCTGGACACGGGCACGTTTGCTTTTCATGAGCAGGTCCCTGCACGAGGCAGGTCTGGGGGATCCCTGCACCCCCGGGGACAAGAGCCAGACCTCACGGAGAGGCAGCGTAAGCAGAGCAGCCCAGCACGACTCAGCCCGTCCTTCCGCTGGTTTGCCCGGCCTTTACCACGATGCCATGGGGTTCCTACAAAAGCTACGTTTACAATGCATACCAAATTATTATTAGAGTGTTAATTGCATACGCATATAGCCCAGGCCGGGGTTTCCGAAGTGTGTATCTCCATCTAGACATTTCTGGGGAAGGTGCATGAATTTAATATGACTATAAATGAGTCTTCTAATAAACTCTATCCAATCACACCAATAGATCAAATAAACTTGGCTTAACCTGACTTGGGAGACCCGTCTAATTACCTGGCCTTCAATCAATGCTCCGACATAAATATGCAGAAGTCTGCTACACAGTCACTGCAAGCAAAAAATAACTGAAACAGCTTTTTAAAATTGCATTCATGTTTCTAAGAGTCAGACCGCAAAGTTTCAGGTTTTCAGAGGATGGCTATAAAGCTGTGAAAGGTTCTTAATGGACAAAGTGCTTTTAGCTGTTAACAGTAATTATCTAGCACTTCCAAAATGCTTTTCATCCGAGCGCTCCATGTGCCTTGCAAATAACGTTCCCCAAAAGATAACACAGGAGCCAGAATATTAGCTCTGCAACAGGCATTACGCTGAGTCACAAGAAGATGCAGTGACTTGGATGTGGCCGTGCAGCGAGTCAATGCAGCTGCAGCAGGACTACAGTGCAGCACTCTCATCCAGATCCCATGAGCAGCCTCTGCCAGAAGCCTGCGGGTGATGTAGATAAAGAGCAAATACAGATTCTTCTTCTGCACTTAATTCTGCTGCATCCTGCTAAATTCTGCTCCTGCATCAACCTTTGAAGTCATTGTGCGAGTGTGAATGAGCGGAAAGTCAGCAAGTACCGGGGGAGAGAGCTCTCCTGTACTATGCCTCTTCCAGACACGCTCCCGCTGCCCAGCTCCTCCTCAAGCTCTCAGCAGCCCCTTCCCCACCCTGCCAGGAGCATTTCCAGCCTCTCCATCCACAAACCACACGGCCCTCAAGGTGGGTTTTGGCATTCACACCACCATGTCAGAGGGACTGAGGCAGATTTCTCTGACCTCTCTGCATGTGCCTCCACCCAGTTGGTGCTGGGAGCTGGAGACCAGAGCTGAGGACATGAACATCTCCCTTCTGACTGCCTTCAGAGCAGTCTCCCCCTTCCCTCCCATGGACAATCAGACCCAATCGCCGTACCTTTGTTTAAGGGGGAGTTTTCCAGCCCTTTTTTCCTCCTCTTCCAACCTCCTGCGAGCTTCTTCCAGCTGGGTGAGAGGGTTGGGGGCTGGATTGGGCGGCATGGTAGGATCTTGGATGAAGGGGTGAGAAGGCTGGACGACGTTTCGGAGCTGTGCACTGACCCACGGATGCACCGCAACAGGTCGCTCGATGGAGAGGGGTCGGACCATATCATGGGACAGCTGCTTCTTAGCACCTGAAGAGCTACACGCAAACACAAAGGTTTTACACAGATCACTGAGCTGCTTTGCACAGGCACACAGTCACTCCTGTATGGACCTACTGCTTCTGCAGCTGGACGTGGGCACCACTGGGAAGCTCCTTACAGCATGGCTTCCGAGGGAGAGGGCAGCACCATCCACCTCTAGAGAAGATTTCAGGACAGCAAGTCCTGAGACATCGGGGTAAGCAGCCCAAGCCTAACGCCAAGCCCACGCATCTGTTTAAGGGCTCTCATCAAGAGCACAATACCTAAAACTAAAACGAGCAAAAGGCAGCTCCACCATTTGTGACTTTCCCCCTGAAGATGCCCTCCCACGTGCTGCTGACATTCCCAGGCTGGGAACCTCTCCACAAGCCGCTGGTCGGCATCTCCAGGGAAAGGGATGTTGCAGGGACGTGCGTGTCCTTCCCCAGCTCCAGCGGCAGAACCTGCTGCCTGGCTTCATGCTGGCCTGGCCCTGGCACTCGGTCCCAGCTGCCTGCACTGCCACCTGCCCTGGCCTCTACCGTCCAGCAAGAGAAGAAACCACCAGCAGTTTCGCCACTCAGCCACCAGCGCAGCTGCGTCAGTGAGGACAAGACCCCAGATCCCTCTTGTCGATGCCTGGTAAGCACTGGGTTTTGTCACAGACTGAGCAGTGATTAAGGATCCACGCTTGCAGGAGATCTGCTTGACTCCATAGAGATTCCTGAGACAGCCACGTCCTTGGCTCCGCTCTAGGCAGGCAAGACCACCCCAGAGGATGCTTCCAGCAAGCTGAAACGCTGGGCAACCCCGAGCCATGCTGAACTGCTTGCTCAGGACTAATGGCTCCAGTGCAGCAGGTCCTACCTTTCTATCAGCATCTTGCAAGACTACCAGGCATTTACATACAGCAAATGCTTAAAGGAAAACCACTGCTGCTTTATCCACCTTGGAACCACAGCGGCAATTTGTGATTCTCCTGGGGCTGCACCCTCCCCCCCACAGCCACAAGTCATCCTTCAGAAAAAACAGCCCTTACAGCCCCCCAAGCAATCCTCAGTCTCCAAAGGGTCTAAACCCTTGTGCCTGGTGAATTCTTGTCTTCCCAAGGTCTCCAGGAACAAGACAGACTGCTGGACAGCCTTGTGCAGGGGATGCAATACAACAGCGTGAAGACCCCTCGCTCTGCCAGCCCTTACCCATGGTTTGTTTTCTTATGCCTGCTGATCTCCTTCTCTCCTTCTATGATCCACTGAAGGATCTTCTGGTTTCTCTCCACGTCTTCAGGAGATCCTGGCATCTCATAGTTGGCACCATCACTTTTCCCTGAATCGGTCTTCTTAACATTTCTTTTTGAGAGCAGACTTGCCTTCCCACTGCAAGAACAAAGCTTGAGACATTAGCGCTTTGCCTAAGCCAAACCACCGCAGACTGCGGCAGAGGATGGACATGTCTCTCTCCAGACATATTCAGCCCTGCCGGGGTCTGGTGCTGCCTCCAGTGCAGACGTGGCTCTGGCTGCCTTCCACCTCCCCCTGGCTCTACCATAACTCAAACCAACCATGCCTCAGTTGAGGCTAAGAGCAAGACTGGCCAGACCTAGGCACGGCGGGCTCCTCTGTCCGGCCACCCGTGGGGAAAGGGAGCTTCTCCTCTGGCCAAATAAGCCACGGCAATGTGGCCAAAAGCCCAGCAGATCTCCTGTCACAGGAAGGGTTGTGTTAACCCCCCGTCCCTTTGCTCAGAGCAGGAGGTTCATCCTGGTGATGCAATCCATCGGCTGCCTCTCCATGTCAGACCACTGCTCAAAACCTGAGCCCTTCCCATCACCCCCCCAGATTCACTGATGCCCCAGACTGCTGAGGTGCCGTACCCAACACTGGCTTCTCACCCCGACTGGAGCCGAGGCTTCACATCAAGGTGGAAGTTCACACCCTGGCAGGGGGAGGCTGCCTTCTCCAGGCTCTCGCGCACTGGGAAGCACAGCCACCTCAAACACCGTAGCCAGACGGAGGCCGGGCACTGGCCGACACTCTACCTGGGCTCATGGCTGCAGCAAAGGCTCCTTGCCCACGTGCATGCCCATGTGCCCAGCCAGGCGGCCCCACGCTCATGAGGCCACGCAGAATTCACCCGTGCTGGCCTGTCGTTTCACGGGATCCCTGCCGTCTTCATCACCTACCCGCTTTATTCCATTGGACCTCCCTACCTCTGCTTCTGCATGCTCACTAACATGCACAGGAAAAATAACCTTAGCACTACAGAGGAGTAACAGGCCCTCAGAGAGCTTTGCTGACTTTCTGGGGAAAAAGCCTGGAGTGGGGTTGCTGAAGATCTACAAAGACAAACTGACACCTTCTCTGCTTCTCCCCACACAAGGACTACCAGGTATTAAATGAAATTCTCCAGCAGCAGATTCAGTGCAAATTAAAAAAAAAACAAAAAGCCTTTTCCTGCAGGTTGTAATCATCCCGCAGACACAGCCACAGTGGGCTGGGGGGACAGCAGCCCAGCTGGGTTCAACAAGGAGCCAGACAAGCCACTGCAAGAGACTGCTGGTGGCCAAACAAGACCATTCAGATACAAACTCTTGTCTTGTGAAGCTCCTAAGCTGGGGACTGTCAGGATCTGGGAGCTTGTGCCAGGGGAAGGACAGCTCTGAATGTGTCCTCAAATATGTGCTAGAGAGAAGTCCTGTCTGTAGATGGGGCTTTGCGCTAACCCAGCATGGCCATGCTCACGCTCTGTTGAAGCAACAACCCTTTCCCCTTGGAAACAGGGCAGATTTAACTGCTTCTTCCCCCCAGGAGAGCAGCTAGCTTCAGCTGCCTCTGCCTCCCTCCTGCCACCCCAAAAAGCTGCTCTCTACCTGCTGCAGACCCAGCTGCCTGTCTTCACTAAATATCCCACCCTTGGTACGCTGCAAAGCATCACCCCAAAACCACAGCCTTGGGGAGCCAGCTGAGCTCAGGGTGAGCACAGTTCTCCCCCGTGGCTACTCCATCAAACATCCCTTATCCTGGGCAGCTCCAAGCTCCACTCTCACCTTTGCAGCCATCCAGCAACTGGACTAGCAACACCCGCAGCGGAGAAGGAGTTTCACCCTCTCCCCTTAGCACACAGGGCACAGAGGAATTTAAACAGCCAAGGGAAGACAGACAAAAGCCTCTAAGGCAGTGATACGTCTTTCCTGGGCAGAGGGTGCCCTGGCCTAGAGCACGTCACCTTGGGACAGGAGCCACGGCAGCACTGCAGCACCCATTGCTTGGTTAGGAAGAGAAAGGAGCCCTTCTGGTGAATGGGTTAGGCCTTGCAATAAGGAGGGCTTTTTGGTCCTCTTTTAAACACCTTAGGAGACTGGTTTCTGGTATCCAGACCCTGAGACACAGCCCTATATTTAGCATCTCCTGATGCATGGGGAAGTAGACGAGCATCCGCAATTTCTAACCACCTCTGCTGCTTTAAGGAGCAGAAAAACTACTTTATAAGCAAGGCCATTAAAAGTCCTGGTTAGAGAGTGTCTTTCAGCACCAGATCACAGAGGTGAAAAGGGGTCTATAAGGGTTATTGGGGCACATATACATTTCTGAAGAGGAAGAGCAGTGGGAGGCCCTTAAACCATGTCCCAGCACAGGCTTTCATAAGAAAATGTGGTTCAACCATCCTGTTTCACCAGCGCACTACAGCCCATTTACGAAAGAGCTTCCTAGAGAAGCCATGGCTCTGGGACTCCCGTTGAGTATTGCTTTGACTCACCTGTAGCCTAAAGAGTCCATGGGGACAGGGGCCATGCCCAAGTTTTCAGTGTAGTTTCGTGACTTTGTTGCATAGTTATGTGAATCTACATTCCAAGCAAAGCTGTTCTGCACTCGCTGCGTGGCCTCGGCCTCGATCTGCTCTTTTGGTTTCATCACACTGTGGTGATGGATGTGGTGGTAGATGTGTTTATGGTGGTATAAGTTAGCTGCATCCAGTTTCATTCCTGATTTTGTTGCGTGCTTGCCATGCCCTGGAGGAATTGTTCCTAGTGTCCCTGACAGCTTTCCTAAGTGGCCGCTTTCCGGGGACCGTGGCTTAGGAGAGTGGCGGCCGGGTCCTGGAGACTGGCAGCCCGGTGTTTTCATCACACGTTGTACATGTTCATCGAGGATGCTTTCTGGGTTTTCTTCATGGGCATCTCTCATCTGCATCCCAGCACAGCCCATCTCAGAGTAACGAGGAGCAAAGTGATGAAAGGCTTGGGCGGAAGGCATCTTGTGGCTAATGACTGAGGGACCAGAAGAGATATCTGCATCCTCACCTTCTTCTTCCTGCAGGAAACAAGAGGACAATCAGAGAATGACAGTGGGGTGGTGGAAGGGGTCCCCAGTCCCACCTCCTGCTTGCAGCAGGACTGCTGCCAACCTTTGAAGGGGTCAGGCACGGCTTTGTCCAGCCAGATCGTGAAAACCTTCAAGATGGAGATCCACTGTTCCATGCTCCTGCGGAAAATTTCCTAACCCTCAACCTGATCCTGTGCAGTCCCTGCTCATGTCTGTCACCTTGCTGCCACCAAGCTCAGGTCGCTGTACCTGCCTTTTGAGAGACCATTACCAAGGGTCTCTTGGGCGAGGAGTGGATGGAGAGCAGCCCCAAGGAGAGGGACTTGGGGGTAGTACTGGATGGAAGACTGACTGTGAGATAGCAATGTGTGCTCAGAGCCCAGAAAGCCACCCATGCCCTGGGCTGCAGCCAGAGCAGGGTGGCCAGCATTGCTCCGCTCTGGGGAGACCCCCCTGCAGTGCTGGGGCCAGCTCGGGGGCCCCCAACAGCAGAAGGACACGGAGCTGCTCGAGTGGGGCCAGAGGAGGCCACGGAGATGCTGGGGGGGCTGGAGCAGCTCCCCTGGGAGGCCGGGCTGAGAGAGTTGGGGGGGTTCAGCCTGGGGAAGAGAAGGCTCCGGGGAGCCCTTCGAGCGGCCTCCCAGGGCTTAAAGGGGGGACAGGAGAGGTGGGGAGGGACTCTGGATCAGGGGGTGGGGGTAGGGTGAGGGGGGACGGGTTTAAACTGACAGAGGGCAGAGTTAGATGAGATCTAAGGCAGAAATAGTTCCCTGTGCGGGGGGTGAGGTGCTGGCCCAGGGTGCCCAGAGCAGCTGTGGCTGCCCCCTCCCTGGAAGGGTTCAAGGCCAGGTTGGACGGGGCTGGGCTTTGAGATCCCTTCCAACCCAAACCAGTCTATGATTCTGTGATCCTAAGGTCAACAGCAGCATCAATAGTTTTGAAAATCACACACTGATTTCTCCCAGGCATGCTAAGACTGGAGTGAAACACTTCACGCAGATGAAAAAAGGGGCTGGAACTAACTGTTCATGTAGCTCACAACGGTCTAGGGCATGCTATTAGTGACTCTTAAGTCCTTGCCAGGAAGAATAAAAATCCTCCATGCTGACAGCCACAATTTTGATGCTGACAAACTATTTTACGCTCCAACATAAACTCGTATATTTATGAAAATTCTTTATTGGAAATCAGGATTCCTATTTTTTTTAATTACATAAGCGGGATTCCAGTGAGTCCTTTAGTCCCGCTCTGTTTTCCTCCTTTGGCACAGTGAAGAAATCAGTTGTAGCGTGGGGTATCTCTGCCCTGCCAGATAAATGCATCTGCTAGAAAACACTGCCTCCCATCAGCTTTGCCTGTCAGATGTCATCATCCATCACTTGCTAACCAGCTTCAAAGTCTCAGCTGCCAACCACAGAGCAAGAAAGCAAATAACAGACTTCCTCCCAGTGTCACACCTGGGGGTTCAAACCTGAACAGGGGACAATGCCAGGCTTTGAAAGTGCCAAAGGCGTGGGCGCTGCAAGCCTGGGGGTGTGACACGATGCCCACGTCTGGAGGGAACACACCGCTTTATAACAAATCGCTTTGAAGAACTTCAGAGGCACCTTTCATCTACAGCCACAACGCTGCAGCCTGCCAACTGCCGTCCCTGGGCACCTAGCTCAGGGACAAGAAAAGATGAAGCATGTGCTGACTAAATCCCTACCACTGGGGTAAGCATCTATTAGCAGTTTATGAAAACGCAATGACGCACTCAGCACTTGGGAGGCTTTTAGGGCTGGTACCTACTTTCTGGAAAACTCTTAGCTTTAAACACCAACTAACGCACAGGGCAAGATCCGACCCTGGCACAGATCCCTGATGAAGAGCAGCACGTCCTTTCTGCTCAGAGCCCAGAGCTCGTGCTGTGCTGTCACACCGGAGCAGGGTGGCATGGGACTGACAACCCAGGGTGGTCCATGGCTGCCTGGAACTCCCGGTCTGCCAACAGCTGGGACCCGGTACTTTGCTTTGCTCTGAGACTGAGATCAGGGTGGGCTAAGGGGAGGGATGCATTGGCTCGCTCTCCGTTTGCCTTGGCTCAGCTCATCTGTGTCACTGAGCAGGAGATCTGGACCCCAAGCAGGTCCTCAGCAGCGAGCGGTGCTGGGGTGGGTGGTGTGTGGGCAAGCCTGGGGCAGCTGGCCTCCCACCCCCCAGCACTGGTTTCAGCCTCGCATCGGGTAGGAAAGCCCCAACAGTGAGAAAATGGGAGCTAATGAAGGAATTGGGGTGTCTGTCCCAAGCTGCCCTCTCTCCTTGAGCAGAGCAGACACCAAAGTTTTGAGTCAAGGCTGCAGATACCAATCCTGCCGAATCTTTTCACCGTGCTTAGTCTGCAGTGAAAAAAACAACAGAGGGCACGAGGTCAGGGCAGCCCAAGCTGGGATTGTCATGCAGGACTGTGGATATGGCAGAGCCAAGCCTTGGCTCCGTCGCATGCACTGGTGCGTTGCAAGGCGCTCCGATGTCTATGCCCGGAGTAGTCTAAACTGCAGTCTACGCCTGGCAGTGCCGCAGCAGCCTTCCAGCCCACCCAAACTGCTGCCAAACCTGCAGCCCCTCTGCCCACCGAGCACCCACGCCCTGCCCACGCCTGGCACAGGCAGAAGGGAGGGAAGACACGACCACGACACGACCAAGGAGGCACAGGCAGGAGGCCAGCAACTACTGTGTTTTACACCGAAAAAAACCCACGGATCCGGGTAGCAGCCTGCCCCACAGGCTCAGCTTTCCTGGACACAGGGCTGGCGTGGGCTCCAGAGCCGTGTTTCGGCGTCTGGCTGCGGTGGGTAAGCTGGGCAAAGCCTGGCAGCGTGCGCAGTCCCTCGGCGGGCGGGGAGGCCCCGGGTGCCATAGCCACTAGATGGTGCTTTGTTGACATAACATTGTCAAAAACCTCTTCCATCCACTCCCAAAGGCAGCGGCAGTTCGAAAGACGCAGGCTTCAACTTTGCTGACTGTCTGCTGAGCTATTTTTGCTTTCCAGCAAGGCCAGGGGTGCCCGTCCCTTTGCATTAGGAGGCTGAGATCTGCACTGATGAGCTACGGGCAAGCGATACCTTGCTGCAAACCTCCTCCTCTGCCTTCTCCCAGTCCCACCCATCAGGCTGCTGCTGGTCGGTAGAGCAAAACAGCTCGCCTAACCACGTGTGCGTTTTTGATCACCGTGCAAATGATTTCCCTATCTAGTTAGGCAATGTTTTATATTCAAATTGCGAGAATCTCAGTGGTGGTTTTGCTTCTCCTGGCTTACTTTCAATTCATTCAGTTCAGACAAAGACAGAGTGATCGTTATGATACGATACCAATCTGTATGGTATGATACTGCAGCTTTCATGCACGGACATGAGGCTGAAGTGGCTCAAAAAGTAATAAGGGAATCCACGTATCCCCTAATCCTCTCCCACATTGCTCCGAATAATTAATGCATTCAGAGTTTGGTTTTTTTTTGAAAAACAGAAATCTTACAGTCTTTTCAGTAAAAGGCATTTGGCTTTAAATCAGGTACCTCTTCTCGATATTACTGATGTGGCTTTGAAAGGGAACCTGCAGGCAGCTCAGCATGGGGGAGAAAAATTATTTTTTCCTAGCTTTTGCAAAATATTTCCAGTTTCTCTGCTGAGCTGATAACTGCCTAGTGTGACTAACGCTCGTGGTTTTCCCTCTGCCACTGTTCAGTGAGCCATGCAGACCCGGTAAGAGGTTACCCTGTAGTCCTGGTGTTCAGTCACAGAAAAAAGCCCTGTGATCTATCAGGATTCAAGCTCTCCTCTCGCTGATACCAGCAGCTCCTGCACCTTAAGTGCTGACCTAAAAAAGCTACAATTGCTTACTCTGAGTTTTTCCTGAATGGCTAATGCCAGATGCCAGCCAGTCAATGAAATACATTCTGGAGACAGCAAAGAGGTTTAATATATAGCATTAGTGGGAGTCCTGGGCTTAAAAATAGATTAAGTCACACAAAAATGTGTTTAAACAGACTTGAATATATTCTCTGGCACATAGGTATTTGCTGATTTTATGGTATTGCTACTGGCAGCTTCTTCAAAGATGAAGAGGGCTGGGATAATGTAGTCTGGTACAGGTGGGGGCTGCAATGGAGCCATGGGAGGAGAAGAAGGAGGAGGAGGAGGAAGAGGAGGAGGAGGAGGAAGAGGGCTCTACTAGAGCTGTGGTAGCAGAAAATGCTGCTGGTTACACTGGCTTTGTCTAGAAAGCAATAGGCACAAGACAGTAACAGACAGCAATTCCAGAAGGACAGGAATCTAATCACAAAATAGCACCTCACTGGCTTTTTCTGGCTGGAAGCAGAGGTGCAGGGAGTTTGCTGGACAACACCTGGAGCTGGAGGGATTCTTCTGCCTCCCTCACTTCTCTGCATTTGGAATGCAGATGTGATTTAAACTGAATACTACAAGCTCTTTACTGGTTTAAGAACTACTAGTTGAACATTTAAAAATACTCTAATGGGGCTGGAGGGTCCGCCCTGGAGCCCCAGAGGCTTGGCTTCTCTGAAAACACAGAACTAGCCACGACAGGGGCCAGCACCTCTGCTTTAAGGGAGAGCTGCGGGTTACTAAGCGCGGGGCCTTGGCCTCAGGGCCGTGGCAGCTACTAACTGCAGAGACCCACAAGTTCCTCACCCAGGGCTGTAATTATACTGACACTGGTGATGTTCAGTAACACTGTGGCATCCTCTGAAAACCCTCCTGTATCCCCAGCACAAGATGTACAGCTACCCATGAGATGCACTATCTCGGAAGCAAAGATACAGTGTCAATACTGCTGAACAGGGTGTCTCACACAGGCAATACTGGATGACCAATACCTCATTCTTTCCCTTCTGGAGCTTGCTGTGGAGCTAAAGGCCTTGCATGCTGTTCTTGGTTCATCTACCAAACCCTCAAGCTCTGAAGGGCCCCAGCACTACCAGGGGGTACCAAGAGGTACCAGGCAGGCAGTGCCATGGGCTGGGCTTCCCCAGCCACCCATGTGGAGTCAGTGTGTTTCTCTGCACAGGAGAGGGGTTTTGGATGCTACACCTCACCAGTTCAAAATTTTCTAGGGATGTGCTAGGCACTGATGGGCAGAACCCTTTCGGTTGTGGTAAAAGCGGCCTGATAGTAGACAGAAACACCTCTAAGTGTAACATCACCTGCTATCTGGTCACCATTTTGAGGGGGAAATAAGGATCACAAAAAACCCCACAGGGGAAGGTGAACCCCTGTCACATAGTCCCCATCCTTGCATGGAAGGGATTGCTCACAAAATCAGGAGAGCGAGGGTGCCAAAGAAGATGATGGAGAGCGTTCACAACCCCTAAGTGGTGGCAGAAGTGAGCAGTGCTGTGCCACAGCTGGCATCTTACAGCAGGGAGGGAGTGCTGGAACTCACAGAGCCTTGCAAGGATCGGGGAACAGCGCTGTGGAAGATCCTGGGACAATGGGACCCTCCAGAAGCCCCCATGAGAGTGATGACCACGGCTGTTGGAGCAGCGAAACGGTCGCCCCAGTCGCTTCCACAGCAGCTGAAAGCTCCCCTGTGGTGTACACTACGCAGGCAGACTCCCAGGCTGGTACAGGAGGCAAGGAGGTTACTAACCGCTCGAACGCGTTTCAGGCGCTCCTCTAATTTCTCCTCTGCTTCACGTTCCTTTTGTACTTCCTCCAAACGATTGATCAGTTCTGCAGCAAACTTCTCTGGTTCAACATGGATATCCTTTGGCATTCGGTATGTACGCTGGATGAAAAACACGCCAGGGGTTAGGAAAAGATACATGAAAAAAAATCACACATTTATTTTGGAGGCTTTGATAACTGGAAATGCCAGTCATTCCGGTGGGGAGCTGAGGGAGGACAGGCTGGCAGCCGCGGAGGTGCAGCCCAGGACCAGGGGGCTGGAAGCTGAGCCACCACCACGAGCTCCCCATCTGGTACCAGCTCCACACACTGCTCCACCTAAGGGAAAGATTCTCTGGAGCCACAATTCAACGAGTTCTTTTGGCACCAGACTTAACTCGGGGATAGATGTGCTTGCTTTCCTCCTAATGTACACATGGTCAACAGGAATATCCTGGTCTTAAAGGGTGGGAAAAGGATGTACAGACAAACCTCTCAAAAATCATGCTTATAATAGTGATGTTTTCACTTTGAGAGAAAGGAGGGCTCTTACACACGCTTATTCAGCTTACCCCTGGTGGATCAGCATAGGCCAGTCGATCTGCAAATCTAGCCCACGGCCACAGAAAGGAGTGGAAATCCCGTCACCTCCAAGACATCTTGCTCCCCTCCATCTTCTGCTACAACCCAGCCCAGTCACAAAAGGCCACGATTCCCACAAAGCAGCCTCTCTTACTAGAGGATCCTGCAGGATTTTATCTTGGCTCTTCAGAGCTGTGCAATGATCCTCTACTTGCTTTATCAGTACAGCAACCTTACAAGTGCAGAGATGCCATTTTTCTGCTTGCTCTGGGTGAACGAATTAATATTTATGGCAGTTCAAGGGCATTCTTGGTTCCTTATGCTGAGTTACTTTCTCCCAATATTCCTGAGTTCTGGGATAAGAAGTTTGTGTAGAGAAGTATGAACCTATCAACTGCTGTATTTTTCCCCTCATTTTTATCCCTTCTGTATTATTTTGTTAAAATAGTAGAAAAAATAAAATGACACAGCAGAGATAAAAATTTAATTTGGAGGAAAAATATATGGAAAATTCAACAGTATAAAAACCTGCATTCAAATATTTCAATACCAACATGAGAGAAATATATACTGTAGAACCAGAGATAAAATTAAATGTGAAGACATGAGATAATTCATAGCAAAAGAACAAATGCGGTACCAGAAGCAGACACTAAGCTTGAAATCTTTAAAGAAGGATGAGATACCACCCAAATTTATCCCAGACCAGCCAAAAGATCAATGTGGATGACTAAAATAATGCTTTTCCTCAAAATCTGACAAAAGTAAGCAAATCATACTGGTTTTTCTCTTTCTGCTAGCTGCTGAGTGGAAGGCAGGGGAAAAAAACAGAGGCAGCAAGTATCCTAGTGATGGTACTGAGAAGCTGAAGACATCTTTTATGACACCCAAGCTGGGTTGCAGAGGTCTCAGTTAAAGCACCGCTCGTTTCACTTGCCAAGAGCAAGACCCGGCCAACCCTGTCAGCAAATCTCAACTCCAGGGCTCGCTGCCGTCGCCTTCTCTTCCACACCACGTGCTGCTGGGCTGCTGCGTCCCTGGGGACATCTGCAGACACGATGCGGCTTTGCAGGCAAAAGGACTGCTTGCTCTAGCACCCGCTTTCCGTGACAAGCAGAGGGACCCACAGCTCCATCTGAAGCTGTCCCAGGCAGGACTGACCCATCTGAGCTGGGAACAGCCCCCCAAAACCATCGCCTTCAGCCAGGGATGCAGCTGCTGGAGAGGGCGTAACACGTGGGAGCTATCAGCCCACCCCGCGATGACAAAGTCTTTGCTGCCACCAGGACCTCCAGCCCTGCAAATCAATGGCCTGTATTAAAAAGAAATATCACAGAAAGATTTTAATCAACAAAAATGGTGTTTAGTCTTGAAATATTGGCACAAGGGCCAAGGCGCCATGCTTGGTCCCAGCACCTGGACCTTGTGCTGTCCAGAAACAGGCCCCAGGCATGCTCCATCGCCGGGGGGAAAGATGTGGCAGAGCTAGTCTCTGCTCTGTTACTCCCTGGGAAGCTTCTAGGATCCAAGTGATGTTTCCCCATTCCTTCCATGTAGCCTGGGGGAGCACTTCTGGCTAAGGGAGTCTGCTTTCATCAGAAACCCCAAACCCGTGACCACCACCATCCCATCTAGTGAGCAGCGCCAGTGATTCCCAAGGAGGGAAATCTCTCTCTCACCTGACAAGTCACAACCCGTCAGGCGATGTGTTCACTCCCTCCTGCCACCTCAGACATGCCAACTCTCCCTGCGGTTGTTTATACGACGGCAGCACCAAGCCCTGCTCCGTTAGAAACTTAATGAGCCTAATAAGAGGCAGCTGGGTGCTCAGCAGTTACCAGTCTTGGGTCTCCCCGTTGCAGCTACCACAGTGGCGTCCGCAGAAAAGCAGAACCAGGAAATAATTTCCCTTTATTTTCATAGTCTTTGATGCAGTGCAGCACCCCAAACCACAGCCTTTCCTGAGCCCCCAGCAGCAGTGGGTGCAAAGGCTGAAGTTTCCTAACCTGCGTGTTTGAGTCCTGATACAATAAGGTGGTTCCCTCCAGGCCCAGCAATACTTAAGGACCACAGCTCTGTCTCTGATGAGAATCTGAAGATGTTCAGGGTCACTGCTGTATCCAGGGAACTCGAGATAAGACTATTTGTGTCTTTTACAACTAATATTTCAGCATGCTTACCCACAGTCTCTTAAAGTCTGGAGGTTACTGAAGCTCAGCTACAGAAATTAAAAATAATCTAAATCCTAAACTTTAGGATGAACTTGTTTTCCACCCTCTCTGATAAACCACTGCATCTGCAAACCCCACTGCCCTGTCCCTGGAGTTTTCCACTCAGCACAACAGCTTGCATTGGTCCTCAGCAGCCTGTTTGAGGGTGCAAGATGCAGTCCCCCGTGTGAAGATACCTCTGCAAGGGTCTCCCTGACCATCGAAGTTCAGTGTAACTGAAATAAACTTCATTCCACAGATACCAGCTGCATGTACCCTACACTGTCCTGGTCGGTAATGTCACCGTAATGGCGACTCACAGAAAGCTGGCAAGCAGGATGATGCTCTGAATGTTGCCACGGGTCTGACTATTCCTAGCTCAAAGGATGAGCAGCACAGACTTCCCCAAAACTAATAGTATTGCATAATGAATGCAAATTCCCTGCACTGAAACAACACAGATAACTGCTGAGGGCTCTCTATTTCCCTGGACAGCAAACATGGACTGCACTGACCTGGTTCAAAAGGCTTAAGACAAAAAAGTGTTTGAACCTTTTATCAAACGATGGGCCTGACTTTGGAAGGGAGACATCCTCCATCAAAAACCAGCCAGGCTGAGCCTGTGTCCACAGGAAGATCCTTCAGGGTTTCAGGATTTTGAATCTGCCCCCGGCTTCCCATGGGCGTACAGAGCCCTGCCAAGGGAGTCGGTAAATAAGCTGTTTATTATTCTGAAATCAGAAGGGCTCCAAATGCTTTTGTTCCAAGTAAAGGGTGCAGCACTCTGAGAGCTGGCTGGCTTTGGAGGATCCAGCCCTCCGGTCTGGACAGGAATGAGATCGCTGGACATTCTGGGTCAACGATTCAGAAAGGAAGTGCTTCATTTTAAAGAACTGTTTTAACTACAGTTGTTTTATCTAATGTTGTATTTAGTTATCTATCTACTTTTACTTAATGCCACTACTTCAGATGGGTCTGTCCCAAACAAAATCACGCTGAGATGGGAGGTTGCAGAGGACAACAGACGGGAGGCTGAATGCCAGATGGGTTGGCAAGAAAGAAATTGCCTGAACTGCTCTGGATGGAGCAATCTTTCCTAGTGACAGCTGTGAGGAAGGATTTCTTGGGGTACCTATCACCAGAACACTGTCCTTGACATGTGAAGTGTCTGAAGCTCTGGTACATTTGGGAAGAAGCAGCCTGCTAAGAACACGCAAGATACACACAAGCTCTCTATCAGTTCCACTTAGTACCTACTATCATGTTTTCTCCTTTTCTTGGAGCTGATGGGAATGGGAGTTGTATGGATTTTGCTCCATGAGGCTGATGCAGGTCTTGAGTTTTTGATGGGTTTCACCTTCCCTGAGAAATTGAGGTTTGAGGACCAAGTCGCACATCAGAACACACTGGCATCCTAAATGTGTGCCTTTACTACGACCTATACATGAAAAGGCTGAAATGGGAGAATCTCACTATGGTTTGCAGGTTCCCCTTGACAAGAATAAACATCAACTGCTTTCAGATGAAACAGGAAGTTTTCCAATGTTATCGTTGGGTAGAGGTCTCTAACCAGCACCAAGGATCCATGGGTTGGGCTGAAACATTTCTGACAGATCTGACTGGGCCAAAGAATTCTGTGTTGGTAAATCTCCCTCTTCTGCAGGAAATCTGATGCCTCCATGATGAATGAGTGGCTGATGTTAGATCACCAGTCAGTCTTGGAAATGAAAGGAAGACAACAGGCTAGAGAAGCCAAGAGAAAAGAACTTCCGAACCTCCACGTTTCCCAGATGAATGCATTCCTCTGTGCCGTAAGTTTTTAAAGAGTAAGTGGTGTTTCCATACCAGAAATACTTGTGGCAGAGCTCATGGATAGCTGGATTTCAGCATCCACGGATTAGCAAGGGGTCCTGCTGCTGCAGGTGTTTGAGGAAAATGGCATAAAACGGCTGATGGGAATTCTGCGCAGGTTCCCGACTCGCAGGTGCAGAAAGCTCCTTTAGCTGTAGTTATCCAGGCAGCACGAGACCAGGGATCCTCCTGTACACTCCTCGCTGGTACAGCATAGCAGAGTGGTCACACAATCTCCTGTTCCACTCAAGAACACTATGGAAGCCACCTCTCAGCTTCCTTGATTGTGGGGCAAGACAGGAGAGCTCCCACCTGATGAACAAGCTACAGCAAGAACATCACAAAATGGCTTCTTTATGCAGTTAAACAAACAAACAATGGAATCTCAAGTCTTAATGCTCGAGGTTGGATTTTTCTGAATTTTCTGGGGAAAAAGGAGCATCTCCCATCCTCTCCTGAGAATGGATGAATACTGGAGCCAGGGTAAATACAGTGAAGTAGCATGGCCCTGCATTCTCTGAGCTTTCTGGGCTTTCACCCCTCCCTTGGGAACTTGCTTGCTCTTCCCTTCCTTGGTGCTCCAAGACTCTGCTCGAATCCAAGAGAGAGATGGAAAACCACATGAAAAGCAACACTCACTCGCTGTGTGATGGGTTCCTGCCAGAGGCACAAAACAAAGGTCTTGTTGCTCGCTAGAGACCTTCACCCACTGCATTCCTGGGCAGAGCGCCATTTCACAAAACAGCTTTTCCAAACTTAGAGCGTTGGTGAGTTTGTAAGTGCAGAAGATGCAGAACACAGTCATTCACGCACCAGGACATGCTGCTGCATAGCAGGGCATCCTACATAACCAGCACATGCCTTCGTTATTTGGAGGCAGCATGGCTGTTGAAACTAGTGGGCAGCCTCCTATGAACATATAATCACTGCAGTTTATAGCTTCTGGCTGCAACTAAAAGTGTTGCTGTTAAAAGCAATATAAGTTCTTTCAGAATTCTGCATAATAGACTCATAATTCATTTGCAAGGCTACGGTAAGGTCTCTAAAGGACTTCTGAAATTACTTTTCGGAAGTAGGAGGTTCTCTACTATCACTAGGAAAACATGCCATGCATTCTGCAAGCACTATCAGTATGGACTCTGGCTACACTGGTTAGATATGAGTCCATAAAGACCTTCACTCAAAGGTTGCAATTTAGTCATTGCTACACGTTTAAAAGCACGCTAACCACCAGGTCCAGGCGGCTGACGGAGGCTGCTTTAGCTATGGGCTGCGAGATAGCCTAACCGCCGGCTTTGGAAAGCAACACTTGAAGAAACATTTGCATGGCTCCTTGCTAATTGGGGATGTTTAATTCAGTAAGCATGCAGTTAGAGGTGATTTTAAAAGACTAACTTTATAACATTTCACACTGGTGTTGTCAAAACATATTGTCTAATTACCTTCTCCTTTCTTGGCTGATTGATAAGCGAGGGCAGAGCAGTGCCTCTCTGAAGTTGATGCCAATTCTGTGTCAGTAATTGGCTGGCAGGAGGTGCCAGAGTGTCTGAACTTGAACTTTTATTCCCTGGAGAAAGACTAGAACTAACTCGACTTCTCAGTCCTCCACTCTCATATAAATATGCGTCAAGATGCCTTTTTCCCTGGGACTTTAAATTACAGCACAGAACCTAATGGGAACAGTGGATGTTTCCCAGAAAAATCCTTGTGAAGCATCTGTGTGTAGTTTAGGAGGAATATGTAATTCTAAAAGACTGCGTAGATAAGTAGGATAATATAAAAATTTATAAGCAGCAGGTGGCCAATTTAAACCTTGTTTTTCCCCCCCCTCTTTTTTAACTGGTTTCCAAAAAGGTCGATAAAATTTAATGCTAAGTAAAACTAATTAGCCTGCAAGGAACTGCTGCTGGAATGACACTTATTCAGTTCAACAAAAGAAATGTTTGGCAGATGGAAGTTCGTTAAAGCAGAGCTCACTATACATATTTAATGCTCCATACTCTGAGTTTATAACCTGCAGTTCATCGAGGCATTGCCAGTGCACATGATCAACAGAAAGCCACTATTATTTTTATCCAAAAGGTAAAGCCACTGACAAGCTTTGAAGTCAGAGAATATTCACTCAGTAGTTTCCACTGTTGGGGAACAGCAACAACAACAACAACAAAAAATAAAGGCCAAGCTTTCAAACTTCAACTCTAACAAAGCCATGCTTACAGTAAAAACGGCATCAAGTGAAATAAAAAGGCACCCAGCCAGCCTTTTCAACAGCAACCACACTGTGAAAGCAACTGTGTGAAAAGAGAGGTGACTGAGCAAGGATGGCTAGTGAGCGTCCGCAGCCAGGGCTTTTATTGTCAACCCAGTGATCAAAGCACAGGAGACCCTCTTAAATCTAAGGAAAATAATCTAATTTAAAAGGCAAAACAAAGAGTGGTGCTTTTTTTTTTTTTAAAAAAAAAAAATCAGATTAAAACAAGGGTGTATTTCTGCTGGTATTGTGCTGCTTTGAGCAAGCAGAATAAGAACAGCTGCGTCAAGTTTGAAGGCACTTCTGGAAAAAGCAGATGGAGGCTTTTTTTCTCCCTATTTGATTTGTGCTGGAGTCCAGCTGTCCAAAGGGGAAAGAAGCACCTTTATTCCCTGCTAGATATTAAATGTCACCTGTAACTTCTCACAAAAAGAAAATAATAATGATGATGATGATGATGATGATGATGATAACAACAACAACAACAACAACAATAATAATAATAATAATAATAAGAAGAAGAAGAAGAAGAAGCAGAGCTGCAGATGGTGCTGCAGAGCCCCAGCAGTTATGCTGATCTTCCAAAAGCTGTTTGCTTACCTGGAGCAACTGGGGAGACAGTATCAGACAAATTAAATATTTACGCCTGCACCTTCTTTGCTCTCCTGCCTTGTATCCCCAGGCGGGCTTTGCCGAGTCCTTGAGAACAGATTACAGCTCCCTTTGGCTGCCCAGTGCAGAAACGCCGCTTGGGACAGTTGCATTTCTCCCCAGCTGACCTTGGCCGAGAGCGACACCAGCCTCCATGCCCAATGGCCTCCTACACCTTCCACAAACACCTCCAGCTCACCCGAGGGCACGTAACCTGCTTGCAGGTAGATGCCAGCCAGCACTTCCATTCTCATCCGGGAGAAACAACCGGCTACTGACTGAACAGTTAAGAAAAATTATGTGTTTTGGGCAGCCCTGGATGACAAGTTTGGCAGAAGGCTACCAAGCTCTTTCTTAACACGGTGGATTTCTGTCTTAAAACATCCCCAAATGGATACAGCACTAAGGGGGGTTGAACTTGAGCAAGCAGAGCAACTGTACGCTACAGATCTCACATATTTTGCATATTTACCTCTGGGGAAGGAGATAGTGCTACTTACAGGAATGTGAGGTAGTGGCACACGTCCATTTGCTTTGGCACTTTCTTGCATCTCTCTGCGATGCTGCTTGCGGAGTCTGTACGGTGGGATCCCATCTCTGTCAGAATAAAACAACAACATGCCCTGCTTTAGTGCCTTTCTCTGATACGTGATGTTCATTTAAGCCTTACCGCCGCAGAGTGGCAGGTAGGAAACCCCCTTTACATTTGAGAGAGGCTTTGCATGCCCAGGACAAGTGCAGCAGAGCAAGAGGAACCCGTGTGGGAAACGATGCTCGCCCAGGTCCCTGCGCCAGCAGCGCTCTGGTATCGGGTGCTGGGGGGACTTACATGGCATCCGCCGGGAGCAGAGCAAGGCAGGGCTCCTGCGACCGCTGCCCTAGGCAGAGGGCAGGGACAAGGACTTGGACCACATCCTGGTACCTTTTATAGTTGGTTGCTTTCTATAAAAGAGCCTGTAATGTACACAGTAAACCACAGGGCAGGCTAGGAGGGGGAGGAGGAAGAGTGGGAGCTCAGTGAGCCTCTACACCAAGGGGAACTTGGGCAGGGAACATGGTATGTATTTTTAAGAGAGCGTGACAACTTCTCAAATGGCTTATCAAAGATCTTAAGATGATCTCTAGCTCAGTCAGAAATTACGGGCTCGATACGAGAGTTACCATGCAGAAGAACTAAGCCCTCTCCTCAGAGGAGGCTGGACAAAATCAGGGAGGGAAGCCATGGGCAGCAACACCCAAGCGAACCAGCTCTGTGCCCTTGCTGAAAAAACTGGTGACTGAGGTCTCTGCAGAGTGGTGACAATGATCCTTGGTCCTGACAGACCAGGAGCTGGGTCCACGGCTCTGCCATGAGCTGGGGGACGGTGCCCACCTGCTCAGCTGATCTGCAGGCAGCCCTTCTGCAAAGCCGGGGCCCTGGGTGCGTGTGGGTCCCAGCAGTGGGTGTCAGATGCACCAGGCTTTGCTGAGCAACCCTAACGGCAAAGCATCAGTGGCCGAGTATGACTTCAGGAAAAGAAACTTCAAAAAAAACTCTGCATTTTTGTTCTCACCATTGTGACCACCCTGCTTAGACCCGGGATTAGGAGAATATGAGTAAAGTGGAGCCCAGTTAAGAGAGAAGAACACGGGCCCATCTCCTGGTGACACCCGGTTATTTTGAGAAAAATCAATGAAGGTGAAAACAAATGCCAGACTAGAGTTTGGCAATTTGGAGCTTTCCTTTTTTATTTTATACATTTCCCCGATTCAGTGAAAATAACTGCTTGGGAAAGCTGTGCAATGTCACAGGAACGGGTGGAAATGAATGGAGGGATTTGGTTTGTCCGAAGTACCAAACAACTTCCACGCACACGCACTGTCTCCTCCCAAGCCCGCACCACGCCGAGCAGTGCAAAGGAGCCGGTCCCAACGCATCTCACAATGACAAGATGTTTGCACAAGCTAAACGCACTTAGCACCTACCCCCCTCCCCAACTGCCAAGCACAGCTGCTTCTCGAGAGCATAAACCGAACAGTTTAACCAGCAGACTTTTAAAGTCGAGATGCCATTTGGCAAGGGAAACACAATTTACTGTGGTGTCTTGCCTGCAAACCTCCCGAGTCACAAGCAGCAGCCTGTGCAAGGACGGTCACCATCAGCTGTCTTTCCCATTTCCATGCTGCCTGCTGCCCCGCCGGCTCCCTGGAAATGCGGGTGCAGGCAGAATGGCCACCAAATTACATCAGAAGAATGCAATTTCATGCAATAAACCCAGGCATTCAAAATTAAACACCATTAAAATAAAATAAAACCCGTGATTAATGACAAGTGCTTTTTAGTAGGAAGACAAATGAGAGAACAGAAAATTAGCCAGGCTAATTACAGCTCTGGCTAGTGGCTGCAGGTAATGCGGGAGGAGGAAGAGCACGTCTGGGAGCATCACCTCCATTGAGCCGGCAGTGACACTTTACAGCAGCAGAGCAATTTCCCCAAGCGTTGCTATACCGACCGGCGATTACGATAGCTTTCATTAGGCAGCTTCATTTTCTTTAATGACGAACCTCCATTTGAAAAATAATGTAAGAGTCACAACAGTTAAAGAGTTTCACTGCATCACGATGTGGCTTTTTCCAGACTGCATGGCAACAAAACAACCGGCGATTATTAACAGAAAGGAAAAATAAAATCTGGGGGATTATTTTTGCCATCACTGGTCGGCATCAATAGACAACATTTCAGCTTAACCGTCGCACAAAACCTGGGTGCCAGAACACAACTTGCACACTAAAGCTGCACGGCTGTTCGCGGGAAAAGCGGCATTATATTAGAAGGTGCAATTTTTCTTTCTTTCTCTCTTTTTTTTTTTTTAATTCTCCCCAGCAGCAGTCCCAGCGGAAAGAGCGACTTTTGTTCCCAGCACAGTAGCGAAAGGCTGATAATGGCCTCTAATCTATCCGGCTTCAAACACATGTTCAGCCCCGCTGTGCTGCCTTTGATGTCATTTTAACTAGATTCCCCAATGCCACCTCTGAACTTGGAACATTCCTTCGTTCAATGTACTGTGCCAACTCAACCAGAGGAAGCAAATTCAAAGATAAGCACTTTAATTTTATCCCAACAAAACCTTATTCAATAGATGGGGGGAAAGCAAGGAAAACCAATACCGTACTTTTGTTTTCCTTTTGTCAGGTAGCTTGCTTTGAGATATTTTCAATAGATAGAGAAATAATATATATATAAAATATATATAAAAAAAATCAAAACTTTTTTAGAGCACATCTACTTTTAAAATAAAACTTTTCCAAACTGTTTTTCCTTGTTTCATCACGTGTTTTTCTTTCGCACCAGAAAGCTCTGCGCGGAAATGCAACAGGGGGAGCAGGAGTATTTCTATCATTTATTTAATGATAATGCAATTGGTTTGCTATTGGGGAAATGTGAGGGCTTCCTCTCTGAACCAAACCGACCTGCAAGAGCCTCTGGTGAGCAGGGAGGTTTTGCTGTGGCTCCGCAGTTGGACTCTTCAAACAAGGGCTGTCTTTGCTCCTCCATAGAGAGCCTCCAGGCCTTTGCCTATCAAGTTGGAAATCACCATTTGGGATCTTTTAAATTAAAAAGCTGTTAAACTTGTTTAAATATAGCAGAACTCAAGGTCATTCTGGATCACAGGCCACAGGAAACAAATCCACAGCAAAACTGATTATTTTCTACCAATCACTCTTATCAAAGCACCACCGTCACCAGGAGACCTTTTTCACATAAAGAAGCATGATGGAAAAATCGACAGTCATTTTGGCCAGAGGCCAGTCATCTGAGGAATAATATTTAATTCGAAAGGTTTTTTTGAAGGAGTAACTGCTGTCCTAAACCCCTCTGCTCCAGGGAATGGCCATCCTTACTCTGGGGCAGGTTTGACTGGAATTGGGGAAGAAGAGCATCCCTCTGGCCAAGCCCATCAGCACCAAGGGCTTCCCAAGTGCCTGGGGGAAGGCAAAGCTGTCTCCCAACCAAGATAAGCCAGGACACACATAAGATCCAGAGGAAGGAGTATTGTTGTTTAGTGGGACCACAACACTTGGCTAAAGAGGAGCCATTACCTCTTGTTTACCCAGGTAAGCTCTTGCAGAAATAAACAGAAGAAAGATATGACCTAAGGCGTTTCTGCATCTGAATTGGAACATCACATAGCAATTTAATGCATTTCAGTTTCTGCCTGGTGCTTTCCTACCTCAATTTGCCTTAATTTCCCTTGAGCACCTCTGTTGCGACAACTTCTCCCACCCAGAGGCTGACTCCTCCACTTGGGAAGGATGCCATCCTCAGGCTGGGATTACCTGGGACAGCAAGAGGAGTTCAGGACTGCACTGTAAATGCTGCTCCAAGTCTGGGGCAGGCTCTGAGCAGCCCAGGGCGGGAAGCAGAGCCCCAAAATCCCGACCCACCACACAACACCAGTGGTGAGTGACTCAGCCCCACCTGCGGCCAACGGCACGCTTGCCGGGCCAGCACTGGCCAAAGCCTTTTGCCGTGTCCTCTCCAGACCTTGCCTCCACACAAACCAGCTAAAACAACACAGCTGCTGTGCTGATTATGAAAACAGGTTTCAGCAGAGAGGACCGGAGCTGTTTTGCCTACAAGGGCAGAGGAATTCGTATGACACAGGAAGACTGAAAAATAATCAGCGGAGCACAGGCATTTAAGAGCACTGGTTTTTAAGCCACTCAAAAAGCAAACTCCTTGAACAACAGGGACCGATAACATATTCATTACATAAATTCAACCCATTACAATAATATTTACCAGTGCTTGGAAAGACATCCTGTTGAAAGTTTGTCTTTTAGGCAAGTGTGCTTGTAGCTGGTACCACAGACATGACTTTAAAAACACTTTGGTGAGCCGGGTGCTCCTGAAAAGCCTGTGCCTGCCTCCCTTCGCCCCAGCTCAGGGGGCCAGACAGCCAGAGCATCGCCCAGGTCTTTGCTAGTGGCTTTGCATAGCCGGGCTGTGCATGCAGCCACATCCAAACCCCGCTTTGCCACGACCAATACAATATTAAAGCTTGGAAGGGAGCCGGTGACAACTGCAATACATCTGAGTACAAGCAACTGCTCAGTGTGTCTGCCTTCAGCAACAACCTAAGTCGGCCAATACTGGAAGAGCATGCCTTGCATCAAGCCATGCTCTCTGCGCTCCCATCTGCTTTCCTGGTTTATCAGCACTCCTCAGTATGCCAACGTTTGCATCCCGATTGTCCGGACACATTCTCCTCTGATGGGAGGGTCACAAGGGTTTCCACCTTGGGATCACAACCCGTTCACGTGCTGCTTTGGAGCAGAAGCCAGATTTCTTCATTATTGAGCTTGACTACTGCATGTAAACAGCACACATAGGAAAGAACCTCACTCATCAGCAAACGAGGCTTTTATTGCCATCTTCCTCAGAGGAGGCCTAAATTCAAAGCACTGAGACATGCAAGTCTTGTCAAGCAGCAGGAGTCCCTTCTTTGACTTGCGTCTGGTTGTTCTTCATTTTTGCTGCCTTGAGCAATTCTGCAAAAATTCCTTTGAAACTCAGGAAGCAGATAGGTTCAGCAATGCCATGTAAAAACTGAACAAAACCTGGTACTGGAGTTTTAAAGCATGTAATGAAGAGCAAGTGCTGAAAACAATCTTTGTAAGCCAAAGGTCAAAGCTGTATGTCCAGAATCCCAATTTGGGGATCAATCTGCATACATCCAGTTTTAGGTGCACAGAAGGGAAGATCACCCGTTTACCCTTATGATTTCTGAGACCTAGTTAAAATGAACCACTGAGAGCGGGTTAGTTATTAGCAGAAGGCAGCACACATATCAGTAGTAATTGAAGTCCTAGAAGCAGCCTATGGCGGGCATAGGAGGGATAAAATGCCTAAAGGAAAAAGGAGCAAAGAAAAAAGGATGCATAAGATGGTCAAACAGAAATTATTCTGCCTGTGTAAGATATAAATTATGCCTACCAAAATAAAAATTAGGAGGGTGAAGAACTCTGGCATAAATGATCACAACTTATCACAGGTATATCTATCAGTGCAACCCCATGAGCCCACTGGACCAGTGGAAAAGGAAGTGCTAAAAGCTAATTAATTTTGAAGAGTTCTTACATCTGTCTCTCCTGATAACAAGAAGTTACATGACCCCTGCTAGCTTCAGAGTACTCCTCCATATAAACTGATGAATATAAAGAATCACAGAAGGAAGTAGCAAAGCAGCTGGATCTGTATCAAATGGAGCCTTTAATTAGCAGTCCTGCACAGTTTTCTGTCCCAGGGGCATCCTCTGCCTCCCATGCCCCTTTGGCCAAGGTCTGCCTCCTCCATTTTGCAACGTGACATGGATAAGGCGTAAGGAGCTGGTGCCAGCGAGCAGAGCAGGCTCAATAGCTGATCCTAAATGGCTCCAAGCCTCCGCGGAGCCAGAGACAAGCACACTACCCACACACATAGAGCCACCACATCAGTCACAGAAGCCCCCTTACCATCTCGTACATTCACCAGCTCACTGTACTGAGGGCAGGTGGGGAACTGTTGCAGCACCCATTAGCAAAACATCCATGACACAGGCTGGAAAGTTTCTCCAACAAGGTCTGACAGCTCCCGACATCCACAGTGACACTAAACGAGCCTCTTGGAGGACTTTGTTTACAGCACTGCTGTTAATAAAACCCTCTCCTAATTCTGTAAACCTGTCATCTTTTGCTTGAAGAATCAAAGGGTTTCTGCTCTACAGAAAGACACTTTGCATTTGCACTGCTAAAAACATTGAATATTTCCCCCCCCAAATCCTTTTTCTTCCATCACAGAGATGCAGTCACAACAAAACCTCATAATGCCTTTTCTCTCCCTTTGCAAACCACCTTTAAGGAAGGTATCTCATGAGTGAGATACAGGGTGCTGTCACGAGTGTCAGAGCTATAAAAAAGCAGAAAAGATTTAGCAGGGGCTTATTGGTACAGGCTGTGTTAAAGTGCAATGTCCACCATACATAAACTAGAACTGGTCAGTCACCAGTCCTACTGAAGAGCAACCGCAGACTGCTCACAGTTTGGCAGCAAATACCCCAAGAGAAGTAACCAGGTAAGCAGAAGGCTCTGTCTGACATTCAGAAGATACTGTATCTCAAATCACTTACTACAAAGCCATCCAACATTTCCAATGCTTCTTGCATCTGGCAAGAAACAGTGCAGGAACTGCAATGAGCACCATTTCTTTTAGTTCACCCAAAGAATTTTATGTTGCAAATGTTTCTAAGACCAGCAAGGCTGAGTAGTCTGCACAGTGACAAAATAAAGCTGCTTGAAAAGAAAGCGAGAATGATCATGACCTTGGTCTAGTCAGATATTCCTGCCAACACCAGCTGTGGCAAAGCCTCCTCCAGACCAACATAACAGCAGCACCACCACTAAAAAAACCCCACGCTATTGCCCACTTATTGTCACACCAGACTGGAGTTACTTACACGCTGCTGTCTGTCAGCGACATCGTATCAGCATCACTGGACATGCTCTGCTGCTCGCTGTCATTGGCACTGGTTGCTGGTGCCAAAGCGTAGCCCGTGTTGACATAGTAAGGGTTAACAGGCTCTCTCCACGACCCATGCCTGCAAAAAAAATGAGAGTCAAATTAGGACACAATTTTGACCATACTCTGCATCACTAGGCAGAAGGACTCTGCCTGGAGCCCCAACACTGGTGACAGGCTACAGAATAAGCTGTGTTCATACTAAATTGCACTGATAGAACCATGAGCAATTTGACTCATAACTGGAGGCAAAAGGGAATTCATGGAGTAATGAAGACGATACTGTTAGAGATGAAGAAGGGACGGAACAAGACTATATGGAGGAAGGCCAGTTCCCATCAGGATTTATGGTGTTCATGGGCTAACTGCACAGCATTGTCATTCTATGAGCAAGTCAGGACACCTGAAAGCAATACCTAGGTAATAAGACTACATTTTTCTTAGTCAAAACAGGCTTCTACTCTTCCAGCGAGGGATGGGTAGCACAGCTCAGCCATTCCATGCTTGCTTTTACATCCCTCTTTACTCCAACATGTTTGTCAAGGGAGGGAGGTAAAGCAAGAAATGTCTGTTGTTTACAATGCAGTACCTAAAGCTGACCTCAAATGTCACAGTTGGGTACATCAAACACTTGCAAATTCCACCAGGAAGGACCTTATCACACCGGCTTTTCCAATGGCAAATCTGTTCATGGATCTACACAGGCTACTTTGTACACAATCACATGCCTTGTCCTACAGACAGGTTATTCAAGTACACGTGCAAGCAGGACAGCCTCCTCCTCTTCAACAAAATGACGAAAAGAGAGATTGCCTGCATGAGCTAACTTGGGAAGCGAGTTCCTTGCTCAGGAGGAGACCTGCATTAATGGTGAAGCAGCCTGTGAAACAAGCAGGCAAGAGCTCCTTCACACTGACTCTGCCACTGGCATGGGAAAGCTACTGCTGCCAACGTGCCTCCAGCTCTCTTACACCGCAGGACAGTCAGGCCACACAGGCATCTTGTCACTGCAAGTCATTTTGCAATTTGCCAGAAGGAAGAACAAGCTGAAACCATCACAGCAACACAGCAGCATTTAATCCTCCACTTTCCCTGCCTACCCCTCTGCATGAAGAGCAGCATTTGTAAGATATCTTGAAGTTGATGAATTCCTGGGTTTTCCAATATCTGTTACCAGCTCTGAAAACTAGAGTCCTGTTTTAATTCAGATCACGAAGCTCATCAGCATGATCTTTTATTTAGTAACTCAGTAACTGGCACCTAGTTGATGTGGTTTGAAATGGACCTTGAGCAAACACCTCCAAGGAGGCCACATCACACAATTTGTGCTTCCCACTTCTGCTGTGAAAAGCTTTTCTGGCTGTACTGCAGTGGTCAAAGTCCTACAGACAACAGAAAACAGTCCCTGCCCTGATGAGTTTACATTTAGATAAGACAGGGAAACTCATGAGAACTGTGCAGCTGGAAGGACCGGAGGCAGGGAAGACACCAGCAAAAGGAGAAGTTGGCAGTTTCTGCATATTTGTACAGAGTATAAATGTGGGACAGCCACTACATGAACTAGGACTAGCAGAAAACCCGTTCGAGGTGGAGGTTTTCAGAACGATTTATGTATAATACAGTACTCAGTGTACAAGGATGGAAGAATTACCAAAGTATTTTAAAACCTGAATTCAACAGGGCTATAGCCGTCGGCTAACGTGCTGCTCATATCGCTCCTATTCACCCTGTCCTGCTCCTAGACACAGAACCAATTTTACTTGTAATACAAGGAGTCATGGATGTTCACTGGTCACTAAGAAAAATCATGCTGTTTTAGGCCCATTATGGGGTCAGTTAGAAACAAATTACCCTCCAATTCTCACTAAGAGAAAACCAGTATTTTGCTTGCCACTAACCAACAAAAACTCCAAGCTATTTCTCCTTGGATGACAAAGCTCAGTAGTTGCAGGGTAGTGCAAAGAGCATTCAAAACTGAGTCAGCTGAGGTTTTTCATCATTGTTCGAAGAAAAGGAAGCCTTTGAGGTTCATCCACACTTGGGTGCAATACAGAGTCAGTTGAGTATGAACATTTATGGGCACCTTGGGCTGGCGAGTCACCACGGACATCTTCCAGCACACAAACTTTCTGTCTGCCACTCTAAATGTACACTGGAGCAATCTTATTCCTACATTCCATCAGATTTCAGAACAGCTTTCTAGGGCAAATATTTAAGGCTGGAAATAATTTGAACAAGTTCCCCCTAAAAAGCAAGGTATAATAAGGGAAAACCTTACCAGCTCCTCTTCACCAATTCTCCCCTTGCATAATGGTCAGTTCTGAACATTAAAGGAGCGCTGTGCAGTGTAACCCTCCTGTCAAATACGATATGACAGTTGTGTGATGGAGGCTAATACAACCTCTCAAATTGAGGCAGGAATGATGGATAGCTCAGGCCTTCCCTGCGGGCAAAGAGAAGGATGCTTTTTGGATAACCCAATTAAAATTTAGCACCAACTTCTAGTGGACCTTCTGCCAGGACTCTCTGGAAGAGGCATGGATTATTCTAACTGTATATTAAGAAAGAACTATGATATATAGAATAAAATGCACAGATCAATCAATTTCTCCTTTGTATCTGCTGATACAAAGACAGAGCAGCAGAGAGCATCTGAAGAGTTCGCTGGGTATGGATCTGAGATGGCTGAAGGAGCCAAGAGTGAGCAGATGGGTGCCGGGTGGTCCCTGGCCCCTCGGGAGGAGTCAGGATGGACGTGCTCTCCTGCAGCACTCTGTGGCTGTGGGTTTCCCACTGAGGATGCAGGCAAGAGTTTGGCCACAACTGTTGTGTTTAGCTAAAATTACACACTTAAGCATGTATACAACAGGGATTACTTCCATTTTAGCTCTGCCTCTAATACATCAATGCAAATGTAAACTTTCGGTAAGCGTAAGTAGATGGAAAGGGTATAGGATTTCAAAGCAATCATAACAGGTTACATTACTTTTGAGGAATCCATCTGTATTCAATCCTTCTCCTAATGTTCCCTCTCCCTGACAACTCTCTTCAGCTGGCTCATATCACTATTTGAATGTTTTGTGCTGTGCCTCTGAAGAACGCTTTCAACATCTATTAGGAGGAAAACATTAAAGGAACATGGAGTCTAACAAAAAAACCTGGTCACTTCTGATCTGGGAGGGGAGGCTGCTTTAAAGGGGATACAGGCACACTCAGAACGATTTGAAATGTCAGCTAAAAACCTCACATACCGAGCTCTATAAGCTGATAAGGGTGATAAAAAGAAAGGTGAGCATTTAAAGTTAAACTTCACAAAAATTCCTGCAGACTTCTGGAATTATATTTTATTTTTTTAGACAGAAAGAGCAAAGAACTTTTTTGAAACGAACACAGAACATTTCACACATCTCAGAAATAAAGCTGCACGTCTCCTCTGCAGCTCTCAGTTGCTCAACCCTCAAAATAATCACATAGGGAACAATTATAATAGAGATCACAGCGACCCAAGTAAGTCAACCTGACCAGCTGCCTTTTCTTTGCATAAAGCCCTCCACTGATCACTGTAAATTCTGGTAATGCTGACAAGGGCCTAAACTGCTGTAGAAAACCAGTAAGCATCAATCTCCTTAGGGCTTCCTTCTACCTGTTATTTTGCATGTTGTTTTGGCTGCATCCCATCCCCAAATCTCCCACTCCTCCAACCAAGATCAGCACACAGCACTTGGAACATTAGCACCATCAGATCTCAGAGCTTCAGTGTAAGTGAAAAGAAAGGCGAGGTCTTCTTCAGTCCTCTTGCCCTAGCTGAAGTTCCCACAGCATCACGAGTCCCTAAGGGCATCCTTTTCCTTCCAGCCTGGGAGCCCCGGTCTCCTTCACACAACTTCACCTGATGGCTATTTCAATTTTAAATCTAAGATGAAAAGTCCCCAATTTTTGCCAAACATGCTACTCTTTGCTCTGTGCAAAAAACATAGGACTGGAATGCTCTGGGGAAGAATTGCATCACCTTCAGCATCCACAGCGGGAGGAAGATCTCACAGATTCTGCCTGCAAAGCCAAATCCACATGGCACTCCCTTCAGTTCTCAGCAGTTAATGTACCTCCTTCATTGATGTCCTTCATCAAGCATGGAAAAAAACCCCCACAAACCAAAACCTAAGGCAAATAGTAAACTTCCTTGGAGATGAAAGGCCTCTAGGCAACTAATTTCTGTAGAGCTTATATTTTCACTGGAGGGAGTAAGTTGCACAACACTGTTGACAGGTCCAAGAGACATGGTCTTCCCAAGTCTGTTAGCAGTTCCAGTGTGGCTGGAGCAGCTCCCAGTCTAACAGGGAAGCCGATCAGATTCATCAGTTTTAATTGCTGCCACCTTCTCCAGCTCTAGCACTGAATTTTTACAACATTGACATTTTCTGGAAGAAAATTTTTACTCAAAAAATTGAAGTTGTGATAGAATCCAGGCAGGCTGGCAGTCCTCCTCTTGCAAGGGTTCCCCACCTGCCTGACCCTGAGATAAGTGCCTCTCCAAACTCCTTGGTGGCACCTCCAAACCCCTGCACTATCAAGGAAGCAGCTGTTTGAAACACTAGATTGGTAAAACCAAGACATAAAGATTCATGAAGCTGACAACCACAAAACCCCAACGCATTTTGCTTACATTCCCCCTAGACAGCACTTCCAGAAGATTTCTTCCCATGACATACTCTGAACCTTTGGTCACCACAGTTTGGGCGAGCTTTTTAATATAGGAGAAATCCCATTTTCTAGACAGCTTGAACCATCCAGCAGCTGATAATCACGCAAACTTCATCAGTTGGCTTGGAAAGCTCTGAGCTGCAGGAGATGTGGGGGCGTTGGCAAGTCCTAGGAAAAGACACCCCAAACCAGGCTCTGCAGAAACTCAGGACCTCTCACCACAGCTGATGGCAGGCTGAGCAGCTGCGATACCCTCCCTCTTGCACAGCAGCAAGGAACCTCGCAGCAGGACACGATTTCTCCTTTCCTCTTTTGGTAGGTGGTGTTCAAGCTGAGGGATGGTGCCCAGAGACCACAGAGCAGGGCTGCGACTCGACG